CCCCCCCCCCCCCCCCCCCCCCCCCCCCCCCCCCCCCAAGCGGCAACAGAGATTTTCCGATGTTTAAAATCGGAACGGCAAGGCAAAGAGAGAAAAAAAAAAGTAAGGAGTACTTCGTACACCTCCCTAAGGTACACTCCTTTGCCTAGGTAGGCAGGCGCGACTCGACCCGGACACCTTCTTCGAATGCCGAGTCTTGGGTAGACGCGCACCTATCTTGCCGTTTCTTACTTTGAGCTCGTCGGCAATTATAACAATCAACCGTACATGCTTATCAAGCCAGAAACCTCTTACCTGACTTTAATGACAATGGTACGTCGAGAAATGCGGTCTCAATCCCGGCTATCGAAGTTCCCCCACATCGTGTCGTTTGGGTGGGGTTGACCCCTCATAGGCACCCTACAGCCGTCTCGATCTCACCAGCTGATCCTCCACGTTCTACAGCATACCGCGTCGATAGTGTAGCGGTTATCATCCCAGCCTTCCATTCGGAATTGTTTCAGTGAGCTGGGGACCGGGGTTCGACTCCCCGTCGACGCATCACAATTTCTCTTTTGCTCTCGGGGGCTTCAGTTCAATTTTTGTACTTGGCTTTCAAGGGGAGGCAAACCCGAGCAACGAGAGTGTTTGTTGCACTGAGAAATGAGCGTGACAACAGCTATCGGTGCTAGGAGCGACAGGACGACAATATGGCCGCCAGCGTCTGAGGATTTTCAGGGTACCAGCGGTACTTCAGGTACAGCTGCCCGCCACAGAGCATGGCCCTCCCGCCGTCTACACCCAATTAATCCCTCAAAGTCGCCTGGAAGCTTGCCGAGTCGGGCAGGTGGAGAATGACTCGTGCGCCCATTGAGTATTGACAATGTCTTCTTCAGCTGGGAGGCCCCGACCATGAAGACCGCCAGCGTCGAAAGTTAGGGCAGACATGTGGCAACAGAGGGTCATGTCTGCTGAAGACTACCCTGGCTTTTGAGTTTGAGCTGTGGACCGCGTGGTTGTCAGTTTGCGGCGAAGTCTCGAACAACGCACCATATTTGCTTGTTCAGAGCATTGTTCGGCGGCTCAGGCTGATTCAAGAATGCGGTGCCCCGTTTGGTGTCCGTATCATGATTAATAGGCGGGATTGTAGAACATTGCCTTGCGTGAGATGGTAGACCATAGTGCTGTGCATTTCTTCCATGCAAGCAAGTGGCAGGCAAACTTTGAAAGCCCATCCTTCCTCCTAACAAAATCCAGCCAGCCGTCGCTCTCCGACTTAGGCAACTCCACCGGTGCATCCTTGCATCAACAGTTAATCCGATATGGTGTAGTGGCCAACATGATGCCCTCTCATCTTGTGAGAGGTTAGGCATAGCCCCGAGTTCGATTCTCGGTTTCGGAATATTTCTTTTGCTTTTTGGGCCGAACAGCTTTTGGAAACGAACGAACGAAGAACATTCCGGCTGGATGAAGACACTTACTTTACTCACTTCACTCACACCACCGTCTTTTGTTTTTAGCCACGCCTTAGCGGCACCCTGGGCAATCAAACATCGCGTTGGGCCCAAGACATCATCAATTGACTAATCAACATTAACCAGATACCCCAATCCCTACAACTTGACGTTCTCAACCTCAAAAGTCTGCACCATCTTCGTCTCAAACCACGACCAGAACTTGGTCCCGCTCATCGTCGTGTCCGAAGCCTGCACATACCGGTCGCCGCTGCCAATCTGCGTCCTCCACCTCGTCACCTTGGCCCCGTTCGTCGACGCCTGGGTGAACTTGCTCAGATCGAAGTTGAGGTACTGCGCCGCGCCCCAGTTCACCGCGACGATGACCAGCTTGGAGTTCTTCGCGTCGTACGCCGCGACCACGTTGTCCGAACCACCGTCCAAGATCTTCATGCCCTCGCGGATGTGGCGCGTGAACTGCGCAAACGCGAAGTACTTCTGGTTCGCCGCGCCCAGCGTGCCCGCCTCGTTGTCGGCGTCAATCACGCCCCAGCCGCCGCCGTCGAGCACCTGCCAGTACACCCAGCCCGTCGGCCTCAGCCACCGGAAGTCGAGGAGCATGTTGGACACGAGCCTCTCGCCCGTCGCGTCGTTTTCGCCGTACTCGCTGTTCCACAATTTCTTGCTCTTGCCCGAGGCAAGCGCAAACAACTTGTCGCGTGCGCCGTTGGCGTACTGGTATCCGTGGACGTTGATCCTCGCGACGTTGTTCAGCGCGGTACCGAGGCCGTTGAAGGTGCTCACGGCCTGGTCGTAGTACGACTCGTCCGACGCCGCGATGGTCATGCTCTGCAGGCCGCGGCTGTTCAGCTCGGTGCGCAGCGCGTTGATGATGGTCGCCTGCGTCGGCACGTCGATGTGGCAGCCCTCCTGCGTGCCGTCCGCCTTCCACCAGTTGGCGATCGGCTCGTTGAACGGCTCGACCGACTCGAAGATGATGCCCCAGTTGTCCTTTGCGTACTTTGCAATGTTCGCCATGTACACGGCGTGCTGGCCGAGGTTCCAGCTCTGGATGTTCTCGCTGCCGTCGGCGGAGCCGGACGGGTTGTGGTTCTTGCACATCCACCACATGGGCGAGTTGGAGAAGAGCTCGAACCGGTTCGCGCCGCGCGACTTGGCCTTCTGCATCATGCCGCGCTGGTTCGCGTCGACGTCCCACTTCCAGCTCGACGACGCCGGGTCCGCGCTGTTCCAGTCGACCCAGTGGCCCTCGATCTGCCGCGAGAGCATCATCTTGGGCGAGACGACCATGCTCTCGCCGTTGATGCTGTTCCAGCTGCACGCCCCGGCGTTGTGGCGGACGATGTTGAAGCCGAGACCGGGAAGGCTGGTGCCCGACCAGGTCGTCGACTTGGTGGTGAAGAAGACGTCGGCGAGGTCGTCGCGGTTGCCGAACTTGCGCGCCCACCACGCCAGAGAGGTGCCCCATCCCTCCCAGGTACCGCGGTCGGACTTGGCGTCGATGATGGTCGTGGTGTCGGCGGCCACGGTGGCCAGGCACAAGGCCAGGGCGGCGAGGTTGAGATGCATCTTGACTGAGGAGCCGTAGCCTGGGGGAATCGAGACGGACTGGAGCTCACTCACTCGGCTCGCAGCCACCAAGCCCAAGAGGAAGAGCTCTCCTTATGAATTGCTTCGCCTTCTGGAAGCTCTGCACGGCAGGGGCGCTGACTCGGGATGCGGGACCTCGTAAGTTGGAGTGACATTACAAACGGGGATGAGCGGACCGGGCGTGTGGCTGCCCGTGACCTTAATCCAGGAACACCATCAAGGTGAGAGAGAGAGAGCTCGCAGCTTGCTTCGAATGTGATATGACGGCGCCGTCGGTGGTCGAAACGGCGGTTCATCCACTTCGGGGCAGTCAGTGTTCGGTCGTCTGGGTCCGGTACCGATGTGGCGTCGTTGGGCGGTTGATGATGACTACCGTCGACGTCGTTCGACGAGGCCCCCGCACGTCGGTTCGTTCCATCTTTAGAGTTAGATTGCCGGACCACGAGGTGTGCTGTGTGATAGCGGGGAGGTCTGTGTTGCAATTCGGGGTTAAACGTCGCCGAGACGGTGTGCGACTCAGGGATCTGGACCTCATCTCGGGTTGTGGCGGCACGGGATCAAATGGTTGGGCCAGGTCTTCATGGACAATACCATCATTACGGCTGTTCGGCTTGAGTGACTAATACAAGATGCAGGAAAGCTATGAGGAGAGGTTGCAAGCCAAGCGCGGATCCCACGGCGTCCAGGAGGGAGTAGGTATCCTCCGAAGCAGCCAAAGTATTCCCCGCGACCTGTCATATCCATCCATACGTGAAGCTTATTACCCGCCCATCCTCCGCTGTCATCCCATAAACCTCCGCGCAGGCGATCCAATGCTTGTGCCTGGAACTTCCAAGTCCGGCGGAATGGTACAGTAAAAGCTGCCGTCGTTCGCGCACATCTGGGGGATGGAGTGTGGGGTAAGGGACATGCAGTCGCAGGGTGCCATCGGGGCAGCCCGGTCTCGCGTGTGCATTGGCGGAAGATCATCGAGAGGGAATAGTGGTGTTTTCCGGCTCGGCTCCGGTATCCGCGGTCGTGTCATTTGACTTCATCTGATGGCACGCTAGGAGGAAACCTGCTTGATTGGAGTTGGTCAGTGTTATGTTGCTTTCTGGGTGAGAAAACTTGGGAGCAAATTGACTTACAAGAAAACTGCAAGAAAAGCAAATGACATTTTGTTTCGTGTTGTTTGTACTAATACATCGGTAGAAGTGACCTCTTGTGTTCGTGAAAGCTGCTTGCTTTGCTGTTAGAACAATGGCTTGCGCCTGAGACAAGAGAAAGCCTTACTTTTTCACGCTGAACCAGAGGCAACTTAGCAAATACCCTTCGAAGACAAAGAAGAGTATTCTGGAAGGTTGTATCCATTGTCGTAAAGTCGTCCAGATGCTTTATACCTCATATGAAAGCTTAAGAGGGCTGCTGCCAAGGGTGAAAGCTCCGGCTCTTTTCATCGGAGACCACGGGATCGGTGGCGACGACGGCAACGTGGGGCTACCAAGGTGTCCACGAGTAGGTGTTCCAAAGGGGCTCGTACCCGGCGACATATCCTGCAAGGTCGCCGAAGAGGCAACGGAGGACGCTCCGGGAGATGCTCCGGGAGTCTGTCCGAGCGCCTGCCGAATCCTGGCCATAGAAGGAGAAGGCTTGTGCAGTGGCCTTCCGCCCGACAACATAACTTCCTTGGGCCTCGCACCCGGCGTGGCAGTCATGCTTCGGTTACCCTCCCGCTGACGAGCTGCGGCCTCCTCCGCCCTCGCTTTCTGGAGATCGTTCCAAATTCTGGGCATCACCTCCTCTCTAAGAGCCGTCATGTGCCGGAAGAGATATCTTGTGTCTCCGTACCAACACTCTCTCTTGTAGTAGGCCTTGCTCAGGGCGTCTTTCATAGGCTGAAGCTCTTCGGACGTGTACGGCACCATCGTGGGAGGATCGAAGTACGCGTGATTGGATGCGTGGTACGGGTCGGGGTAGACAGGCATGAAGATGCCAGAATCGCCAAGCGACTCCTGGACGCTGGACTTGCCGTAAGTGACGGCTGTCTGAAGGCGGGCTCTGCAGGTCTCGACAGCCGCGTCGAGCATTTCCGGCGTTGCATTGTTCTCGTCGACCAAGAGCAAATACTCAGCCTCGAGGCGTTTGCGCTCCTTCATCACCGCCTTCAACTCTGCGGAGAGACTCTTCACCTTCTCCACCGTCTCGGCATGGCTGGGAAGTCTGGGACGAGCAGGCTCGGTGCGACGGCGCTTCGACGGAGACTTAGTCGGGGTCGACGGCGTGTCGCTGTCGGATGGAGTGGGAGAGCCCGGCGGGGTCGAGCTCTTGTGGCGTCTCTTGAGGCTGAAGGGAATCGTGCTATCGTTCAATTCGGGCGTGTCGCCATCGAAGAAGGGGTCGGTGTTTGTGCAATCGGTCGCGACAGTGGAGGGAGTGATTGCCTTCTTCTTGTCAGTGCTCGCGACGGCGGAGCGCTTTCTCTTCAGATTGCCCTTGCGGGCCGGGACGGGTGTCTGAGGAGTGTCTTCCGTCTCGTCGCTCATCTCGCTCTCGCTCTCATCTTCTTCTTCCGTCTCGTCTTCTTCAGTCTCGTTGTCGTCGATCTCGTCCTGGCTCTCGTCTTCTTCCGTCTCGTCCTGGCTCTGGTCCGAATCGGTGGAGCTGGTCGTCTTGCTGCTCGCGGGTGAGACCGTATTTCTGTTCTTGCGACCGGATGAAGGAGCTGTTGCCTTCGACGCGGCGGGCAAAGCAAATTTCATACTGCCGCGTGGAGTTGCTTGGCCGTGAGGTAGAGGTGTGCCAGGAGCAAGTTTGATGCCAGTAAGTGCGGCCGAGGTAGTTGCCTTGGGGGGTGTTATGGAAGCCGCGTTCGGGTTTTTCTTGGTTGCTGGTTTGGCGGTATCAGAGAGGCGTCCTCCTTTTTTGGTCGACGCCATTGCGAAAGTCGAGGCACTTGAGAGCCGGAGATCGAAGAAGGGTTTTCTGTATTCTTGTTACAATGGGCCTCCAAATCGACTGCTCCGGATGAGAAAGAAATTTGCGAGTGCAGAGGTCAAAGGCGACGCGTTGAAAAACCTCGAGATGGGCTGAACAACAAGAAAAAAAAGGACTGATGCTGCAAGAAAAATAATGCCTGTTGTTGACAGAGACAATAATATCCTCGACGGTAGGTCTTTGGTGGGTGGTTTGCAAAAAGCCCTTCTTCTCCTGCCCAGTGACGGTGTCTGCCACACGGCTGAGGCCAACCTCTCTCATCGCCATGACGATGAAATCTCAGGTCGTGTGAGAAGCTCTGTTTACATTCACTCATGGCCAAATCATGATTTTCCAAGATTGAGATATCTTGCTATCACATTACAACTTGAAAGGAAGGCCATTCTTTTCCGCATTGTCTTCCATTTCTTTGGCCTTTCTGTTCTGCTCTCTCTTCTTTTACTGTTGCTCTCGCTCTTCCTTTTTTTTATCCATCCTTATTTGACAATCAACAAAGGTATGTTGCCTTCTTTGATCATAAGGCTGAACTGAACAATGCTTTGCCAGATGGAAGTCGCGGACAAACCCACCACCCAGGATGCTATCTTCCGCAGCCTCCAAGCCCTCGCCATCGCCAGCGGCGAGTCCTTGAACGATGTCTTCCTCGCCAACGAAGCTCTCATGATGAACCTACGCCTCAAAAGCGCCCAGATGGCTGCTGCTCAGGATCCTCAGGCCATGCCCCAGTCCGAGTACGCCGTCATCTACCACGGCTACCACACCCAGACCGACTCCGGCAACGGCTTCGTCCGCGGCGTTCCCGTCAACCATCCGCCGGGAGTTTTCACATCCACGCGATCTTTCTTGTTCGACCTCGACAACGGTGCCCAGAATGGCACCATTGCTCAGATGGGAGGCATCCCCACGCCTGGCGCTCCCCTCTTCGGCAACGCGAGCGTTACTATGCCACAAGCGCACCCGCAGAACCACGCCCTCGAGAACCCTATTCTGGGTGCTGGCAATCAAGAAATTGGCTTCATGGAGGATTTGAACGAAGCCAGCTTCGACAATCTGGTCATCGACGTCGCCAATGGTCGCCCCCGCGACGAGAACAGCACCGGCTACGACTTTGGCGACCAAGGCCTCGAGAACTTCCCCGTCAACGTCGCCGACGGTATGGCCAATGACTTGGCCAACTTCCAGCCCCTCGTCAACAACGCGAACGCCTACGGTGCTCCATCGCCTGGAAACTTCGTTGCTGAAGAACCTGTTCGTTCCGATTGCGTCGAATACTTCCAGTACGACGGCAACGGAGAGTACGGATGGCACGCCGGGGAGAAGACTACCCATGATCAGTCCAATGGCCTGCGCTGTCATTTGTGCTCGAAGACATACAAAATTGCGGGATTCCTGAGTCGGGTGAGTACTCCGAGAAGGGACTCCTTACGGAGATACTGTCTAACCACGCTTTAGCACTTGAACATAGTCCACGGCCAGCCCTCTTCGCTTTGATCTCGGAACCTTGGGAACGAGCACTGCAACACTTGGATGAAAGAGGCCTGCTACTGTATGTTTGGAGATGGGATGGCGTTGCGAACCAGTGGTGGATTTGGGATACTGGAGTTTGCATATCTTGGGTTGATGAGCTGAGAGATACGATGGAGATTGGCACATCTTTGCGAGTCACCTCTGGATTCAGGGTCAAGTTACCGAGACACTGCTTCATAGAATGGATATCTTACTACGAGACTTCCTCAACCCCTTCGTCTATCGCTTTTGAACCAGACGTTGCTGGACCTGAATCAGCCCGAACCCCCATCATCGGTACCTTTCTTAACCTTTTCTATCCATTCCTCCAAGTTGTTTGGCATCGGCTTCTCATGATGCTCCTCTCCGTCGACGTTCTCGGCGTCAGACTTGTTGCCCTGTATCTGGGCAGCGGCTGCATGACGGGGCTCAATGACGTCCTTCACAACGCGCTCGATCAGAAATTCCATCAGATCCGAGAACAAAGCCAGCAACCGCGGCTCATCTGCCTCGGCTTCTTCCTCCCGCTTCCTGCGGTCCGCGGCGGCAGCTTCAATATCAAGCAACCGACGCTGCTCAGCCTCTTGAGTCTCTTGCTCGCGCTTCCTGTGGTCCGCGGCGGCAGCTTCAATATCATGCAACTGACGCTGCTCAGCCTCTTGAGTCTCTTCCTCGCGCTTCCAGCGGTCCATGGCGGCGGCTACAATATCACGCAACCGACGCTCCTCAGCCTCTTGAGTGTCTTGCTCGCGCTTCCTGCGGTCCGCGGCGGCAGCTTCAACATCAAGCAACCGACGCTGCTCCTCCCGATCCTTTTGCTCCCGCTTCCTGCGGCACGCAGCTTCGAGGGCATCTTCGAAGGATCGCACCGAGAACCCACGGAAGTGACTGAGGCTGCAACCACGGCAGCATTTGAAGTCGACGCTCTCAGCAAACTGGACACATTGCTTGATGGCGTTGCAAAGGTCGCGGCGTATGTGGTTGTTCGAAACATCATATAGAATGGGACGCCGTTCGAGGTAGTCGTCTGCGCTTGTTTCCGAGTGCAAGATGGACATCGCCAGTTCGAAAAAGAAGGTCTGATACACGTGTGAAGGTTGCTGACTTTCAAGTGTCAGCGATTTCTAACCTCGGACTTTGGGAGATAATATGGGGGGGTGGTACTTGTCTATGAAACACCATGGCGTTGTAGGCTTGCTCAACGACATATCTGCGGTTGACTCGGATGTCCTCTGGATAGCTTCTGGTGTTGTGCAATGGTTCTTGCAATAGAGGTGATGACCTGGAGATGTATTTGGGAGGTCTCTAGTGGTAGGTCATACTTTGTCTTGGAGAATCCATGATTGGCGTACATGGAAAGCACCCAGATTATTCCCAAAGGGAGTGATCGTGGAAAGCCCCGGGCCCCTACCTTCTACCCTCGAATGTTCCGGCACTTACTCAAGAGATCTCATAGTCGTGCTTGGGCTTTTCAGAGAAAAAGAAGGAGTGAGTTTTCATCTCATCTGGTTCTCAATCTCTGCTCCTGCCTTTACTGTATTCTTGGGCCCTACTTAAAGCTCTTTAGCCTCCTCCCAGCTGTGCTTTTCTTTCTTTCTTCTACAACAAACAGACTCACAACTCACAGAGAGTCAGCTCACAAGACAAGAACAATACAAAGAGCCAGGTATGCATCAGATTCTCGCGCCTCCATGCCAAAGCTAACAGCGCGTCTCAAGCACAATGTCAACCAACCTTTTCAACCTCATAAAGGCAGAGCTCCTGCGGATCGAGAGCGAGAGCTTCCAGGACTGGGACAACATCGACTCCATTACACGGAGTGTGCTCCAAGCCATCACTGCTGAGAGAGCTGCCGGAATTGAGCCTGAGTCAGCAACTGAGCCCATGGATATTGGCAATGAGGGCGGAGACCATGAGGCTGCCAATACTTCGAACGTCGACGAATATCCCTGGAAGTGCAAGGTTCCGGGCTGTACCCGTGCCTACAAGGCAAAGTCCAGTCGCAAACGTGTAGGTTTCACTTTGTACCAGAACCCTTAGGGCATTACTAACAACCACGTAGCACTATGGCGCCAACCACAAGGATGTCGACACACCCCTCGACACCGACGATGAGCAGTAAGGAGATATGAGATGACCTCTGGTTAAGACAACTCAGTTGATGGGTGAAGATGAGTCCTAGCTAGAGCTGGGAAGACGATGGATAGCTATCTATCCCAGATATAAAGGAAATCCGAGAGTCCAGGGCATTTACCCCGGGACCAGTCTTCAAATCTGACATTTGGTTCTCTCACTTGATTGCTTGCAAAACAACCGTACTACTTCCTGCCATTTTGAGCATCAAACCATATTGAGCTCATTTGTGTATTTTCATTCCGTAAATCTCATGAATCCAGTCCAGATGTTCCTTCATCATCTCATGATTGTTGCTCAAACGAAAAATCTCTTCATGGTAGTAAACTCATAATAAAAGTCGTCTTACCAAAGAGGAAGTAACAACCCGCAGACTTTTCATCTGCTACCTCATTGCTCTTTCCTATTTCTTCTATCTAAAGTTGGTGCCCCACACTGTCGTCTTCACTTAAGTATTTAATCAACTTCAACAGCCAGCTCAGAGGTTTCTTTCTTCCTTTCAACTCACCCACCAAAACTCACAAGGTGAAGAGAAACCATTCACAATGGGATCTCAACTCAACAAGGACATCCGTGACGCGCTTCTCAACATCGAGCGCGCCAATGATCTGGACTGGGACAATGTCGACTATGTGACGCGCCAGGTTCTCGCCGACATTGGCACTCAGAGAGCCCATGAAGAGAATCGAAGAGTTATGAGCTATGAGGCCGAGCCTCAGGCCACCCAGAAGGCTGAGGAGGTCGAGGGCGAGGACGACGAGGACGATGAGGGCGGTGTTGCTCTCTCTCAGCAGGGCACTCCCATGAAGGCCCCGAAGAACGACAACGGCAACTATTTCAACGCCACTCCTACGAAGCGAGGCGCCGCGGTCAATACCCACACGCCCACCACACGCAGCACTCCCACCAAGAGACCTGCCCTGACTCCCGCGGACAAGCCTTACGTCTGCAGATACTGCGGTGCCCCTTACGCGTATGCTCGGAGCCGGTATCGCGTAAGTCCAATTTCCCGACCTCTACCTCTCGTGTCAGGCACTAACATGATATAGCATCACGCGGATTTCCACCCAGACCTGCCGCCCCCTTCCTCTTCGGAATCCCTCGACAACCAATACCCCGAGGACGAGGGCGAGGAGTAGGAGATTTAAGAAACGGTGACGAGTAGGGAGAAGGGAAGGTGGGAAGGAGGGATCAAAGGTCTTTCTAGCACCTCCCATAAACGCCCAATACAATTGAGAACTCAGCGATTTTCCGTCCTTTGAACACCAGATCGATGAATCTTTCTACTGACTTCATTCTAAACATTGATGCCTTACCTTCGTCCAGCCGTTTCTCGAGTGACACATCCCCTACGTATTTTTTCGGGAACCAACCAGCCATCTCAGGCACCTAGATTTCTCTGCTCCTGCTGTCTCCGAGACCAAACTTCTAGAAATTTTTGACCTCGAGTTGCTCCAACGTAAAACTCTGCTCCTCACCTCCCAAAGCCAGACATCAACCAACTTCCTCTCCTCATCAAAAGAAAGAAACCACCTCTTCAGCTCAACCAAAACTATCATCACAAGATCCGACAAGTAATTTCCCCCCAGCTATCCTCCCTCAACGCGTGCTAACAAACTCCCCTCCAGAATGCCCTCCAAACTCGAGACCGCCGTCACCAACGCCCTCAACCAGGCCCAGACCGCCAGCGGCAAGAGCAAGGACGACGTCATGAAGATGGCCAACTCGATCGCCGGAAAGTACCTCAAGAAGAACGGCATCGAGACCACCACCATCCACCGCTGCGAGGTCTCCGGCTACAGCCGTTCCTACGAGAACCGCAGCAGTCTGCTCCGCGTCAGTAAACCCCTCCACGCTTTTTTACCTACTGCAAGTTTGGCAAACTGATTTTCTGACGGCTTTCACAGCACTACAAGAAGGACCACCCCGGTCAGAGCCCTGAGGACGAGGCGTAAGGGCTGCGATAAGGCCACATGAAGAAGGCACCGCGCTTGGCTTGGGTAGACGTCATGCTGTGGATTATCACTGCCGAAGGGACGGCTTAGGTGCAACGTTGGATTGGGGGATGGCAGATTTGATTTGGAAGTGTCAGTGACAGCAATTTGCTTTCCTTCAAGTACGGCTGTGGAACATGCCGTCGTTCTTCGACTTGTGACTGAACATCACGTCACGACAATCAACTACGCGATAACGGCAAGCACACCCTCCACGTTGGCAGTGCTCGGCTTTCATTCACTAGCTAGCCTCTTAATACAAACTCCTAGCCTTCCCCAACCGTCACCTCTTCCGAGCAAGCTCCGTTGGTAACCATGTTGCTGAGGTTGAGGGTGACCGCTTGACCACTCTTGTCCGCAACGTATCGTGGCCCGCGTTATCACATTACACGGGGCCGACCAGAGGTAATGTTACCCTGAATCGCCTGTTCAGGCCCTTGGATATCCGAGATAGACATACACAAACGTGTATCACAGCCTTCTCTTCGCGTTCTTCACCATCCAGTGTCTACCGTGTCTACCCAGCAGTATCTAAACTTGATCCCAAGTTTCTCCATGGCTGCGCTGGCCTGCGAGGTTACACTGATGGCTCCAGAAATCTCTAGCTCCTCTAGGTTAGGCAGGCTGTCTTTGAGATTCATCATCAACCAATTTATGCTCTGTTCGATGGTGCCCGAGTCTGCTCCCTTGATGCACAACCGCTTCAGGGAAGCGGGCAAAGCCCGTAGAGCCGGGACTTTGGCGGTCTGTTGGCCATCGTCGCCGCCGAACTCATTGCCGTTGTCCGACCCAGAGTCGTCGATGTCATCGGCATCGTGGTCAATACTCCATGCGTCGATCTGCAGGTCTTCCAAATTGACGAAATCCTTCAACGTGGTGATACATTCATCATTCGGACACGCTTCATCTGCCATCGGATCGAGCTCAAGGCAGAGTTTCCGAAGGCCCTCGTAATGGCGTTTCAATCCATGAACAACGCCACGCGGCGTTTCAACCCGAGCAAGCCCCAAGGGATGGCTAATGATGCTCGACTGTAGTGTGAAGCTCGAAAGGTTGGGGAAAGAACTGAGGAACTCCCCAAGACACTTGCTTGTGATGCTGACGTTCCGGAGAATGAGATTGTTTAGATTCAGGAAAGTTGCACCCAAACCGTAGACGTCATTATTCAGATCGTAGAAGTGGCCGTCCACAACCTGAATTTCGGTAAGGCTTGTTGACAAGCTTGCGAGACAGAGTAACATGGAGTTACTGAACCAAACTCCGCTTCCGACCCCGAAACTGAGCTTGAGTTTGAGGGCAACTGATTTCAAATTCGGGAGAATGTCGCCGGGCTGTTGTGCGTGCTCAGCTCTTTGGCAGACGCCACCAAGGCCATACCCTAGGAATCCTGGTATGTCTGCGAGGGTTTTGTTGCTCAGTGATAGCGTTACCTCTCGCAGTTGATTGAGACGGTGAAGGAGCATGGCGGTAGCTGCAGCAAGACATGTCTCGTCGTGGCGCACTACGGGCAACCATCCTCCAAACCCCGCCTCATGCCAGCCATCCGGGCATTCCAAAACCGCATCGTCGACATCAATGTTCATAGACTTGGCCCATGATTGAAGAAATTGCATCTGCTCGTGTCCAAAGGAAGGAACGTCATTGTCGGCCGGGGGTAAGTGAAGGTATAGTTGTTGCACATGATCAGCAATTCCTGGTCGTGCCCAAAGTAGCCGTAGAAAAGAATACACCCTCGGTCCCGAATTGATCGCTACAAAACGAGCTAGCTCTGGGGCCAGAAGTTGAGCAAGGCGCTTGCACGTCAGACTCAGGTAAAGAATCGGAATGGTTTCGGCTCGAATATCATCTCTAAGCACCTTGTCGGAAGGTGTTGGTCGATCAAGCCTTGTCCTTGCTGGCATTCTAGATCGACAGGATGTCGCGATTTGGAGCAGGACCTCCGGGGGTAATTGGATGAGGTTCGTCATGCTGCTGAACGATTCTGAATCGGATTGTTAGCCTGGTTCGAATAAGAGAAGATCTCCAGCGCAATACCCGTGGAGTGAAGAGTTCAGTGCCGATGCCAGTGCCGAAAACAGGTATAATACTTCCTGTTGACAACCGCAGACGTCAACGGCCAGGCGATAGAGAGAATGAAGAACGCGAAGATGAGACCGAAGCAACAAGGTCACTCGATTTGTTGGAAGCGACGTGATGAAGCCGTAGTGCTGATCAGGATCTATGATGATCAGGATCGTTGTTTTGGAATGGATTGAAAAATGTGGTGGTTTGTTGTTTATTTTGCGTCTCTGGTTGTAGTGTTTTTGCTCAGCCTGACGGCATTTCGTTGGTGATGGTGATCTTGCTTTGTTAGGCTTAGGCAGCCTGGTATGTGTGTTTGTGTGCAGAAAGAAAGGAAGGTTCGGTTGTAGGTAGACAAGGGAAGGAGGAGACAAGGCGAATTGCTCGAACAGCAAGCTAGGCTTTTGTTTTCGTTTTTTTCAAGTGAGGTAAGAGCGGAGCTTTCATCAAGACCAATATGTCTTCTGTCAGGCTTTTTATCACTAGTCTTTTTCTTCTTCCGCATCTAAAAGTAGTTTCCACCCGACAATACATTTAGCAAAGCGTTTGCAGCCCCAGAGTTCCCAATTGGGTTCACCAATGCCTTCAGATTCTGGGGAGCTGTCCGCAAAGGGCTCCGTCGTGAAGTTGCTCCGGGGAAATGTGGACCCAAATGTAAGTTCCGGTCCGGCTTGTGTGGGGCACAAACTCCGGGACAACACTGTGAAACCTCGGCAGAACTGGAATTTTGGCAGACAGAAATCCGTCACTCAAGAAGTAGAAATGTCGGACTAGCATCAATTTAAGTTTTTCGTTTGGAAATTTCCGAGTTATACATCGGATTTGGCAAATGACCAGCACTCTGAACGGATTTCTCACCTTTTCCCACGGGCTCTTTTTATAATAATCAAAGTACCATCCTTTCACTATCACCCCATTCTTCTCAAATACTAAGCGTTGCGTATTTCTTTCCGGATTGCCCCATTCCTCAATAATGCATTTACAGACCCCAGGACCAATACACCCACCCGTGTATACCAACACACAAGAGGCTCTCACCAAGTCCATTGTCGACCCAATGGGTGCGCGCAACATCAGAGATATTCAGACGGCCTTTGCAAAGATCAAAACACTTGCATCTTGTGGCTAAGAGATACCTGGAAGATGATGATGGAGCTTCCAATGGAATATATGCTCTTGATAGCACCCACACATCAGGGCAAGTGAACAAAGCCTTTTCTGATGAGCATACCCATTTTTAACTTCATTTTATGCCACTCTAATGAGACGGGCAATATTGATCTGCCTGCTGCCAACGATGCAGACGGCAGTACCGCCGAGGAGGGAACTGGGGAGTCCGAAGAAGGCAACTACGAGCCCCGGGCTTAGAATGGTAACCGACGGCCCTAGGTGTGGCCTTGTTTCCTGTCCATCTGCGACGGAAGAAAATGGTTCTCATCTGCCAACACAGTTCAGAGGGTTAGTTCTTGCTGATCTCACTCGTTGCTTTCTCTTCTGACTTTCAAATTAAGAACCTTACGGCTCGGGAGAACGATCAGTGAATCATTCGCTTTTCTCTTGCTCCTATGAACCGCATCGGCCCTCGCCGCCGCTCATCTACGAACTCGAACTCAACGGCTTTGGCGTTACCTGCGAGCGTCTTGACAATCTGATGGCCACATGTGGGAAAACCAGAAAGAACCAGGCTAGAATCTGTGATCGATGCTGCAAAAATGTAATTCAAATGAAATGGGAACTCTTCAGGCTGGGGAAGCTGAATACTCAAGTGACGACGGCAACGATGGCAGCAAGGCTGACAACGGGGATATGCGCCAGAACGCAGACAAAGGGGGGTAGGGGAGGAAATTCAGATGAAGGATTAAATAGGGGTGTCCCCCAATCTTTCAAAGCATCATATATGATGACTTTAGCTACTTATATTTCCAACATAACTAAAACCAAGCAAGGAGGAACAATTGCATTTCTCATAGTCATGTAAGACTCATTGTGTTGAATACCCACCGGCATCTCAAGAGATACCCAAGGAACAGGTCCTCAAGCCGGTTATTAGAAACCACAATAGACATGATTCCCGTACACTCCCAGCTCCATGTGACTCTCCTCCCAAGATCGTGAACCCTCCTCAGCCCTGCTCAGTCGTGAGGTCAAGGTCGGGTGATACGGCTCACGACACACACGTCCCCCTTCTTCAAGAAAGTATTTCATTGTTGACAATCACCGCGAGGCCTTGAAGTTTCTTCCCAACCACAACTCGCTTCTTGCTTCGAGTCAGTTCCCCCATCCCTTCACAAAGCAACTGGCATCCGGCAAAGCATCGCAGGATATCCTCCATCGACATCGCGTTGTACCTCGAGGAATTTCAAACTTCGCGGAGATTCTCCTGGCTTCCACTTCAACTCGCAGAAGAAATCAGTCAAGATGGTCGACAAGCGAGCTTACCCTGCGTCCTCGCAGCGCGACTCGTCCGAGGAGGCCTCGAAGCGCCAGAAGATCGTCAACAACCCCCTGAAGAAGTAAGTTCTCATCGGAAAGCCTTCCTCTTGCTCTTCTCGAGGACAAAATCTGACACCACAACAGCATCCGTGCCATCGTCGAGCGGGCCCCTCGTGACCTCGGCCACACCTCCGAGTCCCCCGTCCCCCAGACCCCCGCGACCATCGAGTCCGACATCCCCATCGCCGAGCGCGCCATCAACAAGTTCTCCAAGCGCCCCGCCGGCGAGAACACCTTGAACTTCCACAAGGCCCCTCCCAAGATGGCTCCCCTCCGCCCGGTCCCCAACTTCGCCCTTCCCACCCAGCAGCAGGCGTTCAATGATTTCATCTCTCAGAACATCCAGTCGGCCCCCGTCAGCACCGACGAGATGGACCTGCTCAAGCACCTCGAGGCGTCCGACTTCGACGACTCCGCCGAGGGCATCATCAAGAGAATGAACTCCACCGGCTTCCGCATCACCGCGCCCATGGCCCCGACCCCCGACATCACTTTCGACGGCCTCCCCTCCGACGGCGGCGCTCGTAAGACGTACAACCCCAACAAGGGCCTGGTCGAACAGCTTCTGGGCATGAAGGAGTGGGAGTGGCACGATCGCCTCAAGGGTCACTCCTCCGATTCGATCACCCCCCGGAACGTCCCCGCGTCTGGCAACAACCAGTCTGCCACAACCAACCACAACATTGCCAACCGCCCCGAGAACGAGGACGAGCAGTTGGAGTTGGTGGAGACTCTCACTCCGATCAGCAGCCCCTCGAGCTCCTCGGCCAGCGAGACCTCCGACACCCAGTCTCCCATCGCCAACGAGCACACTGACACCACTCTCCCCTCCCTCCCCGCCGCCATGACGAGCCTCAACAACTTCATCGCCTCCGTCAACGTGCCCTCCGGCCTCAACCGTCGCGCCATCCCCGCCTGGGCCCCCGACTACCCGACCAACTTCCCGCAAACCAACTACATCATCATCCCCCGCTCCCACCTGGAGGACGTCATCACGAACCTCACCATCGCCCGCATGTTCTCCCAAGCCATGCTGGCCAGGACCCAGCGCGCCCGCGAGACCCACGACACCTGCCGCGCCTCCCTCGCCGCCCTCCGCGACTCGCTGCCCGCCCTGGGCGAGCTCTCTTCCACCGTCGCCGAGGTCGAGTCCGAGGCGTACTCCATTGACAAGTGGATCGACCATGTCGCCAAGGCCCTCCAGAGCCTGGGCAACGGCGCGGCTTCCTACTATTGATGGAAGGTTTCTCTCGTTCTCTGCACGGTACGGTTGGAGAAGGTCGTCTTTGTCTAAGAGCGCATGGATATACGCTTCAGCTTGGGTCGCTGGAGATACAGGTCAGAGAGTCACACCATAGAGCCATAGGAATTCATCGCAGTACAGTACCGAATCCGCAGTTTTCAAGTGAACATTAGATTTGATGAACTAGGTATCTTAGAACTAAGCCTTCTTCCCCCCATACGCAGAAGCAAAGGTATCATATGTGGCCTGTCGCACCCTTTCAAGACCAGAATTGAAAGCCTGCTTAGAAAACTTGAATTCGAAGCCGTCATCCCCCAAAACGCCAACAGTATAAATACGCATCCCGTCCCGTCTCTGGAACCACCCAAGCTGGAAGTTGAGATTAGACATTTGCCCGTAGAGCTCCGGTTCCGAGAGCAGCTCCGTGCCGGCGGGCAAGTGTTCCACGGCGTTGGAGCCGCGAAGGAGCCCAACCATGCTCTCGATGCTGTTGAACCCCTTCGGCGCAAGACCGCGCGTGTTCATGGAGAGGACATGGCTTCGTGATCCGACGATCACCGTAAGCAGGTTGATGATTGAAACCGCCAGCAGGATCGCGACGACGATGTAGGTGACCACTACGTTCTGCTTGAGGCGACGCCGACCCTTGTCGGTGACTTCCGCGTCAACAGCTGGCAGAGACCCAGGGGCTTTAGTGGAGATCGAGTCCTGGTATAACCCCAAACGGCCCTCGACATTCAGCAGTTGTGCTTGGAGGAACTCGTACTTGGAGGTCAGTTGATGTAGTATCCTCTCATCCCATGTTGAAGAGCCAAGGGCACTCAAAGGGATCGGGCGATCCGTCGCAGTCAACAACGCCTTGAACTCGTTGTCCATTTCGCCAGCCCACGAGTCTTGGATTTCAACGTCTGGATAGGGATCCTGAATCAAGCCGACGGGGGTTTGCCCTGATTCCCGGGGCAGGTTGATGGCAGGGTCCCAGACACCCAAGGTGGCGGAGTCGGGCTTTGGTGGATTCTCCACGTCCACGACGAAGTCTCCATCCACATTGATCATATTGACCTCGGTGTCGACCTTCGCGATGGTATAGTTGCACTTCCAAACCGATAAATATTCGAAGCCTTTCTGGGCCACCGACAGTTTCCCCCAAATATACGTCTTCGTCCTCGTCGGGAAGAACTCTTTGTCTTCGAAGTTGGCCTGCGACCGAAGATTGCAAGGCCCAATGGTATCTCGAAAGTTTTCAGGAGATCCCAAAACACCCCCGAAGTATGCTTCTCCAACAATAGAAGCGGAGGCGGTAGATTTGAATGTTCTCGTCATGTTGGTTCGTGTTTGTTTGGTGTCGCTACAAGTGAACGGCTCATAGAAGGTCGCCTCATAGATTTTCTTCGAATTCAACTTTGCTTCTTGAATGCTGACGCTGTATTGGTCGTCTGGCAGTTTCGAACAGCTAGCCTGGGGTTGCGCAGCTGCTATTGTGAACCTCAGAGACTTGTTCGCTGCATGATCGATGTCTTCGAAACCCCCGAGCGCCGGAAAGACCAGACTGTCGTAGGTGTTTTGCGGATACGTGATGTTGGCTTCATACTGCTGTGCAAGGTTTCCTAGTGTTGTCCGGGTGACAGAGTACTGCGTAGTATCGCCGCCTCCGCCAGACTGAGTGCCGAACCACGTCTGTTGGGAAAGCCGCCGCATTGATTGTTCCGGCACAGTCTCGACGCTGAAAAGTATGGTAATAACGGTGGTCAAGAATCCGCACATGATGGCGAGCAACTGGGCAAATGAGACGGCCCAGATCTTCCGGCGGATGGAATGACCAAAAGCGTTGACCCCCAGCATATCCAACAGTGAATCGTGAATCTCTTTGGTGCCGCACGGTCTAGTCGACAGAGAGAAGACGGTCGCGAGAGCCCGATAAGCCCAATCGCAAGAGCTGACATAGCAGTACACTCCTAGCCCGACAAGGGCCGGCAAAGATGTCCAAAGGAGATGCCAGTTTTCCTCATCGTTGACGTCGACAAATCCGTCGGACGATTCCGATCGACGGAGGGTATACACGAGACCAGCGGCCAGACAAGCCGTAAATAGTCCGCATGATATCCGCGCCCAAGCTTTTAGGACCGTAGGGTTGAAATTGGAACGGCTCCATGCCGATGAAATATCAACGATGGACGAGTCAAGGACACTCTCGACCAACCCCGGATGATCACGGAAGACAATCATGTTACCGAGAACGCTGGCCGGGTCTTGGTGCCAAACTGCAGTACGCCGCCTGTACCGCACAACAACGAAGAACGCGATGAACGTGTTGACGCCAAATAGCGCAGTCATGATCACGCAAATCCAGTAATTGACCACCAGCTTGTCAGTGTCCCGTGAAGTAGCACCAGGCGCATCGGCGTTATCCTTTCGTCGAACGAAATAGTGCCCAAGGAATGGCCCCAAGCTTTCTGTCAGGTTCTTGACGGAATCGTACAAGCCATCGGTGGTGAATAAGCTGGTGTCCGCCAGGTCGGGGTTTTGACCCCAAAACATTTGGTCTGCTTTCACCGGCCCTTGTGTGTTCGATTCGTTGGTACCAGAAACGAAATTGCCACCATACGAAGGTGGGATCGTGTTGTTCAAGAGTTTCCACGTGTTGACAGCTACCGGAGTCTTTTCTTCACCTGGCATGACGGTCACCTGCGGGTTGATGCCATCGTCGACCACCTTGACCTTTGACAACCAAGCCGTCGGAGCGCAGAGCACTGCGGCACCTTCCTCGATGTACATCCGAGAGGAGTTCGTAGCCGATCTCTCAAACCGCCCGACCCAGTACAAGAACTGCGGATTCTGTTGAGGGAGGTTCGGGCAGGGTCGTTGCGGCGCAAGAGTCTCGTTGACAGTCCCAAAAATTTCCCAAGAGTGGGCGCTGTGAATGCTTGGCTGGGGCACATCGTAGTTGGTGATCGGTATGACCTCCTGGCAACCCTCGAACTGTAGGTTGACGTCTACAGTGGTTACCACATCACCGTTTTCATCCTCGCCGTATCGCGTGTCCGTAACCGAGTGGGTTTGCAGCTTGAGGCACTGAATGTCGGAAAAGAACCCATCCACGAGGGCGGTCACTGGATTACTGGAAGATCCTCTGGTAGGACCACCTGTCTGGCGAAAGGTTTGGTACGCAGCGAGCTTACTGACGCCGAACGGATAGAACATATCCAAGTCGTGCACTGCTCGAGCATCGTAATAGGCGCCAGTCTCTAGTGTGTTGCCAGCCAGGTAGTTGACGTTGAAAGAGTCGAAGACCTCGACGGTCGTGTTTTTCGGGATGCCGGTGGCGACGAGGCTGTACAGACCAGGCGCCATGATGATCTGAAGCTTAAGAATGACCGACACCACGGTAGTCAGGAACACCAGGTAGTGCTTGTTCTGAAGCGACTGAATCAGGACCACACCAGACCACATCGATGTGTAGTCCAAACCGAATCCGTCTTTCCCAAACGGCTGCTTCTGGCGCAGAGCGATCCAAGGCATGTATCGCATGGCTTGAAGATTGACTCGGGCCCAAAATATCGTCAAGAGTGTCAGGACTTGGGTCAACGGTTAGTCATTTGATGCGCCTTGGATTTGGGAGAAATTTTGGTTGGGACTCACCAGCCGTCGGACCAATGCGCCACAAGTAAGCCGTATTGGCGTGAGTCTCAACGAGGCCAGTATGAATGTTCGAATATCTCAGCATAAGGATGAGTGCCGCCACCATGAGCAGGAAGAAAACGGCGAAGGTTCCAAGGACGAAGGATTGTAGCCATCGGGGCTTCCAAATCACATTCGGCTGTTCAGCGCCCTTCTCGCTGTCGCTTCCGGCACTAACACTCGTCGGACGGCTTCTGGTCCTTGTTGGCGAGTCATATCTGACTTCAACTTCAGGTTCAGGTTGGGTCTGACTCTGTTGGTGGTCTTGTTCTCGGTTCGGTTGCTGATTTGGTTGCGGAATGGATTGCCGATCTGGTTGCTGTCGTGGTTGCCGTCGTTCTCGTTCACGTCGTTGTGGTTGTGGTTGTGGTCGGGGAGGTTGAGGAGCCGGCCGCACGACCGTGAACTGCTCTTCGTCTGCAAACCCATATTCCCTAGTCGGTGGTCTCGCGTGCGACTCAATCGAAATACCATGGGTGGACTCGGCGAAGGCCGACAATGGAGTGGGATCGAAAGAAGCTCTGTGTGCGACGGGTTTTCGGGGAATCGAATAGACCTTGGGCCTGTCGTCTTGCAGCAATCGCTGCTCAGTGTTGTCGAGCGAATCCATGATCCTTGCCCCTCGAACTCATGCGCAAATGTGTCGGGGCTCTTCCATCTGATGTGTGATGTCTTTCCAAAAGAAGAGAGGATAACTTCGGCGGCTCTTCTGCACGGCGGCGCGCTTCGCCCCCGACGCGACGGGCGACGGGCGGCTGGAAGTCTTTTTGTAGCATGTCGACAACCATCTCTGAGGACGGGCGCAATCAGCTCATTCGGCCGGGATGGCCCACTTCTGCCTTGCTAAGCGCTGGAAAACATGGTTGAAACGATGTTGGGGGCTGTGATGTTGGGTGAACAACAACCAACACACCGTGTCAAGAGCGGCGGCCCGCTCTGGGTGACACGGCTTCAGGGCTGCGTGTATGCAGGTGCAGGGAGCAGATGCAACCCAGGATGACGGATTGCGGCAGCTTTTGGGGCGGAAATGAGCATAGATCGGGGGCCCTGGGCGGCGCAGTAAGCGCAAACCGGGAGCTGAGCGTGTTGGTTCACAGTGTTTACGTACGATGCGACGATGACAGCCGTATGGGCTGGCTCAGCGACGATCGAGTGCTGGTTTTGATTTGAATTATCTTCGAGGCGGAATTGGAGGGCCCCTGGGTGGGACGACTTGCGATCATGGGTGACTGGCGGGTGCGGGACGGCAGATTCTAGATCGACAATATGCGTGTTCAATTCCAAAGATTGAAGCTCGGGATCGACTTGGTGCTTGCGCAACAGATGAGGCTTTGATGTTGGCGTCGCGCATTGTGTCATCTCGCAGGACTTGTTAGTAGCTGAGCTAAGCGGTTGAGGTGTGTTACTACCAAGAAATGCATTGCATGGCTGGTGCCTTGAAGGCTTCGTGAAAAAAGAACTTCAGTATCCATAGACAGTTGATTGCGAAGCAAGACAGCTCAGAGTCCGAGTCAGGCCCGGCGCGGCCCGGGACCGATCCATCCACTCTCCAAGCCGGAGAAGCGGATTTGAGGACGGCGGTGTTCGCAGCTCGGTGGCGATGGCCCCCATGTGATCCTTTCGAAGGGCTGGACCGTGGGATTTGCTGATGATCATGATTTGGTTTCTCCGGCAAACAAGCGACGCAGTCGGAGCATGAAGAGTCAAGCAACCTGTGCGTGGGCAAGAGCATAAGCCTTCGAGTGCCTGGCCAAGGTGATGGCCCCTGCTCAGAGTCGACAAGGCTGCTGGGATGCGACTGTTGCGACGAAGAAATGAAGGGGACAAGAAGGGACGAGATAATTGTTGGTGATCGGCTTTGGATTACTCAATAGGGACATGCGTATTCAGGTGACGGCCGCAGGAACACCCGCAAAAGACGTTTTCCTCTTTCATCGCGGCAATTCCTTCCCTTTCCCAATCACCAGGTCTGAGGAAAGAGCGTACCCCTCCTTGGTGCCTTCCGGCCTGGACCACCGACTGTGGAGTGGTCCCAACGGCGCAGCAGTGACCTTACCTAAGTAGGTGCCTTAGGTAAGCCCAGGTAGGTAGGTAGGTAGGTAGGTACCTAAGCTCCCTGCTCAGTGCCTGGCCAGACCCCTCTCAGTTAGCCCCGCGGGTCGCAAGGGCCGCCAACCGGTAAAGGCGGCGCCACCCAATTTGAAGCCGGCGATAAGGGCACGTGGAGCTTTCGATAAGACAAGCGACATGGCCCCGGCGGTTAACATAAAAAAAACCGTGGGCCGCTGTTTATTATTTTCATCAAGGTATTTATTTTCTGGAGACATTGATTGAGGGAACTTGCGGTTGCGTCTTAATTGCGGGCGGCCACTTTCCACTTTTCATCCTCCGTCCCTTGCATTTCCTCGCCTTATCACTGCAACCCTCTTCTTCTTCAGTGTTGCTTAACAATTTATCCTCGTTTATCCTCGTGGCTCCGAGACAAAAGCGAATCTACCTGCAGCAAGAGACACGGCGTTGCATAATTGCCAATTAACCATAACGGAACACGGCATTGACGGCACCAAACCAAACCGCCAAACACGAAACATTCAAGACACAGAGGAAGGAGGTCTTTGTGACCTTGACGATAATAGTTCAGCTCAGCTAAACCTCCGCCAAAACCCCCGCTACCGCTAGTCAACGCCTCCCGCCCCCATTCACACCTCCAGCTCGTCACATTGTCGCCGTCACAGCCCAGCAGCCCACCCCCATCAGTTCGTCTCTTTCATCATCCACCCCGGCTGATTCTCCTCTTCTCCCTGCCTCGTCTCTTTTCGCCCTTGCAGTCACAAACCAAACCACCTCGAGTCCTCGACCACCCAGCCAGGGCACCACGCACCACGCACCACGCACTACCTACGGGCACCTATCAACAAACGGCACAAGGTCAATCTTCAGTCCAGTCCGTTCACACCGCCACCTCACCTGCGTCTATCCGTACCTCAAGGTATCCGCATCCAACACCACGATTTCCACCCTACGCTGCAATCTACTGCACCTCACGCGCCGTCAGCTCCAGATTTCTCGTCGACGTGTCCAGTCCGCTCTCTGCAATCCTTCAAGCCCGCCACCGCTACTGTCTCGACCTCCATCTTCGCTACCCGCCCATCCACTATCGCAGCCTGAATTCGCAAAAATGGCTTCCATCGTCGAAACCCTCTGGGACTTTAATACCCACGTCTCCCTCTTTGGCCGCATGATGTTCCTCTGGTCCTTTATCGTTCTCGGTCTTGTCATCGCTGTTCAGGTTTCACAGTACGGCGAACCAGACCACACGAGAATTCAGTGGGTGCGCTTGACTAACGAGTCTCGGTGAGTTTGCTCTCTGTCTCTACCTCTCCCTCACTCCCTCTTCCTTTCTTATCCGTCTTGTGTCTCAATCTACATTTCATACTGCTTCGTCCGTATCATGTCGTCTCTCCGTCATGCAATCATGTCTCGCCTATCGGCTTGTTCCAGGCGTCTGAACACCGTCTGAACTCAAATCGCCCATCCCGCTCTACCTTCCGCCGCCGCCGTTTCAATCTGCGCCTCGCCTCGCATTGCATTGCATTCTTTTGTCTATCAATCCCACGCGCTCAAGTCCCGTGCGCAGAGGCGAGCAAGCCTCCAGCTCCCCACCATGGATCTTCCATGCGACAGGGTGTCGCTGTCCCCGCTATTCTGTCTCTCCTTATTTTAGCAAAGGCACACTCTGTTTGATGACATGCCAATTTATTTCATGGGAAATGGAACCCCAAAAAGAAAACACCCTTTTCTATAAGATTGGGAGAACCTCCGCTAATCTGTGTTTCTTCATGCGCCCACAGTCCTTTCTGGTACACGTTCTACGTCCTCGAAGCCTTTCTCTTCGTTTCTGGCGCCTACCCTATGCTCTACAACAAAATGTCCATGTACCTTGACACCGGTTACGAGGAGCGGATTCTCAACGCTATCTGGATCGGTCTTTTGAGTGTTGAGGCTTTGATGGTCGCTGGCGTCGCCGTGCTCTCAATCTCGCGGAAACTCAAGTCGCCCCCCAAGCAGAAGACTAACTGAACGCTGGACGGTGTCCTACGCTCGCTGTCCGATCCTCATGTTCGTTTCTTGTTGCCATCTCGAGAAAAAATACCCGGAGATCACGGGTCGGAAGATGCCACCACTTCAAGCATCGCCCCCGTTGGAGGCCGCTTTCAATATACCTCTTCGTTTTGCGCGCATGCCTTTGCCCCCGATTACCATCCACGAGTGAAAGGCTCTCGAGCCTCCCGAACGACCGACATGTTTTTACGAAGATACCCATACGATTGAACGATTTGAAAGCCGAAAATAGCCACGATCAGCATCTTGGCTCAAAGCAGGAGGAACAGGAAAAGCATTGAACAGACTTCGTCGCACCGGAGCGTTTCATTGCGACACCAACCATGAGACTACGAATCGACGAAAAGCCCAAAAGGACAGATCGTCACACATCACATCCAAAGTCCCTCCTCGGTTCGAACCGTCCACGCCGCATCCTTCACAGACGGCTGCGCCCGGCCTCTTAGGCTCAGGAACCCTGCTGAGTAAGATTGCTGCATGTGTGTTGCACGGGATGCAGGACGTATCCGAATCGGGCAAAGGAATATTCAGAAAGATCTCGCGGAGTCGAGTTTCCCCGCGCATACGATCACGAGATCCCGCGATCTGGGGTTCATGGTACCCCATCGACCTGCGTGGGGTCACAGGCTGGATTTCCAGCTGGCCACCGACCGCACAAGACCACAATCTATCCGTCCAATAGCCAAATATACTTTATCCAATCTACCTCTAATATCACAAGTCGTCTTGTGAGTGCCGCCGTCTTGGCAATGTCGTGCATGCATATCCTCGTCTGGAGAAACTTGACCCGCAGCAGGTTCGATAGTTCCCCCTCCTCCACGACCCTTCCCGGCTAAATGTCTCGAATACATCCAACAATTGCACGTTCCCCGCGTTCATGCCATAGGTACTTGTCATGATCTCGGACGGCTCCCCGGAGCGCGCGCCTGTTCTTCGGCATGTGTTAAACCGAACTGGCGGCGCATCCCGTCGCCCAACCCGCAGCCTCGAGGCTGGTTCTCTCGGTGTAAAGGCCTGAGGTCAAAGAAATGACATGATTGTTTCGCCGCATATACTCCGAGATACGTCATGATTGATCATTTCACAGAGCAGTTCGGGAACATATAGCTACTGCAGATTAATCCAGTACATGTCAATGTGTTGAACAGTTGGTTCTGTCCCAAGAAGACCATCCATCACTATGGTGTCCCGTACCGTACTCACCTTTCTTCTCTTGATCCCACTCGTGATCAGCCTCAAAGTAGACCCTTCATCCCTCCGGACAAATGCCCTCAAAAGCCCAATCTCCGTCAACAACCCCATCCGCCTAAGCTGGCAGCTCACATCATGCAGGCGCAACTCGACCCAAACAGCCTATCAAGTCCAAACGTCTCACTCGCAAGACTTCTCGCCTTTCCTCTGGGAATCCAACAAATCCGCATCCCCGGACCCTTGGGCGCCCTACACCGGCCCGGCACTGCCCTCCCGCTCGGCAATCTTCTGGCGCGTCCGGGTATGGGACGGAGACGACAAAGCATCGGAATGGAGTCCCGCGGCCACCTTCGAGGTGTCCTTGTTGCAAGCTGAAGACTGGGACGCGGAATGGATCACAAACCCCGACTTCAAGACGGGAAGGACGTCGCTCCCGCGCTTCGCCAAGACTTTCGACGTCTCGTGCGCCGCGCAGAAGGCAAGACTCTACATCATCGGCCTGGGCCTCCACTACCCGCTCCTCAACTCCGTCAAGGTCGGCTCGGACGTGCTGTCCCCGGGCTACGCCACTCTGAACAAGACCATGCCGTACTCGACCTACGACGTCCTCGAACAGCTGCGTCCCGGACGTAACGTGCTGGCGGTCGAGCTCGGGAAGGGGATCTACGACAACACGGCGCCGCTGCTGGGACGGTACACAAAGTTCAAGCAGGCGCCTAGGGAGTTGATGCTGCTGGCCCAGTTGGAGTATACCTGTGATGACGGGACTGCGGAAAAGGTCGCCACGGACGAGTCCTGGTTGACGAGCGTTGAGGGCCCCTGGATCGAGGCGCATTGGTATGGAGGCGAGGAGTTTGATGCGAGGAAGGAGACGAATTGGACCGGGATCGATGATGATAGGTCCTCGTGGAAGAACGCAAGTGTCGCAGTTCCTCCGGCGGGCAAACTCGTCAGCCCGAGATCCCCGCCGCTGGAAGTCACAGAGACCATCGTCGCGAAGTCAGTGTACCAGGTATCCATCACCTCCTCCTTCCCAGGTTTCCATTACTGACGAGGCCAGGCAAACAACGGCCAATGGATATTCGACCTAGGCACAAACATCGCCGGACAATTCACCCTCCAGATCCAAAACCAAGGCGCGAAAGAAGGCACCCGAATCGCCTTCTACCCAGGAGAAACCGCCTCCGCCGACGGCATATCCCAAACCTCCTCCGGATCCCCCATCTTCGACGCCTACACCCTCTCCTCCTCCCCCTCCCAATCCTACACCCCGCGCTACCTCTACCACGGCTTCCAGTACCTTGGCGTAAACCTCACCTGGACCCCGACAGCCTCCGACCTCACAGCCCATGTCATCCGCGCCGCCAACGAACCGATCCTCGAAGTCGAGACGAGCAACACCCTCTTCAACTCCATCCACGAGCTCGTCGACCGCAGCATCAAGGGCAACATGCACTCCGTCCTCACGGACTGCCCGCACAGGGAGAAGTACGGCTGGCTGGAACAGGACCACCTCGTCTTCGACCCGCTGGTCGCGGGCTACGACATGCAGGCCTACCTCGACGACCTCGTGCACACCATCGCGGACGCGCAGGCCGCCGACGTGCCGGGCCTCATACCCGACATCGCGCCCGAGTACGGCGCGCCCATGGGCGGCGGGTACAGGAACGATCCGAACTGGGGCAGCGCCGTGGTCCTCGTGCCGCTGAAGGCGTATAAGCAGTACGGCGACATCGAGATCTTGCGGAAGAGGAGGAGGGAGATGGTGGAGTACGTGGATTACCTCGTCCGCAGGGCCGGCGGGAATATGTTTCTGGACGATGGCGGGTTGGGAGATTGGCTGGCGCTGGACACGAGCACGCCCAAGGGCGCGGCGAGCACGTTCGGGTTCTGGGGGGCTGTGACCGGGATGGCGGAGGTTGAGGGGTTCTTGGGAAACGACGAGGAGCAGGCGAGGTATGCGGAGCTTGCCAAAGGCATTCAGGCGGGGTTTCACGGGAGGTGGTTCAACAACAGCGAGGTGGGATACTGCAAAGGGTCGCAGGGTTGCAACTCATTCGCCTTAGGCATGGGCGCCGTACCGGAGGCCATCCGCCCCAACATCCTCGACGCGATCGTGAGGGACGCAGAACGTAGGGGCTGGGCGCTCAGCGCGGGCGAGATATCGCTCCCGTCCATGTTCGACGCGCTCCGCGACGCGGGGCGGAACGACGTCATCTACGAGATCATGCGCAACGACGAGGCCTGGGGGTACGGGCGGATGGTGCGGGAGGGCGCGACGTCGCTGTGGGAGCACTGGGACCTGCCGGTCACGGGCGGCTCGCGGAACCACTTCATGTTCGGGTACGGGGACGCGTGGATTCTGGGGCTGAGCGGGTTGCGGCGGGCGCCGGGGGCCGTGGGGTGGGATGAGGTTCTGTTTGAGCCTGTTGTGGTTGGCGATTTGGGGTTTGCGGGGACGAGGGTTTTGACGCCCAGGGGGGTTGCTGCGGCGAGGTGGGAACGGGATGGGGAGGTGATCACGTATGTTATTGAGGTTCCTGTTGGGAGCACTGGGGTGGTGAAGATGCCTGCTGTCGAAGTCAAGGAGGGCGGGGAGGATGTTGACGGACGGAAGGGGGCTTTGGAGGTTGTGGAGGATGAGAAGGGGACGAGAGTTGTTGTTGGGTCTGGGAAGTATTCTTTAACGGGCAAGTTGGTGTTGTAGACGGGAGCTTTATTTCTCAAGGCACGGGACGGCCGCAGCGGATGTATCACCGGCGGCCGCGGCAAAGTTCCGGAGATTCCGGGCCCCACTTCAGCCGGGTACCGTGTTCGGGGCGGGGCCCGGCTTCGGTCCCATCGCAATCATGGCGTACCTTACACTGTACCCTGACCTATCTAGTTCCAGTATCTTACGGCATTCCATCGGTCTGTCGAAGTTAGAGTTCAACATTGAGTGCAAGCCTGTTCCTACGCAAACTTGTCTTGCGCGACAGTTAATCTCGAGCTCCGTGGAACCTAATGGAACTAACAGGTCGCATTAGCAAAGGCCGCGTTCAAGGGATGTCTCCATAAGACAAGGATCCGTGTTAACGTCATTGCGAACCGGTGGCAACATGCCTCCACTCTCTTCAAGACGCCCGCCCCAACCTCTTAGCGCCGGGTTCATCGATAACTTATCCCATTGTCCAAAGCCTCATCACCACAACTCTCAACCAACTCACGCTCGAGTCCTCATACCATCGTTTCAATCATGCCGCCCAAGAAGACAGTCATTGCGGCCTACAACCTGCCGGACGGATTTGACCCCGACAGTCTGAAACGCCCTCAGGAGCCCGCGATATCACCGGAACACAGCAAGTGGGAACAGGCACTGTACTCCATGTCGGTCGTCCAGTCCTACATCTCCAACGAGAACCGCCGGCTCCGCGACCTGAACGGGAGGACGTATAAGCTCTACAGCCGCACCATCGCCGAACACGACAGCAGGCTCGACCTCGGCGTCAACGAGCTCGTGTTCCAGGCCGCCGCCGCTGCGCCGCCGTCGTCCGAGGGTTCCGGGGAGGAGGGATCCGCGAAGTACGTCGTGGCCAAGATCGTCCTGGCCAAAGACGCCAAGGACCCCGCCGCGCGGAAGTACCTCGAGATCGGGACCGAGCCGTTCATGCGGCCCAAGGTCGCGTCGGGCAAGAACGTCGCCGTGCGCGCCACGGCGTGGGAGGTGGGCGGCGGCGGCGACGGCGAGGAGAGGGAGCTCGTGGGGGGCGGCCCGGAGGTGCCGGAGAACGTGGCGACCGTGGACATGTGGTTCGTGAGCAAGGGCTTCGTCCGCCTCCGCGTGCACCAGGATCTGGCCTCCCCCGAGGGCTGGGAGCACGGGCTGAAGATCGACAAGTTCCCGGCCGACCGCGTGCAGAAGTACAGGATCTTCGCCGTCTGCGAGGCGTTCGTCGAGGAGGACCGCGAGGTGAGGAGGATCAGCATGGTGGGGAAGGAGGAGCCGCCGGATCAGATACCGATCTCGAATGGGAGAATGGTCATGTATGAGGGGAAGATGCGGCAGGCAACGCATGAGTACTGTCCGCCCGGTTGGGATGACCTGTGGGAGGGTGAAGACCCTAACTCTCGATAATCAAACCAATCAGGACTGATTGAAAAGATTATTGTGGCAAATCATTCTGTACTGGACGTTTCAAACGAGATGATAGCGTTCATAGTGCAACAATTCTTCAGTCAAAACCCCTTTGAGGTCAGCTCCAGGGCCTCATGTCGAAGAGCATTATATTAATAAGGTACTTCCAAGATGTCGTTTATCTACTCGCTTTCCCAACCCCAGCTGCCCACCAAGTTCGTCGTTTTGGGACTCAGACGTCCACGATATGATAACTGGCACTGCCTGTCAGAAAACCACCACTCCAGCTCGTCGCACCAGTCCACCCCAAACCAGCTCTCGCAATCCGGCAGTGTTGGCTGCTCTTGGTCCAAGACCTCGACAAGTACGCAAGGCCCGCTGTCTGGCAGCCAAAAGCCCAGCCACAGTCTATGTGTGGAATCGACACGTGAAGCCTTTCCCAAGCTGTCAAGTCTAATTTGACCGACACTAGCCAAACTTCCGTCAGCGTACTTGAGTAACAGCCCAATGATTATAGCCTTTCCTCTATGCTGGCGGCGACAGGGGACAATCGCTACCACATCGTTCAGCTTGGTCTTGTTCCAAGCGAACTTCTCACCAATTGTGAAATTCGGGTACGGTGAGGTTGGCCTCTCGACCTTGGGCGGTCGATCTTGGGGTTTTGGCCGAAGAGTCTCGAATGCTAACTGCCGTACGCCACCTGGTGTCTTCTCAAAATAGACGTGGCTGGCGGCCTTGCCAGGGAGGTCGACGAGAGTCCATTCGGAGCGCTTCCATTTCGGTAACGGCTGCGATCCGAGGAAGCTCGAGCGCCCCTGATTCGTTACCAGCTACGCACGTCAGCGAATGGCGGCGGTGTAATCGAGAAGATTTGCACGTACATGGAGTGCGATGACACCCACAGGGCTACCGAATTTCCAAATCTCAGTCAGAATCTCGCCTTTTTGGAGTGGCATATACATCCAAACTCCAAATTTATCTACTATTCTCGAATCGTGATAGAAGTCACGGCTTTCGTCGGCAAAATGGGCGTGTATCGTCTCGATGTTGTGGTTGTAGGAAAGCGAGTAAGCCGTGATCTTGGGATCATTGCACGGCAGTACCGACATCCGGTGGGTCTGTGTCTTTGGCCCAAGACCAGGAATGTTGACAACCCGGAGACGGGTGTTGGAAAGTCGTGGAAGACCCCAAGAGACTTCCGGTAAGGCTTTATCCACTCCCCTTAGGTCGCGCACCTTCAACCCCTAAGTCATCGACTCAGTCAGCATACTTAACGAGACCTAGCCAACTGGACTTGACTTGCATCTGTTTGGAGCCGGATGAGACCACCGAGGCTATCCAGTCTGACTGCTCTCCACCACACACCTGCTTCTTGTTTGATGGGGAAGTTGTCTGAACAACTGGCAAATAGCAAATGTCGGAGGCCCATATGATCATTCGAAACATAGAGGCTATCAATGGATGCTGAAGAAGTCGGATCAAACAGGAGTATATCTTTGTCGTCGCTGGCGGTGTTCGTGAGGCGACCGACATACCGGACGCCCTCGAACATGAGGTATCTGACATAGATCTTCTCTGATGTCTGAACAGGCGGCAACATGCTCTCTTTCGTCGCACAAATTGTCTTGGCACACTCTATGGCCAAGCGACGACGGGTTATTCGGTCGTCGAAGGCCCAGGCTGCAATGTTCTCACAGACTTCCTCTGGCAAATGGGCAAGATATCTAGTCGCCCTTTGGAGAATTCCTGCCAAGCGGCGTTGATACCAGTGAAGGCGACGTTTGTCTGCGATGAGGGAGGGCTCGATTTCAAACCCAGTCGCGTCGAGAATATTTGCTAGCAGTGTAGCATTCGATACCGTCTCGAGGTAGCTAACGTTACAGCCAGCCCTTTGCTCATCATGGTGCCAGCATTTGTCATAACACTGAGTGAATTGGGTTTTCGAAGCACTGTTATCGAAGAACCCTTCAAGTTGGTGCTGGTAAGGTCGAGATATTTCGGGTCCATCTCTTGCCACTGTCCCAACAAGAAGTCTCAGCATAGTTGCGCGAGGGCTCGGGCAAGACTTACCTGCAACAATTTCGTCTCCAAGGCGAATTTCAAAACGACAAAGCCCACAACATCGCCGCACGCAGACACATGTTATTTCGTCAACGCCCATTTGAATTGCCTGCAATTGGTGTAGGATGAAAGTGGAGAGACGTCGATGAAGGAGAGCGTCGTCACTGTAAGTCCTATTGGTAATGTCGCGGATTTACATTTTACCAGGTCAGATTGATAGGTATTATGCATGTTTCTATTAGCTGCTGATTATGTACCTTCAGATTCATGGATGTTGCCGTGTTCTGAGCAGATATGCATGTGCTGAGATCGGGGTACTCATGAAGCTTCGAATGCACTTCACTAGCGATAGGAGGGGCCAGGCTTACTGGATCCCTTATTTTCAACCAAAACTTCACCTGAACTGCCAGATTTACAGGTCATCATTGAAAGACCGAATACGGAATGCTAGCAGACACTGCAAAGTTCGGCATGTCAACAATCTCCGCAATCTTCAAATCCGCGGCGATACTGCAGAGCATGTAGGCCTCCTCCCGCGTCAAGTCTCTTGTAGCCACCAGATGGTCGATGAGAGAACGCAAGGCTTTCCTGCTGGCCTCCAGCAAGTCCGAGTCGATTCCCAACACAGCATAAACGGCAGGGTCAGCCTGTTCTGCTGCGTGCACCGACCCTCGGGTGTCGTAGTGCGGGCTCGTCACGTACGGCATGTCCTTCCGGACGTTGAACCGCAGCGCAGCCTTCATCGGCGTCTCAATCGCCGTGCCACAGACCTCGCCGTCGCCCTGCGCCGCATGCCCGTCGCCGCAGCTGAAGAGGGCGCCGGGAACCTTGACTGGGAGGTACAGTTTCGTGCCTTGGGTGATGTGTTTGCAGTCGATATTGCCGCCGGTCTCGAGGGGCGGGATTGTGGAGAATTCGCCGGGCTCGCCGGGCGCGATGCCGGCTACGCCGAGGAAGGGGCGGAGAGGAACCTTGATGCCGGGCTTGAAGGTGATGAACTTGTCGGTGTTCGACCATGTGTAGTGCTTCAGCATATGCAAGCCCGGGAAGTCGGAGGCCAAGACGCCGAAGTCGGGAAAGATGCCGGTGAAGCCCCATCCGGCCGTTTCCAGGCTCAGGATTTCGATCTCGAGGACATCGCCTGGGTTTGCGCCGTCGATGTACACTGGTCCGAAGATTGGGTCGAAGGTTGACACCTGCAGAGCGGAGAGGTCGGACGATGTGGATGAAGGAGTGACTTGGGCTCCTGAGGAATCCTGGAGGTCGAACGTTACGATTTCGCCAGGCGATACTGTCAGGACGGGAGGCGTAGCATTAGACCATTTCAGACGGGAGGTTGAAGGGCCGATGTGGTGTTTGTGCCCCATGTTTCGAGCAATATTTGAATCTTTACGTGAATTTCTATGAGCATAAATGAGACAAAATGAAATACCTCTGAGATCGATGAGTTTGCAATGATACCCGTGAGACAATAACGCAGATGGTCATAAGCCCGAGATGAGATGTTACAGCGCTTATCGCTCCCCCGGGATGCGGGGTACCAACTTCCTGACGTAGCCCGGGACAAGGCTTTTGGTCCGATACATATGAGTTGCCGAGGTTCCATTTGTCTACAAATGCGGGTGCATACTGAAGAGAGAGATAAGGATTGTTTCTCCTCTGGCTGGTTGAGTACGTTGGTCCTATCGGCCGGCATCGGTTTCCTTCTCAGCGTCCATCTTCGCGCCTAATGATCCATCATCACTCAGCGGGTTCGGCCGGAACAGCTCAGAAAGCTTTTCATTTTTTCCCGCAGTTCGGACAAAATTTACCTTTGGTACTACATTGGTCAGATACAATAGACCGTTTGACAGAAATAGAAACATTAAGGTCGTCCGAATGTCATACTGAAGTATCAACGACTGCTGTTGATGATCCTTCGGGTCCCGTGTCGGAGTCGCATCGATACAATTCATGTGTATGCCGAATCTATTTCTAGCTCGACGTGAACACCTTGAGGCATAACCTACTCCCCTCGGACTCACAGTACGATATGTAGATTCGTTTCCGCATCACTCATGTCTGTACGCCTCAATTTGACACTGCTGCATTGGTCCAAACGAAGTTGCTTTTCTGTGGCATTCAGTCCGGGTAGGCCGAAGGATTCTGTGTCGCTTGGACTAAGTGGGCTTCCTGTAGGACAGCACGGCGCTCAACGAGAGCTGAAAGTCGTCAGCGAATCAATTTGGTTTTAATTTCGGTTGTCTGCGAGGGATGAGTGAGCTTTATGATGTCGCTGTGCAGGATGAATACCACGCTCCGATTTGTAGTAGCCTAGACCGTCATCTCACGATTGTTTACTCTTTTCACGCTCACTTTCATTTCGACACGTTCACTTTGCCAACCAACATCATCACCACCACCCTTCATTGTAAGTCAACACTAAGCCCCGCAATTTCAACCATCCGAATTGAACCGGTACTGATCATGGTTTAGAGGCTCACGTTTGGCAACAATGTGGCTCATCGACACAGATACGCTCCGGCTTGTGGGGGTTCAAGGCGACCCTCAGGAGGACTATGCCATACTGTCTCACACATGGGGCCGAGATGAAGTGACATTTTCCGTTTTCCAAGCCATCACTAAGGCATCCGAAAGGCATTCATTTTCAACCCTAGACGATATGAGAGAGCACATCGGGGTTACCACCACAAGTGGTTATGGGAAGATCAAGGACTCAGCAAAATTGGCAAAAGCCCAGGGCCTCAAGTATCTTTGGGTCGACACATGTTGCATCGACAAGACAAGCAGCGCCGAGTTGTCCGAGTCTATCAACTCCATGTACCGCTGGTACCAGAAGGCCAAGGTCTGTTACGCTTTTCTGCCTGATGTTGAGCCCGTCGCCGCAAACGATCCATTTGAAAAGAACTCGAGCTTCCGGAAAAGCCGCTGGTTTACGAGAGGATGGACCTTGCAAGAACTCATCGCCCCGACGACGGTTGAGTTCTATGCCAAAGATTGGTCTTTGATCAACACCAAAAACGCCAGCAACAACAACTTTTGCGACCTTCTGATGCGCATCACCGGAATCAACGCATCCGTTCTTGGAGGCACAACGTTCTTGTCCGACATCAGCGTGGCCAATCGGATGCAATGGTCAGCCACAAGAGAGACGACTAGAATTGAGGATTTGGCGTATTGTCTTCTTGGTATCTTCAATGTCAATATGCCACTTCTGTACGGCGAAGGCATGCGCGCCTTTATTCGACTACAGGAGGAAATACTGAGAGAGACGGACGACCAATCGTTGTTTCTCTGGGGTATCCCGGCAGACGAGACACCAGATGGTGATACTCTCTACGGGCTGCTCGCTCCTTCGCCACGCGCATTCTCCCAGCTGGACCTCGATCGAGTCCGGCCGCTCCCTCCCTCAGGGGCACAGCAGAGCACACCAGCAAGTGTCACCAGTCAAGGTCTGAGGACAAGTCTTCAGCTCTTTCCGTTCAAACCCGACTCCGACATCTACTACGCTCTGCTAGACTGTGTCGCCTCCAGATCTCAAGACGCAGCCATTGACTGGAGCCCTTGCATCATCGTTCAGCGTTTATGGGGCGATCAGTTTGCACGAATCACGTCTGCACAGGGCTCTGTGGCCCTCTTCCCCGAGGATTCCCTGGACGAAAACGACGGAACGCTCGAGAACGTTTATGTGAAGCAAAGTCCCTTCCACGCTTTGCCCGAGTTGGCGGTTCAGACCAAATCGCGCCGGGGAGACAACAGAAACTCGCGCCACCTGGAGTTCAGAGTAGCTTCGGCGTACCCGCCAGAGAGGTGGGATTCCACCTTGTCCATCATACGGCCCAAAGAGCCTCAGTCAGGAAGACCATTCGTGGTGTTGCGATTCGTTTCGGACGGAAGGAGCATCACATCGACAATGGACGTGTCAATCGGACTTCGCCGGGTGCAAAAGCGTTGGGAGTTGTGTTACGAGAAGCTCCCTTACGCCGACCGCCGTCTGAACCAAGTGTTCTACGAGGTTTCTGGGCTGGAAATACCGCTGGACCGGAAGCTTTACGATCCCAATGGCCTAAAATGTGTGAGAATGAATGTCACAGAAGCCAATCGAAGGGGTCGACGATTTATTCAGATTGGTCTGTCCGGTGCGATCGAGCTCGACTCGGCATCTACTGGGAATGCAACCGCCTTGGAGATCATAGCTCGAAGACCTCGAAGTTCTTCACATGAAATATCTGAAATCACTCGCCAATGCTTTTACGAACAGGGTCTATCTTACGTTCTGACGCCCGAGGTTCGACAGCTTGATGCGGTTAGGACGAGGCCTCCGCACTTGAAGTATTCCCCAGGATACTCGACCGCCAGTCTCGACGCCGTCGAGATCGATCCAAGCAAGCCGTACGCCAAAATGATAAAAGCGGTTCGAGCACGAAAGGAGAGAGAAATCAAGTCACTGGTCAGCAAGGATCCTCGAATCGTCGAGTGCGAAACCGAAGAACAGGACAATTTCAGGCCGATACACTGGGCAGCAGCACTTGGCTCTCAATCTCTCGTCAAGACGCTAATCAAACTGGGCGCCGACAAGCGAAGCAAAACCAAGAGCGGTTATATGGCGATTCACCTGGCTATATTTCACGGACGCTTCAATCTCGTTGCGTACTTGTTGGAGGAAGAGCAGGCGATTCAGTTCAAAGCGAGTCCTGACACTCTGTACCGATTCCTGACGGATCGGCACGAGTCTGTACTACACATCCTATCGGCCCCGGTTTCGAACGGATTCGCACACGAAGGTGTGCGTAAGGCCATTGAGAATGTGAAAGCGGAAATGGGTGGTGTTCATTCGATGTCGCACATGAACTGGCTGGGCGAAACCCCGCTTCACCGAGCTGCGGCCTCTGGGGATCTGAACGGTATCAAGTTCTTGACAGACTTGAGCGCGGGGGCTGGCGTGAGGGACAAGCAGGACAACTGCGGACGCTCCGTTCTTTTCCATGCGGCTTGCGGCGGCAGCCGTACTGTCATCGATCACCTCCTGGACCTAGGAGCTATGTTGGATCTGGCAGACGAACAAGGCCGCAGTCCGCTCCACGCGGCCGTCATGGCCAACAATCCGGAAGCCATCCATGCCCTGCTAAGCCGGGGTGCGAATGTCAACAACGTCACCCATGAGATCGGCCTGACACCATTACACCTCGCTTGTCTGTATGGATTTTCCACAATCGTACAGCAACTACGAGGGGCCGGTGCGCGTGTCAACCAGTGGACGACTGGGAGCCTGTCATGCCAGCCACTGCATCTTTCAGTTGCTAACGGACACCACGATTGCGTTTATGTTCTTGTCAACGACACCGCCTGTGAGGTAGACAGCCGCTGTAGCAGCTATCTCTTTCTCACAAAGTCTGATTCTGGACTTCAGTATCAAGGGGACCTAGTGAAGCTCCAAAAGCCGTTGAAGCCTGTTGACCTTGCAACTAGTCTGGGTCTCAGCGGTATAGCATCGACAATACAAAAGCAGAGCACCTATGGCATCAACAGGTCGGGAAATGGAAGCAATGCGGGAGAAGCGACGCCTCCTGACCGATCATCTAGAGCAGAGGCATCTAGTGCCCCGACGGGTCCCCTGATAGGTCTGCTTGGGCTCGAGATGCTCAGCGATGATTAGCATGCATGTATTATTAAATGCGGTATTCGAAAAAGCTTTGTGGTCATAGACGCAGTCTAAATCTCTTCATGGCGTATCAGAGCTTTTGATTCAGATAGATAGATCTGTGCATACGAGACGCAGAAGTCCGTGTATGTATATGGGTATTCGTCGAAACAACTTAGCCTCAAACCTTTACTTGACCAAACCCCGTGGGGGCATCGAGCCCTACACAACATGAAGCCTCTTCCATGCAGAACTTGTTGAATCTGGCCCTCTCCAAGCCATCTCCCAAAATCCTAGCGACTTCCATGGAAAGGCTAGACTTTCGTCCAAGGTACCAAAGCGCTTTTACACAATTCTCGCAACGGATGAACAGCTCCTCGCAAGGTGTCGCTCCCAGCCCCGTTTCTCGTCTTCCACCTGTAGTCTCGTCGAGTAGTGATAAACCAGCCATGGCGAATGAACGTATGAGCATCATGGTCCAAGGTTCCGTAAGAAGTGCCCCCTCATTCACGGCGTGGTGATACTCCTCCAATTGGCCGACGTCGTCTTGCCTTGGAGTTGAAGCACTCGCCAAGTCAGAAGCCATACGGCTGCTAGTGTTGCGCAGATGGGCGGCAATTCCTGTTTCGACTCGATCACTGGCTTTGGACTGCACACTGAGCCCCTGCTCGTCCATCAGGTGAATCGCGTCGGCCAGTATCATAACGGCAAGTAGCCAGTGCCCGAGAAGACACACGTACCAGCTTTTGACTTTTGGCGGGAGCGAGTCGTGATACTGTATGCAGTCTTGGAACAGCGGTCCGTATGTCATGTTCCAATGTCGATAGACCGAAAGAGCGTCTTGGATGGCGTTTTCGATGGCTTGCTCGCCCGCATCTCTTGCAGATAGCGTCTGAAGTCTTGTGATCTTCCGAAACAACAGAACTTTGACTGGGGCTGCGTCTCTGAGCTCCCTTGCGATTGCTCCTTCAGGACACGGCCATCTTAGAGGCGCCAGCTTTTGATGTCGCTTTATGATGAATCGGTCGTTCCAGTCCGAGGCTGAAGTGGCTGGTTTTGAGGGATCACTTTCATCGTCCTTCCCTCTACCGCTCAAATCTTTACTGTCTTCATCCGAGACCGCGAGTGGTCTCTCAGTCATTGCAGCAGTTAGTGTGTCGAACATGACCGCCAGCCAGAAAATCAGCTCCAGGGTTCTTCGTTCTTCACAGTTGGCGCCTTTCCTGCCAGTTCGACTCATAACGATTTGGCCTGGCTGACTTGAGGTGACCTTTCTGTCGAAGCACTCGACCCGTCTCCTGAGAACATGAAGTCGTCGTGCTCCTCGCTCCACATAAACGTTGTGCTCATCTCTTGCCAATGCCTCCTGGATTCTTTCTGTCAGGTTTCCACTGCATCCCGTGAAATCGGTCGCCGGCTCGGAAAAGAGGAGTTCTTCTGTGTCAGTCGCATACTTCTGCGTCAACCCAAACACCAGCTCAGCAAAGGCCACCTTGAAGGAGTTGACCTCCGAACAGTCATCAAGATGTTTCCTGGCTTGGTTCCAAAACGAGGATTGTAGGGTTGCGTCAAAATCTTCCCCAAACCCCGAGAAAGATGCGTTGTCGTTGAACATTGTGGTATCGTACCGTGCTTGACTCCTCTGGCTTCCCTGAGCCCACTGCGCGGTGAAGGCCATGATCGAGAAATGAAGCGCTCTCGTAGCTTTTCGGTCTTCGAGTGTGGTGAGTGGCTTAATGCCAAGTGAACCCAGCGACTTGTCGAGTTTGACGACACGGTGGTAGATTCTGTTTGGGAAGCTCGAGCTTGAGTCTCGGACTTGGAAGTCGAGGTTTTCCGACTTTGCTGGTGTCAGGTATGGGCAGTTCTGCTCCGTCAACCAGCAAGCCAAAGCGCCTTCCATGACATCATGATAAAGTTTCATGAGGTTATCCGTCATGAGTCCATTGTTCGTCCGCGATATCATCTGCTGAGCTGGCGAGAAAGCCGAGATCCCACCTGGTTGAAAATTCACCTCCCGTCTCCCTTTCCAAGACCTTTTCCGTGGTCTTGCAGCGGCTTTCATCATTGGTGTCGGCGTGAGTCCGGTCACTGAAGGATCGTGCGCGGATACGACATCTACTTCGTCCAATCCGGGCAACTCATCCGAAATGCCACTTCGCAAAGATGTGGACGAGGAGGCCGGAAGAACGAGAGACAGATCGTCGGGGAAGGAGTCGGAGCTGACCGTTTCGTTTGTTGGAGACATCATGAAACTCTCGCTCGTCGCCTGGAATAACGGCCCCGACAACATATTTTGCATATCGGGGTTTTCATTTTGAAGAAAGTTTGTCTGGTTGGGATCCAGAAGGTGAAAGAAGTTTTGAAACGTCTCGCTCTCTCCCACGAAGACACTGGAGGGTAGAGCTGTTGCGTGTGTTGACTTGGCCCTCTTTCGGCTGGGAGGAGGTCGATTATCGGAAGTTGAAGATTGTCTTCTTTCGCGAATTTGGAGTTGTTGCGACCGAGCCCAGTCGAAGGTGCATCTCTTGCTGGTCTTGAGGCAATTCGAGCACGGTCCGGTCAGATCTTGACAATCTGTCCCGATGCTTAGCCTTAGGGCGGACGTTAAGATTTCACAAGGAAGCACTTGAGCACTTACTGGCGTCCCATTGTAACTCACTATCGAGACACACTTGAACGTCCTTCACCGCTCCGGCGTCGCATGCTCTCTTGCCTTTCCGACATTGATCACAGCTGCTGTTCTGTTTTCGCATCGTTGCTGATCGTGACTGGAAGACGCTGGTGCTGGTGGAGGGATGAAGGTGATTACGTAGAAGAGATGTCCACGCAAGCCGATCAGCCAAAACCCCCAAGTTGCCCCCAGTTTCCCCAACGCGGCCCCCGCTGGTTCTCCTGTGATCTTTGAACTGTCCGGCCATCCGAAACAGCTTCGGTGCAAGGAGCACCTTGTCAGCCCCGCGTTTTAGCTGCATAGAAGAAGCGGGGTGCATACGGCTTCTCTCCCCGTAGCCTCTCCAGTCCCTGCAGCCTGGTATGCTAAAGGTTGGAAGCCATGTCATCCGAATGCCAGCTGTCACCTGCGGCGTTGTGAGGGTTGCATGAATCCGGTGCAACGGAGGCTTTACTCGCTGAAGAACGTGATCGAGGCTATCTCCCAGGTGGAAGTGGATAGTCTTTGAAGGCAATATAACCTGCCACTTCCAGATGAAGGGTCAGGTGATTTCAAGTTGTGAGACTTCTCTCTTCGCCACTTGCATGGACGTATCAGACGAATTTGGTCTCCGAGCTAGGCTTTTCACATACAATTATGAACGATACATTAAGTACACATCTGATCCAGAAGCTCACACGTTGGTGGTCTCCCTCACCTCCTTGAGTGCCTTGTACACCGTCGCCTCAAGCTGGACCCAGAGGCCCATCACAGAAAGGTCACAGAAAGGCAGTATCTGAGTGCAAATCATGCCGGCTATACCATTCTCTCTGTCACACCACCAGAACAAGTTGGGCAATCCCGCCCAAAAAGCTGTCCCGTTCGACCGTCCAGTTGCTCCGCCTGTGATCATGAAAGTCAAGCCCCACCCTTGCGGCTCATTCCCGTGAGGGTAGAGATCGGGGATGGGATTCGTTAGTTCCGGCTTAGCATCTGGGACACCTTGTCTACCGAAGTCTGGAAACTGAGGGATCTGGTTCGTGAACATCTCATCCACCGTCTCTTTCTTGAGAATCTTGGCCCCTGTGATGGGACAGGTTCCGTCGTTCAGAAACACTGACAAGATGCCTATCAAGCTACCGTCAGTCTCAAGTCGTGGTTCATAGGAGACGACAAATGATACGTACGTGTATACTCCTGAGGCTTCGCGAACAAGCCGGCTCCACCGCTGTTGAGCGTGCTGGCGATCTCCTCGTCTGACTGAGCGACCAGAGGACGATGGTTGGGATGGTCTCTTGTGACAATGTTGCCATCAGGTTGCTTATAGTGCATGTAGGCAAGTTGAGCCTTCATCGATGGTGTAGGGAACATGTTGACATTCTTCAGACCAAGAGGCTGGCAGATGTTCTGTTGGATATAGTCGTTGAGACTGGCGTTCGTGGCACGCTCGAGAGCAATACCAGCCCAATCGATGCCAATCTGTAAGCGCGTCAGACACTCATCGAAACGCAACTTCGCGTGCTTCAACTTACACCATACTGCCACCTTTCACCAGGCTGGAAGAGAAGAGGCTGCATCATGTCCCGGATGCTACCCGAGAACTCATCGAGGCCGGCCGGGAGACTCCATTTGCGAAGGTTGTGGTCGAAGAAGGTGTATCCAAAGCCGGCAGTGTGTGTCAGCAACATGCGGAGGGTGATACCTCGTTCCTTGTCCACCAGCTTTCCATCCGAGTTCAGAACTTTGACCTCCGCCAGTTCCGGGCACAGCTTCTCCAGATGCTCTGAATCGTCCAACTTCAGCAATCCCTTCTCTACTAATTGCATACACGCGATTCCGGCAACCATCTTAGTACATGAAGCAATCCAGAACACATTGTCGAGATTCATCGGCTCATCGGAGGAAGACCCCCGCTTTCCAGCAGAGTGAGCGAACTGCTCGGTGCCGCTGCGGTCCACGACCACGACAGTAGTGCCTGGGAGGCTGTTGGAGTCTTTGGTAGCATCGTCTACGAGACTTCTCAGCTCGCTAACAACTTGGGATGAGAAAGACATGGCTGATAAAGCGAGTACCAACTTCTGGGGAATGAGCTTGCAATGATGAGAAAGAGAATGAATGAGACGAACGATGACGCTTGAAATGCGAGGTGTAAGAGGAGGGTAGCAGAGCCTGCGGGTGTCTTCACCCGAGGTTACGGTGCAGCCTTAAGTAGAGCTGAGTTGATAAGCGTCCTTGGCATGCAGCCTCCAATATTGACAACACCCGCATGCTACATATACAGAAGAGCCAATTCACGTCAAGATGTGTGCTGCAGAAATCAAACAACAACTCAGAAACAGAAACGAACCTATCCAATGGAACTCGTCAGTGGGACCGAGGTCCATATCATGTACATGTCGACTGAGAAGACGAGGCATACTACGGGTCCGTCAAGGATTCAAGGAAACACAGTTACCTGCCTTCCAGCTGGTGCTTTCTGATTTGCCGAGGACAGGGGGCAACCCTCCACGATGGCGACACGAAGGTTTTCGTTTCCCCGCAGACGCCGCGGCAGCACGGCATATGCGGATCCGCGCCGACCGATGGACAGCTCTCCGCACTTCGCCTCTGCGACATTCCCGCACCTTCGCCGGGCACAGGAGTGCGGATCCGCAATCTGCTATTTCCGGCACACCATGGCTGACGTTGTGCGGCGACAAGTGGGAGGACGACGATGCGGAACAGTAGGCTTGGTGCAGCTCGTGGACTTGGAGCCGCCGGCCGTTCTTTGCCAATTGATCGCGTCCAGCTGTAGCAGCGGATACGCATTTGCATCTGCGGGCTCGATGTGATGTTCTGTTCCAATTGTCCTTGAGTGACATCCGATGCGACTGCGGTTCAGCAGCATCTGGCGCAGCCGCTGTGATCCATACGGGGATCAAGCTTCCTATGATTGAAGCTCGCTCGTCTGATGTCATGGTTAAGCATCACTTCAAACGAAACTGAAAAGACCCCTCGGCAATTCATGGGTGATATAAGAATGCTTCGAAGTTCCGTCATTGTTCAGCGGTACAGACTTCATCACATTAGACTCCAAGAATTAAACAGTACGCACAGTAACAGAAGCATCTCAATCATGGCAACTACAACATCCGCCAAGAAGTTTGCGACCGACCTCACCGACTATTCCGCACGACGTCAGACTACGGGACCGTACGCCGACAATCTCGATGTAGACGTTCTCATTGTTGGCGGCGGATTCGGTAAGCAAGCGGAAAGGATTGAACTCGCATGGCGCTAACAGCCTCGCAGGGGGCGTGTTCATGTTGAAGACCCTCCGGGAGATGGGCCTTCGCGCTGTCATCTACGAAGCAGGGACTTCTTTCGGTGGCACCTGGAGGTGGAACCGATACCCCGGAGCTCGAGTCGACTCTGAAGTTCCCGAGTATGAGTTCTCTTGGCCAGAGGTCTTTGAGGGCTGGAATTGGTCGACCAACTATCCCAACTATGAAGAGCTGCGGGCGTACTTTGACCATGTCGACAGAGTGAGATTATCCTCTGAGTTGAAAGTCCGATCTACTAACACCAATTCTCACAGGTCCTGAACCTCTCGAAAGATTGCTCGTTTGAGACGGTCGTAGTCGGCGCTCAGTTCCAGCCTACGGAGGGAAAGTGGCACATCAAGACAGCCGATGGTCGTTTGGCAAAGAGCAAGTACTTCATTGTTGCAGCTGGTTTTGTAAGTCAAAAAGTCACCTCGTCCTCAGTCGAGATCTCTTAATACTCATTTCCTTCGCAGGCATCCAAGCGTTACATCCCTAACTGGCCCGGCGTCGAAAAGTTCAAGGGAGTCGTCCACCACTCCTCGTTCTGGCCCGAAGAAGACGTCGACGTCCGCGGCAAGCGATGCGCCGTCATCGGCACCGGAGCCTCCGGCGTCCAGATCTCACAAGAATGGGGCAAGAAAGTCGGCGAAGACGGCGAGCTCAAAGTGTTCCAGCGAACGCCGAACCTGGCCGTACCGATGGGCAAACGACCCCTGACACCGGACGAGCAGAACATCGCCAAGGGATGGTACCCGCGTCTCTTCCAGCTGCGCGAGAAGTGCTTCGGCGGTTTCTTCTACGGCATGGTCGAGCGCAACACCTTTGACGACTCCCCAGAGGAGCGTGAGGTCTTCTACAGGACGCTCTGGGAACACGGGGGCTTCAGGTTTTGGCTCGGGAACTACAAAGACATGCTGTTCGACGCGGAGTCAAACAAGCAGGCCTACCATTTCTGGTCGAAGAACGTGCGCGCCAGAATCGGAGACGCCAGGAAGAGAGACATCCTGGCCCCGAAGGTCGAGCAAATGCCTCACTTCTTTGGTGTCAAGAGGCCGTGTCTGGAGCAGAACTACTACGAGCAATTCAACAAGCCCAACGTGGACGTGATCGACATCAGCAAGAACGGCATCTCCAGCTTCACGGAGACTGGCATCCAGTTGGAGGATGGATCTCACTACGAGTTCGATGTGGTCGCCATTGCTACTGGGTTTGTAAGTGACACCAATACGACGCATCAATGGAGCTACGTGGTACAAGTTTACCCGAGCCATGACCTCGTCGTTGTCCCAGCACATCTCCACATTAGCACTGCAGAACAAACTAACTCAAAGCTTTAGGACATTACCACCGGCGGCATGACAAACATGGGCCTCAAGAGCATCAACAACACCTATCTTCAAGACGAATGGAAAGCCGCAGCAAACACCTACCTAGGCACCACGGTCAGCGGATACCCCAACATGTTCCACATGTACGGCCCCCACGGCCCGACCTTGCTCAGCAACGGCCCTTCAACTGTCGAGGTCCAGGGCCGATGGATCGCTCATTGCATCCGCAAAATCGAGCGGGAGAGTATCAAGTACATCAACCCGACTGATCAGGCGACGAAGACTTGGAAACAGAGAATCAACGCCCTCAGTGATGCCTCTTTGTTCCCCACGACGAGGTCGACATACATGGGTGGGTCAATGCCGGGCAAGGCGTTCGAACAGGTCAACTTCGCGGGTGGTATCCCGCAGTATGCCAAGGAGATTCGGGAAGCGCTGGATGGTTGGGTTGGGTTTGACATTGTGAAGGATACAAGAGACAGAAGCAGGATTTGAGGTTCTTCTCGTGGATTGGTCTAGTTCTTTTCGTACACGGCAGTCCAGACGTTAGCATTTGATTATACTCAGACACGGTCATCTCAGAACCTCCCAAAGCGAATTTCATCAGGCAGAACCACTCTAGTCAATAGACTTGACCTGTAACTTACTCCTCAAGCTTCATTCATTCACATGGTTGAAGATAGGGGATTACTCTTTTACAAAGACATATTACCATAAATTTAATTCCAGACTCTACAATGTGTTCTGAATGAGTTCATTGACCAGCTTCCCTCCACCCTTGCAGTGGAATCAGCGCCGGGCGGCTTTCTAGATCAGGGCAACTCAAAGTAAACTCCATACCGGAGCCTGCCCCAACCCCAAGCCACTACAAGGTACGTCTTCAATCCCTGCCTTTCGTTGTTTTCACCTTAGGTGATGTATTATATTTATCACATAATCTTACGACCAATTAAATGCGGCAGAAGACGGGCTGAAGACAAGTTGCCTTTCAACTACATGCAGGTGCGATTCCTCCCAATACCAAACATGAGCCAGACTACCCACGACCTTTTGTATCAATGTTCATTGGCAATTCAAAAACGGTAGTCTATGTTGCTCAAACTTGTATTATCTAGGTAGTATGGATGGGTGAGAGGGGATGGCTGCGTGTGCCAAAGTGTAGAATCAGATAGAACTATCATGACATTACCCCTGGAGGTAAGAGAAAACAGACCAATGCTCAGTGCCTTCATTAGGCAATCCAACGTAAAATTTTCGCTCCTTCGCTCTTTTGAGTCTGTTTACTTCACTCTTCAGAGGGGAAGAAAAAAAAAAACTCCAAGTGCCTTTCTCGCTTAAAGGTGGGAGATACCTCAACTTAGCAGGCTAGCACAACTTTTCATCCCACCTCACATCAAAGAAAAGTGAGGCAACGTTCCTTCCCTCTTTTTTATTGCTCTTTCCTTGGGAGTAGAAGGGTTTTAATTCACTTTGGATCCTTAGCGTCGTTTGTGCTGGCGCACCAAATAAATACAGCTTTTATCTTCACTCCCACCCACCCTTCTCTTCCACCTCACCACCACAACCCACCATCACCAACCTTCACATCACAACCTCTCCTTCACAGACCTATCCCACTGATCAACTCTTAGCAATCACTCTTGATCAGTACCGGTAAGAAATATTTTTCTTCATCCTTTAACGTACCTACTAACATATGACAATAGCTGAGATGGGTACCCCCGGCCGAAGCCGGCTGAAGACAGTCCTTTGGGGACTGCTCTTATCGCAGCTCTGCCTTCTGGGCCTTGCGCGTAAGTTCCTTCCTGTTTTTTTTTTCTTTTGCTTGGTTTCACAGCAAACTAACGAGATCTTCAGAAGCCCAAACTGCCTCTGCTTCACTTGATTGTGGCTGTGAGAACACAAGCAGCAACGCACACATCTTGGATGGTGGAAACTCTTCCGTTTGCCCTCCTTGTGCTTGTGTCAAGACAACTCGCATCCCTGTTGTCTTCACCACTGTCTTCACCTTCTACGACTCTACTACTTCAACCGCTCTGGTCTCAACTTCTGGACCTGTTTCATCCTCTGGCACTGTTCCTTCCAGATCGTCCTCTTCTGGCACCTTGGTCCCTGGATCGTCCTCCTCTGACATCCTGCTTCCTGGATCATCTTCCTCCAGCAAGTCGACTTCGGGTATTCCGGCGCCTCTTGGTCAAACCTCAAGCAAGCTTTCAGTTACTCTGCCTGGTAGTCCTACATCGCAGTGGACTACAACTTCCAGATTCGAAGGGCCTTCTTTCAGCACTGAAGACAGCACTCTCGCTACTTTGCCCTCTTTGAGTCTGCCAAAGTCATCACAGGCTGTGCCTTCTCTGAGCCCACCAGATCCGACATGGACATGGACTTTGCCCTCTTTCAGCCGCACCGAAGACTCATCACAGTTTGTGCCTTCTCTCAGCTCTCGAGAGGCCTCAAGATTTGTGCCTTCTTTGAGCTCCTGGGAGTGGTCACGTTTGGTGCCTTCTTTGGACCTCCCAGAGTCAAGCTCCTTGAAGCCATCAGAGACCAAAGCCACACTCACACTGCCTCCAGTTCCTTCCTTCTCGAGCTTCTCTTTATCTCTCCCTCCTCTTCCTTCTACCAGCAATGAGTTCCAGCTCCCGTCACCCATTCCTGTTGCTTCAAGCACTCTTCCGACCAAGACAAGCACACGGGTCAATATCACGCCGCCTCCTCCTCCCGGCACCCTCCGGCCTCCCCCCGATGTTGAAGTGTCCACCTCATCCTCATCATCTGCAACTGCGGTCTATGTCCCGCCTGGCGGTACCATCACAGTTGAGCCACTGACGGCAACAACTTCTGAGCCGGATGGAAGCTACAAGACCACGAGCGTTACTTGGCTTTCGATCGATGTCCCTTCGTTGACAACTGTTGGAGGTGAGGCGAAACCGACCATCTTCCCAGCTTGGAGGTGTATCTCACTCGAGGTCTGCAACAACCTTTGCTTGGTCCCCTTCGAGCGCTGTTTCCCCTCGTCGCCCAATCCTCTCGGTTTCCCCTGGCCCGAAGCGCCTGCTTTTCCTCCTTCCGCCGAACATGGCTCTCTTTTCATCCCACCCGTTACTCCGACCGACAAACCCGTCTCCCTGCCTACTTATCCTGTACCTACCTTCCGTACTACTACCAATGGTGGTGGTGGGGGTGGCGGCGGCGGCGGCGGCGGAGGAGATGACGACGATGATGATGGAGGCGACGATGAGGGAGGAGACGACAACGACGATGATGGAGGCGACGACGATGGCGGCGACGACGATGGAGGTGACGATGAGGGAGGAGACGACAACGACGATGATGGTGGAGACGATAATGATGATGACGATGGAAACGACGATGATAACAACGACGACCAAGACGATGACAATCAAGACGATGACCATCATGATGATCACAACCGCGACGACGACACCGAGGAGGAGAAGAAAGCCAAGAAGGAGCTCAACAAGATGCGGGTCGACATTGATCTCAACGATGATTGGATGCTTTTCTTCTTTGGTCTTTTCAAAACCGGCATTCGCTCCAGACTTCGGCTCATCCTCAATCTCAAAGTTCCGTGGAAAATCGACGGTGGATCTGGCGGCGGCGGCGGCGGTGGTGAAACTGACCCCGACGACCCCGAGCCTTCGCTCTCAACATCGGCGAGATCGACTTCCTCATCTACTTCTTCCTGCGCATTCACCTACACCCTCGCTCCTCACTGCACCCAGCCCTGTGTCGTCTCACACATCTCGAACATCGCGACCAACAGCCTCACCACCAGCTGCACAACTGTGCGCTGCGAGACAACAGAGCTCTGCACCAGCATCCAGACAACTACTACTACGACTTACACTACCAAGAAGCCAGGACCCACCGCAGGTTGCGCGCCCAAGTCATGCCCCGCGTGCAAGAACAGCAAGTCCAAGAACATCGAAGGTGTTACGAAGCGCAACCGTCCCGAAGATGTGATTCTCCAGAATATCATGACGGATCCAGCCACGTGGCCTGAGGGCGAGGACGCTTGGTGGGAAAAGATGCGCCTCGTTGCAAAGTCTTATGGTCCTGGTTACCATGAAACTAGCGCCGTTCACATGGACTCTACCAGCGCGTACGATCAATGGAGAAACTTTCCTATGGGCGGCGGCGCCGGGCCCGTCTGGGGATGCGCGATGGTCGTTGCATTCTCAGACAAAGGCATTTGGACGAGCCATCTCTGGGAAGTTCCAAACTTCTCTATCCCCGAGACAGAGAACTTCGAATACTTCTACGAGAACGGCAAGGACAAGCGGCACTACTGGCAGCAGAACGTCGACTACTTCCTCCAACACGGCTCTTCTGCTCAACCTTGGCAAGATGAGTACCCGGGTTTGGGCGAGTATACTGGAGATGGCCAGCCACTGAGCCCCAAGAATGCCAAGTTCTACAAGGTCTTCGTCTTTGTGCCGACTTACGACGACGGTGACTTCATGTACCCGTTGGCTAATCAGGAAGTGGTCAACATCTTGGTCGGCAAGCTGGGAATCGACAAGAAACACATCTCCTTGTACGGTTACATCCGCCGAGTTGAACTCCAAGAGGACTACGCTTACGACGACGGCAACACGCCCCCGCCCGAACATCGCCAAGCTCCTGCTTTCGCCGGGCTTCTCTCATGGCTGTACACCCCCAAGGGCGCAAGCGGCAAGAAAGAGCTGGTTGTTCGCTATGAACAGGACGTCATCTGGCGCCTCGCCTGGTGTGATGGGGACCCCCTCGCCGAGGACTTCGAAGGCCTGACCCTTGGACCGATCAAGCGAGAGCAAGAGACCTGCCCGAAGACGACGTACTGCACCAACGTCTGCTCCGATGACAGCTTCTGCAACTTCGGCGGCAGCGCCAAGTCGCTCCGCAAAGCACTCCCCGATGCGATCCCGACTTATGACGAGATCTACCTTACCAACAACTTCGTCGACCCCGAACCCTCACCAGAAGAAAATATCCACTACTGGAGATCCGTGAGAATGGTTATCGAAGACTATGGCGCCCAGTTGGGTACGCACGACCCGCCTGGCTTTCCAGGCTTCGCGGGGACTTGGCCAACCAGCGAGATCACAGTCTTCGACAGGGAAAAGGGAACCGGCGCCCCGGTCGATCGTCCACGATTCGGCGGCTCAGGACCTGTCTGGGGTTGCACCATGGTCGTTGTCGCCTCGCCTGCAGGTGTATACACTTCCCACATCTGGGAGGTCCCGTTTTTCACTCGAGCAGAAAGTGATCCCGTCAGGAATGAGATCTACAAGAACATCTACCCCGGTGAGTTTACAAAGGACTACACTCGCGAAGGCGTGTTCAAGTTTATCGCGTACGGGAACGACTTGGGAGACCGTGACGACTATGAGCGCAAAAGGCCGCCTTCGAAAAATCCAGGCTTGGACGAGCACTTCAAACCGGGAGGCATGTTCAATGTCGCAGAGTCGGAATGGGTCTGGGTTGGAATCTTTACGCCTACGGAAAGTGGCATGGCACGAGGCGGACCGGAATATCCCTACGCAATTGCTGGCATTATTCAACTATTCGCGAACAGATGGGGGGTTTCAGTCAGTTCCATGGACCTCATTACGTACGTCAAACGATCCGGGTACGAGATTCACGACACCATTGAGGCCAACCCTCACTGGGGTACTACGAGCTGGGCATACCATCCCAGATTCAACAACGGCAACCGGGAAGTGAAGTTGTTGGTGATCCGGCACGAAGAAAAGATCATTCAGAGAAGAGTGTGGTGTGGTTCTGGCCGCGTCGCTCCACTGGGCCCTCAGTCTCTTGAGGATGGGCATACCAGCTCTGACCTGAGATCGGCTCCTGAGCACCAGCGCAGAGACGACGACGGCGCCGTCTGCACGTTGGCAGCGGACAAGTTTTCGGCCCCGACAAGCAGCTTCGCCCGCTCTTCTCCCCCGGTACCTCGCCCTACCCAGATCTGTGCCTCTGATCGGGAGTGTGCTTCTCTTGCGTGCCCTGGTAAACGGCTAGCCAAATGTTATCACGAGCGCTGCCGCTGCGTCTTCGAAGTTGACCACGACAACTCCACGACGATTGCAGCCATCTCGACAGTCACGTCCAGACCTTGGTCAACCATGTCCGCCAACTCGAGCACTTCCATCACGTCCCAGTCCTCATCAACTAGCACGTCGAACTCAACTTCTTCGTCATGGTCGTTCTCGACATGGACCGGCTCGGAGCCCTTCACGACTATCACCGTCACTCCCTTGCCCCCGAGACCCTCAGTCTGGCCGACCAAGACTATCGCAACGTCTGTCCAGCCCACCGGATTTGGAGCCGCCTGCGAGTGGAACTCAGACTGCGCCAACCTCCGGTGCCTGACAGGACAGTACCCCAAGTGCGTCATCCCCAGCGGCCAGCAGATCTCAGGCTGCTACTGCCTTAACCGACCCCACGAGGGAGACATCTGCGCCATGGCAAGCGACTGCAACGAGATGCGCTGCGAGGAGAATCACTACCCGCTCTGCGACGTCTCCAACAGCTCCTCGACCTGCAAGTGCCAGCCCAAGCCCGTCACCCCCGGCGCCGCTTGCGACTACGACACGCAGTGCGCCGGCCTCCATTGCTTGCCCGCCTTCATGCGCAGCGGCGTCTGCGACAACGGCTCCTGCGAGTGCGCCTTCAACCTCGCTCTCGGCATCCCTTGCACGAGCCACGACGGCTGCAACCTCACGCGCAACAACGCGACGCACCCCTACAAGACGTGCAGCAAGGAGAACGTGTGCGAGCTCACGGCTCACAAGCCCGCCGCCCGGCCCGAGGAGCCCGGAGACTTCTGCATGGCGGACAAGCAGTGCGTCGGCATCCGCTGCCACCCCGGCGTCTTGTACGTCTCCTGCAAGAACAACAAGTGCCAGTGCGGCCCCAAGCCCGAGAAGCCCGGCGACGTCTGCGTGGCGGACGAAGGCTGCGAGGGCATCAAGTGCGGCGAGGGTGCCAAGGGCGTCGTCTGCGTGGACAACAAGTGCGAGTGCGACGCTCGCAAGTCCGGCGACTGGTGCACGGAAAAGCCGCACTGCCAAGACGTCGTCTGCGACAAGGACGACGAGGCTCCCATCTGCCGGAGGACGAGTTGCCGCTGTGTTTGCAAGGACGTCATTTGCGTCGGGGGCGCTTGTTTATGTCCCACCGGCGGGCCCAACGGGGATGGGTATTGGTTAATTGGTTAATGTGATTCTCTGTTTCCGTTGGCATTTGGTCTTGGTTCATGAACACAGACAGACCTTCAGGCTAGCTCGTTCAGTATGGGCTTGGAAAGAAAAGAGGGACTTTGAGATAGATTCTGCCAATGGGCACATTCCTAGAAGCATAGACACGGAGAATAAGTCTTAGCAAAACTTGCGTTCAACTTGATACCGTGATGCTTGGTCTTACGCACCACTTTGCTAGCCATGATACGGACAGCACATCCGTCTCCCTAGCAAGTGAGAAAACAGAACACGGAATGCGACCAGGATGACAAAGACGATGAAGGCGACGAGGATGACGATTAGAACCATGCCGGTGACGGATGACATCCTATAGGACGACAACCATCAAACATACTCTTCGCCCGGTGCAGATATTAGTCATGACGGAGTGTTCTCATTACTATCAAGTCGTAATCCCTATTCCATTACAAGAGGAAGGAGCAAACAAACGCACCACCTCTCGTAACCCATAAAACGCCATCCTTGTCCGTTCATCAGGCCGTAATCCATGCTTATCCGACGCTAACTATGATCTGGGGGGTATCATAAAAGCTTGCCAAACTCAACTCACGGGTTCAGCCCCGTGCTGGCAGCACTCTCTCCAACCTTGACCTCCTCCTCCGGAACACCGACAGCGACGCTGCTAGCGACGCTCATCGTAGTCGACGAACGCTCCCTCTCGCCGCCAGGGCGCTCTCTCCGAGCAGCCACAGCAGCCCCGCTGACTGGTGGCAGACCCACGCCAGCGCCGCCGCCTCCGCCGGTGGTAACGCTGCTGAAGCTCTCGCTCCTGTCGCGGGTGGCTGTGCCCTTCTTCTCCCGGAGAGTGCTCTCCAACTCGCGAATACGCTGCTTGAGCGCCTCGTTCTCCCTCTTCGCGGTCTCCAGCTCCTGCCGGTGGAGCGCCGTCTCCTCGTATCTCGTCGTGGCGGGCATCAGACCCGGCGACAGCTGCGACTCGCTTCCTCCGGGTGTGGCAGCGACCGAGGTGCTCCCCGTCTGCTGGTGCGGTACACGCTGCTGTTGGAAATACGTCATACCGCCCGCGTGGGGATCCAGGTGCTGCTGGGACAGCGCGGGCGAGGACGACAGGCTGTGGCGTGAGGCGATGCTGTCCTGGCGGGCGGGGTTCGGTGGTCGAGCAATCGGTATTGATGCCGTGGATGCCGCTGCCGAGCCCGCGATGGCGGTCTGGCTGCGCGTGCTGACGTTGGAGCCGGTGCGGTGGTGTCGGCGGGAGCTGTTGGAGGGCACGGCCGGGGTGGAGAAGGCGGCACCGGAGAGGAGGTGTGTATCGGTCGGGGGTTCGGCGGCGGATGCCGATGAGGCATTGGAGACGACCGAGGCATTCTGTGCGGCGCGGAGGATCGAAAGTTCGCGAGACAGACGGTTGACCTGGCTCAAGGTTAGAGGAGTTATGCTTAGGGCGGGAAGTGTGACTGACCACTGCCTCTTGTTCCTTCTCGAGTTGCATATGGAGGTCGGAGGCTGTTATGGGTCGTGGGTGGCGGACGGGTCCCGGGCCGGAGATGCTAGGTTCGGGAGCGGGCTGGGGGGAAGCAACCGACGCGGTGGCCAAGGTCGGAGACGGGAGGGAGGGGTTCGAGGCATTGGGGTTGTTGACGGTATTCTGGTTCGATGGGAGGATGTTCAGAGACGGCGACTCGGAGGACGCCGGGGCGGGAGGAGGCGGCATCTGGTGGGAGGAAGAGCGCCGAGAGCCGCTCAAAGGGTGCGGTGAGACGGGAACGGTGTTGATATCGGGCATTGTAGATGTTGAAAGTGGCGGCGGTGATGTTGGCGATGACGTTGGGTTGAATTGGTGATGTTGCTGGAAGTGGTTGTGGTTTTGTTTAGGTTTGAGGTTGTTTGCTATGAGCGGTGAACCGGCAACTGGCCAGACGCGTGGTGTGTTTGTCGGTCGCGGTCAACACGCCACTAATCGTCCAATCTGCTTTGACGGGTATGTTTGTTTGTCTGGGTTGCTTGGTTTACAGCTCCATTCATGCTTCATGCTTTCATGCGTTGTTCCCCCACATGAGCAAGGAGGTGGACCGCGGGAGGAAAGCCACAACCCCGCTTCTGCCACACGCGCCGCCTTATCTTATCTCGTTATCGTATTGTATCTTATCTTTCGTTATCGATACCGTGACTGACCCGGGCTCGGGCCAGGGATAGTCCGACCCACAGTCCCGACGGGACGGCATGTCATTTATCCCCCCTGACGGCACGTGTTGGCCCAACTCCAACTCCCGTCCAACTCCTTGTCGCACGCATCTCACACAAGCCGCCCCCGATCTCGACCACGACCACGATCCGACGTCGTATCGCCGTGGTGCAAACTCTATGCTACGCAGGTGTCACAATTCCCATCTCCCCGAAAACCGCTAGCCCTACCGCGAACATGCTTTTTCAAAAGTCTGGTTCCCATGCCAGTACCACCACCGGGAACGCCTGTGTCTCTCTCCACAGGAGCTAATCCCGACGACGCCATCACCAGATATCCAACACAACACACCAACTCGCGACATCTTCGAGGGCCTTCGAGTCTTCGACGGAAAGCCGCACCGTTGACGACAAACTGACCCACACCTGCCAACTCCACTCTTCTCTGCCTGCCGGCGAGGAGTGCTGACTGAAGTCGGTGGTCAGGGCACCGTCATCCCACCATCATAACGGCCATCCTGACAGAATTGTGGACGAAACATGGAAAACGGAGACCAGCCCGCCCTCTCTACCGTTTCGACGTCGCAGATCATCCACCGTTTCACCAAATGTGGCTTCCTCCCTAGCGTCGGCGCCACACGGTTGCCCGCTCTTGACGTCGCAAAGACCAAGGAGCCCCCCTGGCTTTCCGTCTCTCTGTTTTTAGCCCCCGGCAACGACATGCCAAAAACAACCATAACGCCTGCTGCCGCCGGCGCTTTTGCTCCGAGCGGACCTCTCGGCCCCTGTCCACGCGGCCCCCTGTCCCGTCGACGACCGACAGTGACGAGACCGCAATCTCTCTTACTGATGTCTGTCTGCCGCTCATTGCCCTTTCAGCAAACCGTTTGGTCATAACTTCTGCCCATCGACGACATTGCCAATCAACCGAGCTTAAAGCTGTGAGACGGAGCACACACGCACGGTCAAACGCCAGATTAAACGTCCGACCGTCGCACACACAATCCCATTGTTCTGGCACGGTGCTCCTCTGTGCTCTCGTCGGTCAAACGTCGTCTGAACAAAGTCTCGAGCCTAAATTGCACCCACCCGACTACCACCGGCCCCAAGACTCAAGAAGACGCTTTGTCCAGCTTGGCTGAACCAGCGATATAATGCCCCAAATATGATCGATCGCGGGTAACGGAGCAAATGCGACGCGGCGGCGGCGAAAAACAGCGGTAGGTACGGGAACACGACGGGAGTTAAAAGAAATGGAGCCGTGCCTTGACTGATTGCGGTCTAGAATCTGGACTGTGGATCGTCCGTTACGCAACACGGCACCGTACCGTCTCCTGGACCGGTTCAGCGAGGTTCCCCTGGCGGGGTTGAGCCTGCGATCGCCCGCTGTCAACATCACCGAAAAAACAGGTTTTGTCCCCTGCAAAGCGCCTGCCGTGCGGTGTGGGCACCCGATGAGGCTGAAATGTTTCATCATTGGACGTCGACTGCATTGGCACCTTCACTGTGACTGCATCGTGATGCTGCACTCGGCCGATTCGACGCGGATCGCATACCGAAGGGCCACACACACTCACACGCGCGGATACGGATACTCGAACAATGACGACCCGTGACGGGTACGGATACCGCATCTTGTCCGGGACTCACCAGCCACATTTCGTTTCGAACCTCTAGAGAGGTGAGAAAGCGACACGGGAGGGTGCCTTGCCGAGTCCTTCGCCTGGCGTCATACGAGCTCGCCAAAATGCAGCTCGCCGGATACAGCTCTCGGACTTGCCCTTGCATCGCGGAGCGTTCTGTTTGAGACCTGAACGGTCGGAGAAAGCTCCCCAAATGGACGTAGCGGTGTGAAGCGACAAAAGCAACTGGTCACGACAATATGAACTTTGAAGTCGTGCGACTGGCGGCACGCGAAAGCGACGGGATAATTCAGCAACAGTTGAAACCTTGGTCACTTTCCACCGTTTTGCGCATTACCGTCGCGTCGCGATGGAGTCAAACACAGCGGGGCCACGAACACCTCATGCGGTGGAGACGACACAGATTCATAAAAATTGGTCATTTGTGGGCGCCTAAAATTACACTGGGCAGTAGATCATCCGCCGCTAAATCTGACAAGTCCGATCGATCGCTGTGGGAACAACACCACAATTCCACCAAATGCCCAAACACGAACACCGTCTCTCTCTTGATACCGAAACTGCCAAAGCGATGGGGGGGTCGTCTTTCAAAATAAGCCGTGATACGACAAAGGAAACTCGTCACTGTGCGCTTCGCACGCTAATGGTCTTTCGCCGTCATGCCGTTTTACAAAAATCTTGAATATTGAGGATGTTTTCGAGTCGACATCGGCGAAGAATGTCGACTATTCTTTTTTTGGGGCGATAACAAGCAGGATCACAGTCCCTCACTAATCCATGTCGCTATGCAGTTAGCCTTACGAACAATTCTGAAATGGTTGTTTTCCGAACCCGAATGACGCAAGGAAATGGTACCCAGAGCATGGCGGCCCCATGGGAGAAGACGAAGAAGAAAAAAGTCAATTGTGTCGTCACGCTGACATCGAGTCGCGCGCGAAACACGCCGACACCGTCGAAACGGTGAGACGGAAATGAAAGAAAGTCGTCGTCTTTCCCAACCGCTCGCTCGGGTCCGGCTGCGGCGCACGGGAACGGTCGCGAACTCTCGCGCCGTCGCCGGGATACGCCAGCCTCACCGTTCTCGCCCCCCCCCACAGCCTTCGGGATACGGGCAGGCAACTTCCAGGTTGCTTGGAAGCGCAGCCCCACGTCTCCGTAGCTGAGGGTGAGTTGTACAAGGAAACGGGCTGCACAAAACGCAGATCGCGGAAAGACACGAAAAACAAAACGGAAAGAGCCTTTTCGCATCTGGTGGCTGCTTGGGCCTGACTCAAGCCCCAAACGATACTGCGCCCCATCCGAATTCCGGAGATCGCATTATCGTGAGGTGAGGAAAGACCAAGCGCAACGGGCAGAAAAGGCAGAATATCCGAGTCGCGCTCAAGAGGCTGCTCGAAACGCCCGGAAATGTAATTTCTTTCTCGTGTGTTCGATCACGGACCAAACAATCCGAAAGAAAAGAGAAAAGGGTGTGATACAGGAGAGGAGATGGGGGGTGGTGTACGAAATCTAACAGAATAAGGGTCGAAAACTTACAGCAATGCCAGGGTCAGATCACCATGGATCTTAGCCTTCAACGTGATCTCGATATCCAGGTTCAGATCGAGCCTGAGCTTGAGCGGGTTCTTTCCGCCGCTGTCACCACCGCCCTGCTGCATCTGTTGCTGCTGTTGTTGCATCTGCTGCTGCTGCATCATCTGCTGCTGGCGGTAGTTGTCCTCGGCGCCCTGCTGCTGGCGCCCGCCGCGCTGCATCATCTGGTTGTTGCGCTGGTACGGATCGTTTTGTCCGCGATTGCGACCGCCAGATTTCGGCTGCGTCGTCGTGTAGTTGTCGGCGGCGGCGGCGTCTGAACCCTCGCCCTCCTCTTCCTCGTCGTCGTAATCGTCTTCGTCGGAGTAATCGCCCTCCTCATCATCCTGGTCGTCGCCGGAGTAGTAGTCATCATCGTAGACTTCGCCGTCCTCACCCTCTTCGTCGTCGTAGTACTCGCCGCCCTCCTCATCATCGTAGTATTCGCCGCCCTCCTCACCCTCCTGCAGCTCGGAAGGCTCCTCGGCGGCTTGCTCCTGCTCGGTTCGTCCCGAATCTCGCGAGCGCACCTTTGCGGGGTCTTGGTCCTTGGACTGCTGCTCGGGTTTCTTGTCATTGTCGACGGTGGATTCGGGCTCCTCGTCCTGGACCTGGGGCTGCTGTTGCGACTTCTTGTCGGCTTCTTGACCGGGTTTTTTCTCTTGTTGTTGTTGGTCCTCGGGCTTCTTGGTCTTGTCGTCTGTCGGCTTCTCGTCGGTCTTCTTGTCATCTGTTGATGGTGATTGCTGCTCGCCGAAGGGCTTCTTCTCTTCTTCGCTCTTCTGCTGCTGCTCGGGCTTGGACTCCTCGGGCTTCTGCTCCTCGGAAACGCCTCCAGGCGCGTTCTCCTCGGCCTTCTTCTCGTTGTCGCTGTTGCCCATGCTCTCCGTGGGGTTGCCGAACTCGCCGACGGGCGTTGTTCCTTCGGGCTTTGTCTCTTCAGGCTTGGAGCCCTCGCCTTGTTGCTGCTGCTGCTGTTGGGCCTGACCCTTCTTCGATGTGTTAATATCTCATTTTGACCCTCAATTGGAATGAGATGAGATCTCACATACCTTGTTCTTGTTCTTGGCCATTGTGTCGTCCATAAATGTGGTTTAGCTTGAAGCTAGGTAGGTATGCGTGATGAGGTATCTCGGCGTCGATGAGATGAGATACCGAGGTGTGAGGTGAGATGAGTTGTGTTGGTTGGTGTTGGTGTTGACGATTAGATAAGAGTGATGATGAACCTTACGGGAACCAGAATTGGGAAAAGGGAGCATCAAGAACGTTGAAAAGGTAAGATGTCGGCACACGAACACTTAAATCAGATCCGCACGCATCACAAAACACAAAAAAAGAGGGAACGAGGGAACGCAAGCTTGATTTTCTTCGGGATGTGTCCCCAATTACCTCACACACACCCCCCATTCTGACAAGAACAGCTCCTGCGCGAGGCTGATACCCCGTGACGCAATAGGTGTGGGCAGGACGAACGAGATGAGTACGCCAAAAAAGGGGACCCAGCTTATGCAGCAAGGGAGGGGGGACGCAAAGCAAGACAGGGCAGGTCGGAACCGATCGAGAGCAATCAACGAGAGCTAGGTAGGTAATCAGGTCAGGTAGCTGGTGCTAGTAGATGCCGGGCGTGTGTAAGTCGCGGTGGGAGGAGCTCGAAGGATCCAGACCCGCGGGTGTGATATCACAGGATACCAGAATTAGAGACCTTCGAAAGCAGGATTTTGGGAGCATGCCTGTCCGAACGCCCATTTTCGATCGACAGGGTCTTCCAGGACCAAAAAGAAAGTGATCGAGAATGGAAAAGAGGTCGAAGAATGAGTGACGTAGACGTGCTTCCAACGGTCCATGGTCTGCATGAGCTGCAGCATATTTTTTCGCCGAAGGGGTGAAGCAGAGAGAGAGTGGTCTGGGGTACCTCAGCTTATCCCTGACCGAACCGGCCGAGTGACCGAACATGTCTATGTCTTCAACCAACAGAGTGAGGTCAAAGCAGAGTAAGATCTGAACAACATGACGTAGGGTTTGGGTGTGTCATTAAGCACACGCAGTGACAGTGACATAGAGACCCAGTGAGCTGCAAAAACAGAACGGTCTGGACGTCGATGGAGTGGAACCCGCCGTGGGTATGCCCGTTGCTGGCGTGTCGTTGTCTCTTGGTTTGGGTGGGCTGACCCCCAGACAAGGGGGGGAGTGGAGTGTGTGAGTGAGAGAGAGACGAGGAGGGGTGTTCCCGAAACGGGCATCTCGATCCCGCGGCGACCGGCGCGGCGTGAATCGACCACCAAACATTCAACCGATGATTTGAAGCTGTAAGGGGGTGCCATATGATGACCGCAACAGCGCGCGGAATTTCTGCCCTTCTTCGTTGGCGCCAAAATCTCTGTCTTGGCCTTCCCGAGGCAAAACCTGTTTGCTTCAAACCCGGTAAATGTCCATCTGAGGTTGCGCGTAGAAGGCGAATTCTCGACTTTTGAATACCTCGACGACAAGAAAAGAAAAAAAAGCAAATCCCGGTCTTGACCCACGGTTGACAGCTCCGAGTCCCGAGGCTTGTCGAGTTTCTGTCGAGTGTTGAGCTGGTCAGCAGTTCCACAAACCTTCTTCGCTTGCTCGGTTCCTCCTCCTCCTCAGCCTTGCCCTTTGCTCCTCTGCGCGCACAACAGATCGAAACATGGTCATCGGCTTGCTAGCCATCGCGGCCATCCCCACAGTCATCGGCACCGGCCAGGCCGTGAGCGCGCAAAAGAAGCAGAATGCCGCCGCCAAAGAGCAGGCCAAGTTCAGCCTTACGGCGACCATGACCATCGACGGCAAGCGAGAAGAGGCGCCCTGCGTCCTCGTCGAGAACAAGGCAAGTGTTTTTCGAACCCCTTTTTCTTTGCTCGTGTTGATCCATCCCCTTCCTGCAAGATCAACGCCTTGTATCATCCTCTTTCCTGCTTTTTGTCTCTTTTCCCCGTTCTCCGGCTTCGTTCCCCTACACCCACTTCGAACACACATCCCAACCCACTCACTCCCCCAGCCTCGCTCGCACGACTTACACTAGTCAACACCCACACACCACATCGATCGACTAACACGCCGAACTCGCCCCACAGCTCTGGATAGACCATAGCATGGCACGGGCGCCAGGGCACAAATTTTCAGGATACTATTTCAACTATCCCAGCGAGGAGCAGTACCGCGGGCTGGTGTCGACCATCTCCGACGACCCGCCCATGCTGAACTGGATCTACGTCGACGCAGACACCCGCGCGGTCCGTCACGGAGGCCGTAAGGACACCATCGGTCACGTCATAGGCCCCTGGGGCTGGACGGACGACGAGCGGCACTTGATGCTTCGCGGGAGCGGTCTGGGGTTCGTGGCCGTCCTGGAGGAAGACGGTAGATGGGCCGTCTATTGGGACCCTGACGGGAGGTTACGGCAAGGGTACGAGCCGGACGAATGTGTAGAGATAGCTTTGAGGCGGCAGATGGCGCTAGGCATTGAGAGCGCGTATGTTCGAGATTGATCCAGTGAAGCTAGCCAAGTGTTTTCCGAACCGTGAGAACAGACCTGAGTGACAGATAGAGAGAAGGGGGGGCGTGTAAGAGAGAGAGAGAGAACAGAAACCTGGAGGAGGTTCTAGAGGACGTGCGGAACAGAACCCAACGCGCAGCACAGTTCCCCGAGGTTTCTTTCTGCAGCTTGCATGGATTTGGATAGTTGGCATCTGTAACCCGTGAACCCGTAAGTCGTCAGTGCGAAGGGGTCTAGCAAGCTTGCGAGGCCAAACCGAACCGCGAGAAGCTTGTTTGACGGCAGAAAATAGAGTAATGGTGCGTCATGTCTGCATTGGCAATGTGATGACCCTCGAGCCCGTGGTGTGAGCATGATTGGGCGTGCTAGGCTGCAGTAAGGCTTTGCGATGCAAATCCGAAAAGAAAAACTGACAGGGATGCTGGACACCCTCTCGATGATCAGAAGCTCCTGGGATGAGTTATTCGTCGTTGTTAGTGGAGGAGGAGGCGGACGAGTACTCGGCGCCAGAGCAGATCGGGACCGCTCATCGGGAGCATGAGACAGGTCCAACGCCCCAGCGCCCCATTCATTCCGCCCCCCCTCCGCATGCCGCTTGGCCCTCCTTCAACGTCATTTCGGTCCAGAACACTCAGAGACTCGAGTGGTGTGACGCAAAAAGTCGAAGGGGTGAAGGCAAGAGAGATGGAAAACCTGGGTCCCCCAGGGTCCAACATGATCTCATCGGCCGAAGAGGGTGTAAGCTTTTGCATCCTGTTTTGACTGCTTCCGGATACTGTCCGGAATCAGTTATATTTTGCACCCTCATCCACGACTCATCCGTCCGAGATCATCTTAGAAGAAGCACTCACAAACCTTCCTTCATAATAATACCATCCTCAAAACCCTCCATTTCCCATTCACCTTCACGGGGAAAAGTCCATTAGCCCATCTTTGATCATCAAGAAGTCGCATAGACCGTCAGCATGTCTTCACCCCGCGAGAAGAACACGAAGTACGCCTCCGACGAGGAGACCTCCGAGGACACCCAACAGCAGCAGCAGCCCCAGCGCCGCCAGAACCGCAACAAGGGCAGGCAGATGCAAAGGCGTCAACAGAGCGGCCCTCTCGATGCCGTCGGCGGTCAGGATGTCGGCCAAACGGTCCAGGGCGTGACCGGCGGCGCTCAGCAAACACTAGGCAACGTAGCCGGCGGTGCTCTGCAAAACCAAGGCGGCGGCGGCGGTGACAAGAGCGATACCCTGAGGCTCCGCCTCGACCTCAACCTCGATATCGAAATCACGCTCAAGGCGCGCATCCACGGTGATCTTGAGCTGGCTCTCTTGTAAGTACTAACCCTTTCCTTACCCTCAGATGCGGCCCCCCCTTCTCTCGTCAGACTGTCCCGTTCTGTCCTATTTTCTTACCGAGAGACAAGGACGGGCTAGTTAGGCCAAGTTCATAATGGGCTAATGGGCTTTTCCTCGTCTTTTAATCAGGAACTGAGAGGCGTTTTTTCTCCAGGGACAAATCTTAAACGGAATCAATCTTTTGGCGGTTTTTACACGGAGTCGCGGAAATGCAGCGGGCGAGTTTTTCGACGCTGTTTGCTGGAAATGTGTGGGTTTCTTTTTGTTGACCCTGGCTGCCCAACCGCGAGAGAACGGTTGCGCTGCAGGTAGGGGGGAGTTGGTGGACGGACAGATTACTGGTATCCATCTGCCGCGTGTATTATGAAAGAGTTGTGCATCACCGACATCATGAGATACGGACGCTATTTCGGGAAAGTTTTATGGGTATCCTATTCGACGTTAGCCAAAGCATTCTAAACAGTTTTAACGAATGGAATTTGATCAAGACACATCTCACATGTCTCCTCGCTGCACACTGCAACATTCCCGTCGTGATTGCCCACCAACTTGCCAAATCTTGTCGTCAGAGTCAACGCTGGCACTTGGGCGCAGACCACTTCAGCGCATGTAGTCGGTTTCAGCACACCATCAGTGCTCTCAGCCACCGCTAATTGCCAGACTCCGTGCGGAGCAGACATGGAAGCTAGCATAGTCCATGTGTGTTGACAACCGCCGTCAAGCACGCGAAATGGCGGAATCGGCGGAGACGGTGACAATCAACCGTCCATAGCGCCAGTCTTCTTTCGCCTAGCCTCATAACGTTTCACGCTTCCTTTGGTGCCGTTGATCTTATGAATGGGGCGAATCTCCAATGAGACTGTGGGGTCGAGTCCACCCTCCAACAGAACAAGCACATTGTCCATTCCGTCAAGAGGCTAGTGTCATCGGAAGGCATTAACGGAGGGGGCTGAAGAGCGACTAGCCACACGTGCCAAATCAACGGCGCTTGAGGCTACTGCGGGTGCTCTTCTCTGTGCCTTGCTTTTGATGCCGCTTTTCCTCCTGGCTTTGGTGTTAGTCTTGCTGCTAAAAGACACCTCATTCATGGCTGAAGCTTTTTGACAGGATCATGCCGGAATCCTGGCATCAGCCTCTCTACCTCTGGCACTCACCGGAAAACTCAAGAAAAAAAGAAAGAAAACTTTGCCAGAGAAGGTCCGGAAACTCGTAACAAACTCTCCAGCCACACGCCGGCTTCGGGCTTCCTATCTCGTCCAATGTCGACGCGTCGTCGCCGCCACATGATGCGATGTAACTTGGTCAGTGTGGAAGTGTGAGTGCCTGCCCGTCGCCCAATGTAACGGTGGAACGGGCCCCCCTGCTCCCCCACCGAGAATGTCAATGCCACCCAAGGAAGAAGGAATCCACAGTACCGTCTCGACCGCTGCGGCGGGGAACAAAACGGTGGAAACGCTGGCGTTGAATAGGAAATTCTTGCGTCGTATCCCGGCACATCGGATGAGGCCATCAGCCACTCACCGCGGACCGCTTCCGTTCGTGAGGTGTGCCTCTTAACCGACGGCCAACCAGTCTCAATCGTCAAGCCACCTGCCGAGTACGTTTTGCGCCGATCGTTCGCTCCCGTCTCATTTCCCTCGTTCTGGGCTCTCGTCGACTTTTCGCCTCTTGCACTTCATTGCCCCCTCTGGAAACCATCGAGATCAGCATAATAGCCGCCCTCCGTTAAGGCATATCTCGGGCACTGTCTTGAAAACTCGAGACGTCTCTGAGGCCTGGTGAAGCTGTCCCGGGCATAACGCCAGCCCGAAGTTGTGATGAAGCTGATCACCTGGTGAGCCACATCTGAAGTCTGCTAATTCGCCGTCGGTCTGTCGGTGTCTGCCGCCTTCTTCGCAGTGTCTGGCTCTTTCCCTCCAAGCTTCTGCATAGCTGAAGCCTGAAGAAGAGCATCTCGACGCCAAATTCCGGCCGGGGTAGCGCTGCAGTTTGCGCAACTATCCGCCTAGCCCTCCGTCCTTTGCTTCTCCCAGGATTCTGTTGACGGTTAGCCGTGCGTTCCGTCTGCACAGTACAGAGCGTAGAAGCGAGCCCGACCACTCAGGAGCACGGCTACTCGCACAGTCGTTCAGGTCTCGACAAGAAAACAGGCTTTGGTTGACTTGTCGGACCTTTTGTCCTCCAATCTCAGCGTTGTGCCGGCGCCTCTTTCGGAGTCTTGTCTGGTTTCCATCCTGCCATCTTCACCACCCGTCGACAATCCCTCCCACGCTTGCTTCTTCTCGTTGTTCTCCGAAGTACCCGGTGGAGACGTTTGCGTGTGTCTGGAGCCAGTGGAGACGACAGATCTCGGTTCGACAAGTACTTGATCCCATCACCCTTGTACAACATCCTGACAAGGTGAACCGTCGCCCCGTTCGCCAGTTCTGGAACCCCAAGCTGCCCCAGCATCTGTCACGGCAGCGGAGAACCCACCCTCATCAACTCGTCCATCTGACGTCACAACGACAAGACCGACCCCCTCTGCCTAGCAGGCTTTGCAGACCTTGCAGAAGCGCTGGCCGCGTTGCTCAACCTCCTCTACCAGTCTGCCAGAGCAGATAAGCCCCGTCCGCGTGGTTGCTGCTCGAGGGGTGCACCGAGAAAAGCACATCTCAGCACAGTCTCTTGATCGGAGTCGATTCCAACAGCTGATTCCCGAAGCAAGGCGATCTGCAGGTGGGTGCCTTTCTCCTTTCTTTCTCGCAGTTGGCCTTGTCCCGGCCATCCTGGCCATGTTCCCCCTCACCTCGCCGGCGAGACCCAGCTGACGCCAAATGATCTTGTGCAGACGACCTTCAGGGACTGTCCAATGATGACGGCATCCCCTCCTACTCAGCCGATTCCCCCCACAACTCAATTCGACAAACCACGCGAGAGCCCAGCATCGACGTCGACCGTACCACGGAGTCTGCAAAAGACCGTCCCCGAAAACGAACAACCCTCGTCGCACACTATGCAGCGTACCGGGCCTCGGCCTGCATCAGACGGCGATCCGGAACACGCCTCCCGGCACGACGAGTATGAGGTCGTCGAAGTCGAAGACGACGATGCCGGGGTGGAAGAGGTGCCTCGGCGCAACGTACGCCCGCCTCTGCCCCGTCTGAACTCGTCGTCCCGAGCACCTGGCTCACCTGCTCCTCCGCCTGAAACCAATCCTCCGCAACCTCCCCCTCGTCGAAGCAGCAACGCGAGCACCCCACAGCCGCAGCAAGGCGGGCCTTTTCATCTCTCGCGGGAGATACCCATACCGATTAGGAGCTCTTCGACACAGGGACAAAGCGCACACAAGGCACCGCCGACATCCTCAGCAGATACTGCAGACACTACAGACAGCCGCACGGATGAAGGCACACAGGACTCGAAAGAGTCCAAGGAGACATCGCCCGGCGCTTCCAGTCCCAAAGGCAAGGAGCCGGAAGGAAAGAATGCTCCTATCAATATACCCAAGGTCACCCCTGTAGCGTCTGGCCTGACGATACCACCCAATCTCGCCGACCTAGCGCAAGGCTTGGACGGAAAGTATGTCGATGAGTTCGGAAACATTTTGGACTGGAATGGCCAGGTCTTGGGTCGTGTCGAAGGCGACCTTCCCTCGATGATCGGACGACCCGTCTCCGTGACTGGTGAGATCTTCAGCGAGGACGGCGAGGTTGTCGGCTACGTCGCAGAGAACGACACTATTCCACCAGCGCCTCCATCTCCCCAGCCCATCCAAGGCATGGGTGAAGGGCTGAAAGTAGACCATATGGGCAACATTCTCGACAGCAACAATAACGTCGTCGGGCATTTCGACGGCGCTCACATGGCCAAGTCGGTTCAGAAACCGGGCCAGACTGGTGGGCAGCACTCTCACGGTGCTCGCCCAGCAAACAACCCTCAGGCGGATCAGAACTGTAGCTGTGGTCGACCTAAACCGTCGTCTGCTCCCAGCCCGTCTGAGGTGTTCATGGACGTTAAGTCGACTCACGATGGCATCCAGCTGATTATCAAGATTCCAACGGTGTTCAACGGTGGCGGGGTCCCAAATATCCATATCGGAACTGGATGAGAATGTTGACGGTATTTTGGAGCTTGGATGGACGTCGATCATGGAGTTCTGGAATGGTTCTATAGATGCTAGCATGCGGCGGCGTTCAGACGGCGGCGAGGCGGTTGTGATAGGCCAGGAGTAAGTCGTCGTTCCAATGGGATCCGGATTAGGCAATACATGACTTGGATAAACGTGCGCTTCTGAGACCCCCGTTGAACTGCCAGTAAGGCTGAAAGGCGGGTGAGGTCCAGAACCCCAAATGCGAGCGGGCGCATAGACGCGGCAAGTGATTCGGGTGATTCCAGAGCGTGGCGAATGGGAGGCCGGCGTACGCGTTTCGGAGAGCGTCATGACGTTGGTTGTGCATGGAAAACTGCACGACAGCAGGCCAGCCTTCGTGAACTTCGCGATCCTCATTTGCAAAAGAAAGTTGGGAGGGCAGGTTGGACGGGTCCGGGGTGAAGCTGGTGGGGGATCTGACGAATGAATGATGCAGAGCAGGGAGGGCCCCGGGATGCACTAGCCACACCAACTGGGAAGCTCCAAGAAAGAGGCCGGGCGATCCAACTCGAGAGCCAATGGCAGCAAGCCCGACTAGCAGACTGTCACACCATCTCCCAAGGTGCAGCTGTCTTTTGAAAGTCAACTTGCGTCATGAGACTGGGATCCAGAGTCTGTCAACCCCTTTCGAGTACGTTCGAGTGCTCGGACGAGTGTGGCTTTGCGTCATGATAGACGGCACACGAGCCGGCCTCTATTCCCCCCATGAAGTCACTCTGTGGCGCGAGCAGGCCAGAGCTTCAGGGAGAGCTCCTCGAGCTTGAGCTCCCCTTGACGTAAGTTTTGGTGAGGCTGTAGAGCTGGAAACTTGATTTGGTGTGTGAGGATTTCTGGTATAAGACGTCCGACCGGCAGGTGATTGTGCTGAGTTTTGACTTTTCGAATCTCAATTCAAAGCTTTCATCTCATGGGCCACTATACCTTTTCAAACTATTAGCCCACTTATGTCACAATACCCAAACAATAATCTACTCTTTCTCAGACATCGTACAGACGTCATGGCTGGTGCTGCCTCGAAATCAGGAAGCAGCATGCCCGGTGGATGGGGGAAGGGAGAAGATAAGAAGTCAAGTGGGTATCCCAGACTCACCAAGTTCACTCGAGTTGGCGACTGACACGATGCAGCATATTCGGTCGAGCAAGATATTCAAGACCATGGCGAGAACCTCGTTGCCGGCGTCATTGGCAAGACGGGCGAGGTAGTTGACGAGACCGGCAAGACCGTCGGTAAGGTTACGGAAGGCGAAGCTGGCGACCTCGTCGGCAACGTCGTGACGGCGACCGGCGACATCATCGGCAAGGACGGCGGTGTCATCGGCAAGGCTCTGCCCCTGGGCGAGTTGACCGAGAGCGTCGCTGGTGGTGAGAGCAAAGAGGGCGGCGGCTTCAGCGTCATGGGCGCCACCAAGGGCGTCAAGGGCATCGTCGACACCGTCGACGGCACTGTTCAGACCGTCAACAGGACACTACCACTCGTCGGTGATCTGACGAAGGGCATTGGCCTGGGTGAAGGTCAGGGCGGTGTTCTCGGCGGCGTCACCGGCGGCGATGGTCAGGGCGGTCTCTTGGGAGGTGTCCTTGGCGGCCAGGACCAGAAGTCGCAATCCGGCATCCTCGGCGGTACACTTGGCAGTGTGGTCGGCGGCAAGAGCGAGAAGGAAGGCGAGCAGTCCGGACTTCTTGGAGGTGTCTTGGGCGGCACCGAGCCCTTGGAGCATGACGACAACGTCACCGAGAAGGACGAGAAGCTCACCCAGCTTCTCTCCAACAGGCCAGACGACCCGGAGGACAAGATTTCCCTCACCGAGGACGCGAAGAGGAGCCTTTTCGAAGTCAACGACAAGACCTCAGAGGTTGCACCCGTGAACCTCCAGGACAACACCCCTCAAGAACTCAATGGCAAGCTCACCACCGGAGACAACACCCAATCGGAGACTGAACCATCCCAAGCTGACAAGACTGAGCTTACAGCACCCTCCACTGTTGGCGACAAGTCTCAGTCAGACCTCAACGAGGTTGAGCCGGAACCGTACGAAGATGACGACACTGGCACCGCGAGACCCCAGGACTTCCAGGACGATGCGACCGAACAGGCCGAGTCGTACAGAGAAGATGCAACTCAGAAGACCCCAACGGTCGGCGACGATGCCACTGAGAGGGCCACAGCCGACATCCCCGTCTCCCAGATTCCCTTCACTGATGCCGAAGGCACCGAGAGGGCTCCCACCGAGAAGACCGCCACCGAGAAGACCCGCACGGTTGACAACGACGACAACACCACTGAGAGGGCCACGGCCGACATCCCAGTTTCTCAGATTCCCTTCACCGATGCCGCTGGCACCGAGAAGGCTCCCACCGACAAGGCCCCCACCGTCACATTCCAAGATGACGATGAGTACTACGATGACTTCAAGTCGCGTGTCCCTGATGACATTGCAACTCTCGACATCCCCGTCTCCCAGATCCCATTCGACCTCAAGAGCGAACTTCCCGAAGACTTGCAGACGGCCGACATCCCAGTATCCCAGATTCCTTTCGAGGAGATGTCCAAGCTACCCACGGACCTGATCTCCAGACTCCCCGAGGGCTTGCAGGGCACCAACGTCACTGATTTCGCCAACCAGTCTCAGCTCCCAGCCGATGAGGCGGAGACTGGCGACTACCCCCAGTCCCAGTTGCCCGAGGATGCGCAGACTGGCGAAGTCCCGGCTACCGAGGCCGGCGAGACCATCAAGACCGCTCAGACTGGTCAGACCGGACAGACTGGCAAGTCCCAGATCAAGGAGGACACCCGCAGCGTTCTCAGCACAATCCGCTCCGCCATCCCCGAGGATCAGCGAACCGTCACGGTTGCCGGTGACAAGCTTCTCAAGCCTTTCGAGAAGTTCCCTGGCGCGGAAGTCGATGACGAGGGCAAGATTATCTTCCAAGACGCCTCCATTGGTAGAGTCGCCGACGGTGACCCTGCCGACTTGGCTGGACACGTCATTGATGCCGAGGGCAACATCGTCAACGAGCGAGGCAGCATCATTGGCAAGGCCGAGCTCAAGACTGAGGTTGCTGAGGAGTTGTTGAAGGACACTATCGACTACTCCGTCCTCAAGGGTGCCAAGGTCAACAAGGCAGGCAACCTCGTCAACGACAAGGGTGAAGCCATTGGTCGCGTCGTCTCCGGCATTCTCAAGCATCTCGTAGGCCGCAGGGCTAACGAGAAGGGTGAGATCTGGAACGATTCTGGCAAGGTCATTGGCCAGGCCGAGCCCATCCCTGAGACTGAGCGTGAGGAGCTCAGCGAGCCCGCTCCGTTTGAAGACTTCCCCGGCGCTACTGTCGAGTCTGACGGCAATGTCTACTACGAGGGTCAGATTGTCGGTCGCGTCATTGACGGCGACCCGAAGAAGCTCAAGGGCAAGAAGGTCGACGACGATGGTGACATCCTCGACCGCAGCGGCAACACCATCGGCAAGGCCGAGCGATGGGAGCCCGAGCCCGAAGCGGAACCCGAACCGGAGCCGGAGGTCGTCATTGACCGTTCCATCCTTGCTGGCAAGCGTGTCAACAAGGCCGGCAACGTCGTTGACACCAACGGCACCATCTTTGGCCGTGTGATCGAGGGCGACATCAAGCGCCTTGTCGGTCGCATGTGCGACAAGGAGGGTAACATCCGCAGCGAGTCCGGCGACATCCTCGGCAAGGCTGAGCTGGTGCCCGAGGGTGAGCGCGAAGGCTTCAAGGAGGGCCCTTTCGCCGAGCTTCCTGGCTGCACCGTCAACAAGGAGGGCCATGTCGTTACGCCCGGCGGCGACATTGTCGGTCGCCTGACCCACGGTGACCCTAAGGTTCTTTTCGGCCGTGCCGTCGACGAGGATGGAGACATCCTGGACCGCAACGGTAACCAGCTTGGCAAGGCCGAGCGCTGGGAGCCTGAGCCCGAGCCTGAGGTCGAGAAGAAGAAGGGTCCCATGGCTGGTCGCAAGGTCAACCGCCAGGGTGAGGTTAACGACGAGGATGGAAACATCATCGGCAAGCTCACCACTGGCGAACTGTCCATCTGCGCTGGCAAGGAGATTGATGACGACGGAGATGTTGTCGATTCCAAGGGTCGCACTGTCGGCCACTGCTCGCTGATCGAGGACATTCCAGAGCCCGAGGTTGAGGAGCCTGAGGAGGATCCCGCCGAAGTCAAGGCCCGCGAGGAGGCTGAGGCTGACCGCAAGTTGGCGAGATCTCTTGGTGCCGTCATCGAGCAAGGTCTTGACCGTATGCGTCCCATCTGCAAGATGATTACGCAGAAGGTCGAGAAGGCCGAGCGCACCCCCAAGGAGGAGCTTGATGAGGAGCAGCTCGTCAAGGATGTCAAGCCTCTCATCGAGGAGGGTGGCAAGATCCTGAGCGAGTTGAACGGCAGCGTTCGTGCTCTTGACCCCGATGGCAGAATCCAGCGCAACGCCAAGCACAGAGCTGGTACTCGCGAGGCTTCTCCCGAGGAGCACCACCTCGCCGAGGTCCTGAAGGAGGTAAGTAACAACCACGATCCTAACACTTGACAACGATACTAACAACGTTTCCAGTTGACTGGCTCCATCACCGAGACTGTCGACGCTGCTAAGCGTAAGATCGACGACATGCCTCACGCCAAGAAGGAGTTGAACCCCCTCTGGGGTCTCCTCACCGAGCCTCTTGGCCAAATCCTCGCTGCCGTCGGTCTCCTGTTGGCCGGTGTTCTCAACCTCGTTGGCCGCCTTCTTGGCGGTCTTGGTCTCGGCGGTATTGTTGATGGCCTGTTGGGCACTTTGGGACTCAATCGTGTGCTCGAAGGCCTTGGTCTCGGCAGCTTGACGACTGCCCTTCGTGGCGGGAAGAAGAAATAAGCGGTTTCGGTAACGATGTTATGACTTGAGCGTCCCAGCGTGTTCTCGTCGATGGCTGCCTCACTGGCGCGTGTAATTTCCTTGGCGTTGTATTTCTCTGTTTGTGGACTTGGAAAATGTTTGGAATCGGTCATGTATGAGTAGCACGATAGCGAACAATCTGTACGGCCTTTCTCTTTCGACATATGTTTTTATCGTTTAGTACTTGTCTTCGTTAGTGATGAGCCGATTCGGTATTGCGATGAAGAGGTGAAGTTGAAGACACGATGGGAAAGGGCAGGATGCGGTCCAAGTAAAGTTTTTCCTGATGGGGTGGCACCTGAACCGCAAACAAACAAGAATCGGGCAAGTGCGACATTGACGGGGGACGTGAGGCAGGGACTACCATCGTTGCCTTCCTCACTGACCACCGCGCCTTCCTTTTCATCGCGGCACCCTTTCGCCAACCATGTGGCTTCCCGTCGCTGTCATCCCAGCACAGTCGACACATCTTCCAGGATGCAAACCGAAACATGACACCACATGGTGTCTCGAAAAGCCTGGACTGAGTGGAAAAAATAAACACCAAATGCTTGTTGCACTCACCTTCAATATCGGGGTCGGGGGCCACGTCGGCATGCCCTCTCCTTTCCGGATCCAACCCCGCGATTTAAACTTTTGTCGTTATTGGAGCCCTGGTCGATAATCTCCCCGAACACGCCCTGAACCAACAAAAACTCCGGGCAATCATGGTTCAAGAACCAACTTTTGACATCCAATCCTACAAAGAACCAAAATCATCCCGGATTGTGTATCGGCACGAGGGCACTACGACTCTTAAGGACCAGGCGCAGCGAGAGCCATCGTCGATTCCAGAAACGACGTCGCTCCCTGGCCGAGTCGCCCGATTCTGATTGCGACCGGCGATGGTCAGTGATGTCTCGGGTTAGCCTGCGTCGCCCATTTCCCTTCTTGAACAGACGGGCGTCATAAAATTGGGCTTGACGGTGGAATCACTCGCCCAAAGAAGAGAGGTATCACATCTCACGCGGTCGGGAACGCGCTGATCCGTTCGTTCATGGAGCTTTTTCACCGCCATCACCAAGCCCCTGTCTGCCGGCTCAGCGGGCATTTTCAATCTTCAGCGGACGTGTTCCCGCCGACGCGACGCGCTAGCGGTTGGCGTGCCCCGCTAGCGGGCAGAATCCCGTCCTCGCTGCTGCTCACTTGCTCCGAGCGCCCCGCCGACCGCCAGCAACTCCTTGCTGCAGCTGTGAGAACAGGAAACGATGCATTCGCGAGAGTACCTGCAGTAGAATGCCTGTAGTATTGTTGTTCCCTTTTTTCCATTCATAATGAGTCCATGTCATATCTCCATCGCTATGACATGACTCTGTCATGTGCTCACATGAAAAAGTATTAGATTTGATGACATCTGATGAGAGATGTTCTCTTGGCTGTCTTCTGCACTCAAACTTGAACTGTTAGTGGAAAAAACTAACTGGATAACTCCCACCAGTCAAAGTCTGCAAGAAGTGCCGAGAGTTCTTGAACGTTGAATATTCTGAATTTCTGAAAATACGGAACATACTTTACTTGCTGTATAAGTCTCAACTTCGACTATTTTATACTGCTTGCCCACACGTCTCCTCTTTTGCCAAGTCCGAACATTCTAAACCTCAACCGATTTCGCAACTGATGCCGTGCCAAACCCAAATGAGAAACCCATATACATGTTTTGTATCTCATGTAACAGTAGAAAGCTCTAGATATACGGTTGATAAAACGACGACAGCATGGGCTTAGGTTCCCCGGCTTCACGGTCTCCTTATCGGTCAGGTATTTACGTTGCCGATGGTCCATACCCCCGAGGTCAACGAACGATTAATGTGCTGTAGTCAATTCCACCATCATCATACAACCGTAGCTTCCATCATTCAAGATACCATCGTCCTCTGAGGCTCTTTGCGGTTGGTCGTTAATGAAGTAAGATAAGAGTTTATGGCGAAAGCTCAAATCAAAGAGTTAATGAGAAACAGATATGAATCAAGAATTTCAGATCTTGTGATATCCAATATCTTTACGGACTGCCTCGACACTTGTTGTGGCACCATGGTCCTTTCGCTTCATATGAAGGTGTTTGTATACAATCATCATCGCTGCGTCTTGACAATATTATGCAGCAGAATTGGCTTAAAGAATGCTGATGTGGACAGCTGATAGATATCCACAATAGTAAACGCGTCAGGAAGGCTTTTCCATCCCCAAAATGTGTTCTTCAATGTATGTTTTTCGTATCTTATTAAGATATCAAGGACTCTTACAAGTTAGACGGAACTCGCGGAAGCTTCAAAATGCTAACGGCTGTATCCTCACCTACGCCGGGGTCGAGGGGTCAAGTGTGTAGATAGGAAATCACGGGTTCAGTGAAACAAATGGGATCAAGTCTGATTATTTCTCCTATTGATTATCCGTGGGTTATTCATCTCATAGTTGTAGCTGCATGCGAGAGCTTAGCGATTGATTCTCAAGAAACTCCCAAGTCGGGCGGCACGGAGCTCACTGAAGCATCATCAACTATTGAACGTGCCTCTGCTAGTGATTACTTCCTTTGAATCTGCGCTCAAACTTATAGCAGAAATCAGAGCCGAGTAAAATAATTCCAAGTCCACATACAAGAATTCACATCATCCAAGGGATTGCATCTTCACCCATCTCAGGCCCGTCGTTGCCTCTCGTCATCTCAAGAAACGCCGATAAGCAAGTCATCGGCGGTACCACAATCTCCGATCTTATCGATACCACTTATCAAAGCTGGCCACCTTGTCGATAAGAGCTCCGGCTCCTCACGACCCACCAATCGACCTCATCAACCTCCCAAGTGACGTCAATCCCACGGCACGCAAAACCGCATGCCATATGACGGCATCAGCAACACAATCTGACATCAAACCGCCGCAATCAGCGGGATGCGGGTGGAAGCCACCTCCCCAGCACGGCAGGTCCAGGTGCATGGACTGATATGGGGACACTCTCTCACGCCGCCACCCTTAGCATGAGAGCTCCTGCCCCGCCATTGACGCAAGAATGCGAGCTCAGCTCCCCCTCCCCCCTCCAGGGAACTCGGTCCTCGAGCGTCGGTAGGATTGTATTTAAGAAAAAACACACCTGAACCCCCTAGTCTCGACTTACGATTCTTCATCCATCTACCAAGCCTTCCACGACTAAGAAAAAACAAACGTCCTCCATCTTCCAACTCTCAAATCTACACCTACCACCCCTCAAACAAAACACCACCAAAATGCCCGAAGGCCGCCAGTCTCCCCCTCCCGAGCGCCAGACCGGCGCCCAGCTCCAGGACCCTCCCGCCTCCGGCAAGGGAACCGACGACGCTTCCAACAAGGAGCAGGTCAACAAGGAGCAGCTCCAGGTAAGCCCTTGCGTCTGCAATCCCATCACGACGTACAGTCGACTAACTGGGCGATGCAGAACCTCTCATCAAACCCCAAGGGACCCCTCGACGACGCCGTCAAGGAGAAGTTTGCCAAGAGCGAGTAAACTACGGGATGGGCATAGATCATATGAAGGCGTTGGGAGGGATTTTATCATGACAGGGCATGAGGAAGCACTGAGACGACATCACGATTGTGGTACTGTAACAATAGAAATACCAATGCCAACCTATATGCATTGATCCATCAGATTATTTTGTCTTGCAACTGTGATCCTCATTGTTAAAGTTTTATTTGATTATTCCGTCCAGGACGCTGTTTCTTGGAATGATGCCATGCGATTAGCAACATGGTGATACAGGTATTGACGTCGCTAGTCTCAACCAATATCTCCGTGGCACCAATCATGTACCTGTTAAGTTAATGCAGCCACCGCACGTAAACCCCTCATACACCAGAAGGCTGTCGCACACTGATATTTATTGTCACGTGGCAGAGAACATGGTGTCGATGCATATAACCGCATTGAAGTACTAACTACCTAAGTGCTTAAGGGAATCAATTGCATAGCAATCATCGCATTGCAGTCATGAAACGTTCGTGCCTAATGAAACCAGCCAACGCCTACCCTCGTGTCCTTTTGCATACCATTCCGTACCGTCTTACGCGGTCTTCTCGCTAGTGGCCTCGGAAGGCTTGGAGAGGGGGACAGCCGTCGTGGGATCGGGCTGAGTAGGCGCCTGGGTGCCGATGGTCTCGCCGGTAGCAGGGGGGACGATCTTCTCCTTCTCCTTACCAAGGAATCTCTCCAGACCGGACGCCTTGTAGGCACTGCCGCCGTGCTGCTCCTTCTTGAGTTCCGCCAGACGGCGAGCCTCGGTGTGCACGTCCTGAACCTGTCTCTGTCCGTCTTGGTAGAAGGTAACGACGCGCTTGCCAGTGGGAGAGCTGGTGGCCTTCTCAAAGTACGAGCTCAAGCCGCCAAAGAGGCCCTGTGCCTTGGCGGTGATGCCGTAAGACTGGTCCGTAGCCTTGGCGCGGTCGGTGGCGTGGTACTTCTGGTCGAGGCTCTGCAGGGTGCTGAAGAAGCGGCTGGAGACGCCGTGCTGGGTGTCGAGCTCGATGGCGCGCTGGAGGGCGGCGTCACCTACGACGTAGCCCTGAGCGAGGTACTCTGCCAGGATGCGGGAGCGGGGCTTCTCCTCCTGGGTGATCTCATCGGTATCACGGTCGGCGTTGTCCTTGAAGTGGGAGCCATCGTCGTTGGAGTCGCCAGTGGCGCTCTGGACAGTGATGTGGGAGGGGCCGAGTTGGGTGTTGTTCAGCAGGAGGGCCGTCTTGGCGGCAGTCTCCTTCTCGAAGGTGACGGCGGCTTCCTTTCCTTCGGTCTCCGTGGTGACCTTGATGTCGGTGATCTTGCCACTGCGAGTCGATTAGCTTCCGTCCGATCTAAGGAACCGCGCGCCGTCGGCGGAAGGAATCAGGCCACTGCAGGGCAGCGGCACGATGGGTATCTACGGGGGAAATGTACTTACCAGAAGCTGAAGAAGTCCTTGATCTCCTTGTCTTCGGTCTCCTGGGCGATCTTCTTGACGTAGACAGTGGTGTTCGACATGATTGCGGTTTTGGTGATGGTGTAGTTGTGAGGAAGAAGAGGTTTGTAGGAGAGAGCTTTGTGCTCTGTGAGGGGTAACTGGAGACGGAGCGGGTATCAAACAAGGGATGTAAATGGGTGCTGTCTCACAGTGAGTGGTGTGTAAAGCAGCAGCAAAAAAGCGATCGGTCGTTGATGGGAATCGCGTGAATATGAGGTTTTATGTGGTCGGGATGTTCTGGGATGGGAATATTGGAAAGGAAAAGAAGATCAGACGAAGGGTGGTCACAAGGACGCGCTTTACCTTTTAGCCAAGGCAATGGATGGCAGCTGGAGGCGAGGACGTGGAAGGAAAGGGGCGGCCTCTCAGCGGTGACGGTGACGATGCTTGACGCCGCAGCACATTGTTGAGGGAGGGGCCACGGCACGCCAGCACACCAGTCAACAGCCGGCAAAGAGCAGTCACCAGCAGAATGATGCTTGCCTGACACTCTCCCGCCAGTGCCAAGGCGAGAAGCTGGTGCCACTCAGGGTCCAAAGCTGGGCCTTCCAAGGGGGCGACTACCAAACGTCATCGCCCGCGACTCTGAGGAGCTTGTGCCAAGGGGGGTGGGGGTGGCTGTGTATGGCCACGGGCCACAGATAGCTCCACTAACAGAGCCACATCTTAGTCATGTACTTTTCTACCTAATTCTGACGAAGAGATACCTTCACATGTGATTTCGTCAAATATCCAAGCTACTGGAAGGTGCCGGAACATCAGACGCGCCCTTCATCCCAACCATCCATCTCCTCCAGATGGTCGTCCATACGGATACGACAGATTGCGACGCGACACCAGGACGACGTGGCTTGTGGCTCGTACACCGACCTGCATGGAAGAACTCTGGCTTCGTTTGACTACGACCTACGACCTAATTACCAACTCTAGCTCGTCCCATCTGCCGCATCCTCACCTGTCACAACCTGAACCATCCCGTCGTTATTTCAACGCCTCGGCATCCTCCAATATCACCTCCGACGCCTTCTGGCTGACCATGAACGTCGCAATCACGGGAAACGCCCCCGGAGCACGTGGAAATGCGCTCGCGTCTACCACCCTCAGCCCTTCTACCCCGTGCACTCGGAACCGGGAATCCAGCACCGCCATGCCGTCCTCCTTTGGCCCGATTGCGCATGTCCCCGACGGATGATGGCCAAACGTCTGCTCCCGGATCCAGTCCTGATCCGACCTTCCGTCTCCGTCCTGGCACCGCCCGTCGCTCCCGATCTCCGAGCACGGTGGTTCTGCCGGCTCCACCGGACCCCAAGGCTCCTCGACGTCTCCCATGACCCGACGGCCCCACGCCGCGATCTCTGACAGCGCTCCGAGGTCTGTCTCGGCTCCTTCTTCGTACAGCTGGAAGTTGATCTCCGGCTGCTCCGTTGGATCCGCCGATCGGAGCTTCACGTACCCCGCGGTATTCTGCGGATGCATCTTCACTGTCGAGAACCCGGCCGTGTTGGGACGCGGCACGAGCTCTGCCTGCTGCACCATAGGCCAGAAGCCTCGGAACGCGCCGGGGACGCTGAAAATGAAGATGTCACGCTCTCCGTCCAGTGAAAAGTTGGACCGCATCAGCAGAGCGTTGGTGTTGTACCCAGGCCGCATGTACGGACCCAAGCCTTGCTTCCAAAGCTCGTAGCAGGCATCATTAGGCTCACCCTTCGCGCAGATTGGGTCATTCGGATGGGGGATCAATGTGAAGTTACGCTGCGCATACCCGACGACAGGGTATTCTTGGTTGTCTTGCAGATTGCGGCCCACGCCAGGCAGGTCTGCAATGACCTCGATGCCCAGTGCCTCGAGGTCTTTTGTGTCACCAATGCCACTCAACTGCAGCAACTGCGGGGAGTTGAATGTGCCACCCGAAACGATGACTTCCCGAGATGCAAAGGCCTGCCTGAGTTCGCCTGGTGTCGAAGCATTGCGTCTCGGATCCGCACCATAAGTCGAGGCGCCCTTCAGATACTCCACTCCGATGGCCTTGGGCTTGTTCCCTTGTTGTTTGTCGAACAAGACCTTTGTCGCCAAAGAGGTTTTCGACAATGTGAGGGGATACTTGTTTGATCCGTCCTCATTCTTGACGGCGAGCGTCTCAAAAATGTAGTCCCGCGGACTGGATCGTTCCCACTTGGCGCTTGCGTGGAATGGCAGTCCCCAGAGCCCTACTGTCGTGTCGCGTTCCTCACTGAGAAAGTTTGGGTCGCTGCCGAGCATCTCCATCACGTTTCCCGGATCTAGGCCAAGCGATTTGACCTGCGATCCGTACACGTCCAAGAGGCCCGGTATGTCGAGGTACTGCGAGCCGTTCCCCAGATTGGTCTCCAGGATACCGTCAAAGCCATGGCCAGGAGTGTTCTCGGGAAGGTAGTTGTTCTTCTCCACCGTCTCAAACACACGGCGCATTCTTTCGTGACTATTTCTCGTCAGCTCTCTCCAAAACGTCTCTTGAATATCCGATACATACCTCCACGACTCATCTCCAGTGATGCTAGCCACATAATCCCAATCGCTATCGCTTGGCAACAGCGTCGCCATCGCGTTCACAATCGCGGATCCCCCGATCGTTGCGCCGCGCGGGTAATACACGCCCAACAACTCCACCTCCGGAGGCGCACGCGCACCGTTGCCGACCCAATAGGTCCCGTTGGGTAGTCTCCACGTGAGATGATTATTCCGCAGCTCGATCTCGGGGTCCGAATGGTGCTTCACCCAGAAACCCCAGCTGTTGGAGTCCGTGAGGGCGTAGTCTCCGTTCGCGAGTGCAGTGCGGATATCATGGCTCTCGTCGTCGCCAGCCTCTAGCAATAGGGTCAAGTAGCCCGCTCGCGCGAGGTTGCCGGCTAGCGGACCGCCGCCGGGACCGCTGCCGATAACGATGTAGTCATACGCTTCGTTATGGGCAGTATCTTGGGCGAGAACGGTGGACGAGACGCCGAGCAAAGCGAGTGCCGAGACGGCTGAGATAAGTCTCGTGAAGACCATTGTGAAGACAGTCACCAACGTTGTAAGTTCTGTCTGTCACACGTTTCTTACTGGGAGCTTTCTTGCCTTATGTGCGTAAGGCGCGCAAGGTTTCTCTCCCGCCAAGACGTACAGAGGGGTAGTTGTCCCCATTCGCCTGTCAGTTCGGACTGAAGGCGTTCAAGGCAATGCATCTCAACTCTCCGGTCTAGGACAAGAACCTCATACTTCGGCTGATCTCTGCTCGTAGTGCTTACTTGTCTGTTTAGCGAGTGTAACTCCTCAAGGGAGGAGAATCGTCGATTTGGGGAGGGGTCGCTGTTTATCCAGAGCAGTCCGAGAATGGATGCAACGTCAGACAGCACAGAACGACCACCGCACCCCATGGCATGCTATTTCTGCCCGGAACACTTATATTTCCGTTTGTCAAGACTTCTCAAGTAGCTGGATGATCCCCTTAAACAAGAATGCCAAGCAGGCCGCGATCGCGCAACCGTTCTGGACGTCTCCCGTCGCCACGCCGCAGATTATCCCGACGATGATCGCGACGAACATCATCGCAGTCTGTAGCACCATGACCCGGAACAGATCCGGTCCCTCTTGCACCTCCATGGCGTAACCCAGGCTTCCGGATCCGTTGTAGAGAAGGTGGCCGTCCAACTTGCGGACGAAGCGCTTCAAGACGTAGAATCTGTTCGCACCCGTACCGTGCTCCTTCCAGAGGCGCGAGGGGTTATGGTAAAAGTCTGCGAGCACGCCGGGGTTGAACCAAGAGAAGCCCTGACTGCTGGTGTTTGGAGCGGAAGAGTCGTCGTCTCCGGCCTGGGTCGGCTGGTAACTGCTCCTGAGGGCGTAGGGTGGATATGACGGCTCATCATCAATTGAAGCGCGGTCGTTGGGGTGTAATTCAATCTGCAAGAGTCAATGACCAGAACATACTCACCTGAGGCTTATGACTATAGAGTTGACGACTCACCTTGCAGTAATTGATGCCGATAACCGTCCTCAACCCGCACCGGGTGAGAAATCCTCTCCATGACCACGGAGATGGACGGCCGCAGAGGCGCTTCAGCCAGATGAAGAACTCGTAGTCGCTCGAGAACCTGGCGACAGGTTCCTGACGCAACTCGGGGAGTCCGTCGCTACTATTATAGACACAGAGCTGGAGTAAGCCATCAAGCTCAGGATCCTCCATCGGTCGGCGGTGTCGTTTCAGCTCTCCATCCTCATCATCCTTCCCTTTCCGCATGGATGGGTACAGGAACTGACTGATGCAGCTTCGTTCTTTGCCTGATGGCTTCGTCGTCCCCGCCTCGATGTCTTTTTCAGAGGAGCTCTCGCTTCCACTCCCTTTCCCGCTCCCTTCACTTCCCTCAGCTTGTTGTTGTGCCGCTTGAGTGATTCGCATGGGTCCATCTCGATGTTGTTGGTCTCTGAGCTGCAGGACGCGGACCAAATCTCTCAAGCTCGTAGAGAACAGGCAAACAACAGTGCCTACGCACACAGTAACCAGCAAAAAGCCCCTCGTGGTTGAGTAGAGCACTACTAGGATGAGCATCGGAGAGGCTAGCGCGCCGAGGGCCAAGAGTTTCCAGTCCGGATCCTCGGTGACTCTGATGCCCCAGCCGTTCCTTGCGCAGTCGGGGCCCAAAACTTTGCAATCGGGGTCCGAGAGTAGTATCCTGTGTAGCTTGTTCGGGATCTTGTCGAGGAAATTCTCTCGCACATCGCGGATGCGGGACGGATTGCAGTAGAAGTATCGGAGCACCTCGACGGACACGGACGGTTTGCCACAGGGGTAGTATTCATGTGCTTGGGACTCGGGTGGGTAATCCGGCGACTTCACGATCACGGCGCTCCCGTGCCTGTCGAAGACTTTGAACTAGACGAGTCGCCCAAGTCAGCAGAGTGAAATCCCAAGAGTCAAATGATGCAGCATATTCTCCGTCCACTGACCTGTACGAAATCGACGTTGACACGAAAGAATGCCGCAGGTAGAAGCCGCCGCAAAAGAAACCTCGACTTCAACGCGTCTCGGATGGCCAGAAAAGTCCGTTCCTCCGTTGCGAACTCTCTCCGATCCAGCTGGACTAAGGAATATCTACCACCGACGCCCAGGCACACGAGAATGAATGAAGTCGTCGGCTGCGATGGTTGGGAGTTTCCCGTGTGCCGAGCATTACGCAGGTGCCCGGTATCTACATCGTCTTGTGCGCCTTCGCCCGAGGGGGAACTTCTTTCTGCTGGCGTATCGTCGTTCAAGTCGGCCTCTCTTGCATCGTCACCGAGCCGTGTTCTCATCCCGAGGCATCCGGACTCGGAATCCCGAGCCTGGGATCTGGCATAACGTCTTCTCAGCCATGATTTCAGACAAATAAATTCCGTCTGCGTCGTGTGTCCTGCTTCATTGTCTTGGTGCAGGGACCTGATGTGGTCATGGGACTCGTTGGGTGCCGCCGGTCTCGGCTGTAGCTTTGATCGTAGCCGATACATAAAGTCGGTCGAATCATTGACGTACACTCCCAAACACATAGGTCCAGTGAGTATATCCTGGGTTGTCGGCGGCATGATCGGGGTGCGCGTTGTGACTTGCTGGAAGCTCGAGGAGAAGTCTGCTGCTTTCGTGTGGCTGAATATGATGCGTTCGGATGAAACTGGCAGTTGAAGAAGAACAACCACGAAGCCTCGGAATGAACGAATCTTCGTGGTGAGGGGTAGTACATATGCGCACACATGCGAGACGGGTAGGTTGGGCACCCGTCGCTTTAACCTGCAGCCACGTCCTACCCGTGCTTGGCGCCAACCAGAGCTGAGCTGGCGTTTTTGCACATTGATACGAATATGCAGATATTTCGGTACCTTTCGAGGGTTCTTATGGTGGACGTGTGGATGTTCACCGAAGGATTGCCCAGTTGATTCAACTGATTGGTTGGCCGTTGCGGCGGGGCACTCTGCGAGGCGTTCTCTCAAGAGAAGCCATAAGTGAATTCAATAGCTTCCTAGAAAGGCAATTGGGTATTGATATGAACTTGACTATGTTAGTGTCAAGGGGGACAACACAGCCGGAGGCTGGTGTGTCTAAATGAACAGCAACTGCCCATCAGATCTTCCATTTCGTGCCGTAGCAACGGCCACAATCATCGCCAGAGTTTGGTCCGGCTCGTTCACAAACCGAACGGGAACCTCCCCCAACGAATCATCATAAGGAGTGATCTCAGAGAGCACACTCCACTCGCCGTTCACGACAACAACGTGGCCGGCACTCACGCCATCAACAAATACCTCTACTGAATCGATTCCTCCAGCATCATCCCCCTCCACAGTGCCTGATACTTCGACAATATTCCCGCTCAGCTTGCTCGCAGCCGCGGTCAACCTAGGGGGCTTCGTACCCGCCACTGATCTCGCACATCTCCGAGGTATGGCATCGGAATCCAACTCGGGCGTTCGCGGCGGGGACGCGCGCTTCCCATGCGCCTTCTCAAACGCGAATCCATAGCTCAGTAGCGCATTGTCGTCATATGCTCTCGATGCAAACGTCAAGCCCATGGGCATGTCGATGTCCTCCAGCATGCCCATACTAACACTGACAGTCGGCACGCCGAACCTCCGAATAGCGTAGTTCCCATTTGAGAAGAACACTCCATTCCGCCACGCATGAACGGCAGACGTGTCGTTGGTCTCCGCATCGGCGCGACCGACATCGCCCGCAGAAGGCCAAACCAGGGCGTCGAGACCTTGATCGTCCATCCAGGCCTCGAGGTCGCGTTCTCGACGGGCTTCAAGGGCCTTCAAGTGCTTTTCGAGCCCCGGGAGGCTGAATATCGACGTGCCGTTCCTCGAGGTCACGCCCTCGACGATGCCGGTGTTTGATACGCTCCTGTTGCCGAATTGATTGCCGTATCGATCTGGTAGTGTGTTAGGAAGTTGTGGGAAGATGAGATTGGGGTCCACGTCTGCAAGTCTAGCGACGGTGTCGGTGTCGTTGACGTAGTGGAGGAAGTCATCCCAGCCGTAAGACCAGAGCTCACCGGGACCAGCGAGATCCGGGTCATCTGTGGTGGCAGGAAGCGGGTAATCGGTATCCCAATCAACAGTCTCAGGCGCTGTCTCGTAGTTCGTGACGAGGGGGAATCCCACTTCCTCCACGATTGCGCCAAGCGATTCGAGAGTAGCGCGGGCTTGCTCCCATAGCTTTCGTACAGCCGGACTGACCCAGATCGGCTGCGCCTGAGGATCGCTCTCTCCGATATACATCTTGGGAACTCCGATGCGCTTCCCACTTAAAGCACTCGAGTTAACCAAGGTATGGTAGGAACCCCTCGGCCGAACGTCCTCGACAGAAGGAAGAGCCACGAAGGGCTGTCCGCGCCAGAAGTCCGCAGTTTTATCCTGATCTTCGGCAACGATGACATTCAGAATGCTGAACATATCCCCGACACTGCGAGCGTAGGGCACAACGACATCAGCGACGGGGAAAAGCGGCCAATTCCCGCGAATCGAAATCACACCGCGCGACGGCGTATACGCCACGAGTCCGTTATTAGAAGCGGGAGACCTCCCAGAGCTCACCGTCTCCTCGCCCATCGCAAAGACACCCATGCTCGCCGCCGTCGACGACCCCGCCCCGTTGGACGACCCCGAGGCGTACGCTGCCGCGAGGTAGTCGCCGTTATACGGGCTCTCGGCCCTCCCGTACAGCCCGCGTTGCATGCCGCCGTTGGCCATAGGCGGCATGTTCGTCAGCCCGAGCACGATTCCGCCCCCGTCGCGGATCTTGCCCACGGTGAAGGCGTCGGTCGATGCGGTGAGGTTTTCGAAGGCCGGCGAGCCGGCGGACACGGTCATGCCGGCCATCATGTAGCTGTCTTTGAGGGTACAGGGGATTCCCTCGAGATTGGAGCGGATGGAGCCATTCGAGGCGGCGCGATATGAGTCTGAGGCTTGAGCGTGGGCGAAGACGAGGGGGTTGAGGACGGGGATTGCGTCTAGGCGGGGGCCGCGGCGGTCGTAGTGGGATATGCGGTGGAGGTGTTTTGCGACGAGTTGGACCGCGTTGATTTGGCCTGTTGACAGGGCGGTTTGGAGTTGTTCTATGCTGGCTTCGAAGATGCTTAGGTCCTGGGTTGTTCGTTAAGCTATGAGTTCTGATGTGCTTAGGAATACTTACAGTTGCGGACACCATGAGGCATGGAGCAACAAGGCAAGTTGCCAGCCATTGTTTCAACTTCATCTTGAAGAGAGTCACAGAGGTGAGCCAATTTTTGCTTGGGAGGAGCGTATCGACCGAACCATACGATTATGATCTCGGTATTTGGCGTAGTACTGGTGTGAACACCTAAACTTGGAATGTTTGAGTGAGCTCTGCGGGAACGAGTCCAATGTCCTTTCGCCCACAAGAGTGGTTCTTATATAACTTCCAAGTACCTGAGGAATTGTTCTATAGTAAAGATAACTCATGACGTTATCTCGATAATGGAATTTTCTGCTCGAAATAGTTGAGGTATTAATAAAATCATGATAAAGTTGATACCTTATCTCTATCATTTATCCTGGTCGAAGGTACAGGACTATGAAAGAAGAGAAGGCTCATTTTCTTATCTGTGGTATTCATGGTGTAGACTTCTCTGCGTCTATATTGTCTTATCTGAGATATCGGGCAATGCCAAACACCATATCATATGGCTTTAGCATGCAGGATACTATGCTTCTTTCGCCTTTAGGGTCCGAATAAAAGGGCATGGGTATTTCATGTCGCAGCAAGACCATTACAAAAACATCGAATTGTCCCGCGAGTCACAGACTTCGTGAGCAGTCTTATCTGAACATTCCCAGCTGGTAGATTACAGAAATCACTATCAGAATGAGAGTCTGTCAGTTCTACTATTTCATTGCGTTCCCTTACCAGCTAGTGTTCATGCTTCATATCAGTTGGCTGGTGTCAACCAGCGATAACAAATGCGACTTGACAACCCCCACGAGCCCACTTGCGGGATCGTAGTTTGAACAACGTTGGTGGGGTATCGCGGGGATGTGTTGGCTGGGCTGCAGATCTAAAAGTCTTGGCCACAAAGATTCCCCTTTTCGGTAAGATGGAGATTTAACTGGGATTGGATGACTTCACTTAGAAGCAATACAAGTTCGTTTTGTTATCGGAGAGATAGATGAAATACAAGAGATTCTGTTGCACAGAAAGCTTACGTATACTGCACTGTCACCACTTGAACATGTACGACTAACAAGTCTAGCCCCTGGCTACCAACCGGAAGGTCTTGACTGAGGGTTACTCTGCCCGTACATGGACTGCATAGAGCCCCCTTGCTGGATGTTTGGCTGCTGCAACTGCTGCTGTTGGAGTTGCTGCTGCCTCTGCCCCTCCGCCGGCTGCCCTCCCATGTTCTGGCCGGGGATAGCTTGAGGACTCATAACGCCAGGCTGCATCGCGGCACCCACGTTGGAATTCCCGATGTTGGGATTTCCCAGTGCAGAGTTGCCCATGACGGAGCCTCCCATGCCGCCGGTCGCAATTCCAGGACCACCGACGCCGGCCCCACTCATCCCGCCGAAGCCCGACTGCCAACTGTTCCCAAAGCCGCTCTGGTTTTGCATGTTGTTCCCGAACCCAGGGCCTCCCATCCCCATCCCTGACGGCCCCCTAGAACCCATCGTGTTGGAGTACTGAGAGTTATCCCAACCCCCGAAGCCCGACTGTTGTTGGTTGTGCTGGCCGAATCCCGGACCTCCCCAGCCGAACTGATGCCGATCGAACTGATCGAACCGGTGCTCCTTCCTTAAGTTCAAGATATCATCGCCTCGGCGGTGCTTCACAGTCCACAGGTAGGCGTTGAACTCATTCGAGACGAGCGCAACCTTCTCGAAATGCTCCCTTTTGACATGAATCGGGCCGGGGATATTGTTCTCCTGTTGATGCCACTCCGCAAGAGCAACAGCCGTCTGGAACGCGTTACGAATCTGTCGGCCGTTCCAGACGGGTTTGAAATCCGGCCGAGATTGTTGCAGATTCCAGAGCTCCTTGGCGAGGATCTCGATCTCTAGGCGATTGAAGCTGACGTGCTGGGTATTGTCGTCCGGAGCGGCCTCCTTGGAGAGCTGCTCGGTCCGCTCCATTTGGACTCTCCATATCTTTTCGGTCTGGTCTTGGGTCAAGGGCGGGTAATAGAGGGCCAATGACATGCGGGATTTGAAAGCTTCGTCGAAGGAACCTACTTTGTTTGTCGTGAGGAAGAGGATGCCTTCGTAGTATTCCATGACGTGAAGGAAAACTTCAGCTGTTAGTTTAGACTGACCGCTTTATCGCTGACATCGACGTACCAGACACGAGAGCGTTTCTCTCAATATTATCTTGACTTCTCTCAGCCAGGAACACGTCAGCTTCGTCAAGAAGCAGAACACAGTCCCAAGCTTGGGCTAACTGGAAAGAGTCTTGCAGGTTGGTCTCAACTTCCGCTGGGGTCATTCCCAAGTCACCTTGAATAGGTTAGACATCTTGAGTATCTTTGAGCGTCGGTCAAAACGATAGAACTTACCGCAAGTGATAGGGAGAAGTGGCTTGTTGTAGTATTGTGCGACGGTTTCTAGGACAATTAGTACCGCTGAAACCAGAGTCTTAGGAAGTGAGACCCACCTGCTGTTGATGTCTTCCCAACTCCGGGAACCCCGTGCAATAGGACAATGAGCCCTTTGCCCTTGTCTTGAATGAGATCGAACTGTCGCCTCTTCGACTTCTTCTTGCGGAAGTGAGTGGCCATCATGGACTCAATGATTGACCGATGCCTTGGGTCAATTTGAAGGTCGTTCCATGCCGAATTCTTAGGCTCCATTCTCATCAAAGTGTTGTCGTCTTTACCAGCTCCGATGGGAATACAAGCTATATCATTCGGTTAACCAATAATTCCATTTACTCATAAGGACGTTTTTGTGAAAAGGAAATCTTACCCCATTTACGAGTCCTCAACACGTACGCAAAGACTCGGTCTGGCAGAAGTAACACGTCGTCTCCTGCTGGTGGTGATCGGCTGTACAGTTCAAGGTTCTGGTTTTGATCTGTGTAGTTCAGAACCTTCTCGGCCATACGCAAGTCCCATATCCTGTCATCATCCACATTTGGTGGAGGACGAGGTGCGCCTTCGTAGAGCGTAGTCAACTGTCTGGGCTCTCTGCACGGATTCCAGTCCGTAATTGTCTGCAAGCAGCGTTCGAAGTCCACGACCACAGAGCTTTCGATACTCTCCGAGAGAACAGCGACAGATGTTATGGACCCCGGATTCGGCCGCTTGAGAATGTCGCCCCTGGGTTCATGACTCAGGCTTCGTCCTCTGAAATGGCAGTAGCCTGGCTGAAGAAAGGAGAGGAATTCCAAGCCCCTTCGTTCTATGCTGTTCACATCGACCAGGCCTTCGCGCTCAGCCACTTTTAGAGGCAGAACTGAAAGACTCTTGACACTCGTGAGTTCTTTGAATTCTTCGATCTCAAACTTTCGAATGACCCTCACAAAATGAGTGCCGTTGAAGTCGATATAAAAGCAGTCTAGTGTAAAAGGAGGTATGCTGGTACGGTAGGAACTGCCCCCGAGCTTGAAATGATCGTCGATTTGGGGAGGTACTATTGCCGGGGACCAGTCACCTCCTTGGCCTTGAATGACTCGCCAAAGCTTCTGGGGAACACTCGGATCCTTGACATAAACTATGCTTCCCGGGTTGAACACATGCCAAAGCTCATTGTATAGGACGCGAGTGTCGTCTGTGTCGTTCAACGCTGTGCGAAGGGGAACGAGGTAGCTGTCCATGAAATCAACGACGGTCCTCAGATCGTCGTGAGCCTCTTGGAGCTCTTCACGGCTATGATTTCTCCAATCCGGATCTGTGAAGATCGCATGCTGGGGCGAAGTGGTTGATACTGAGACTCCTGATGCCACACTGGATTCGTCGCTTTCGGCGGCATCTTCGTTGTGATCATCGTAACTGTCGACGGCCTCTTCCTCGTTCGAATCCAGACCCCGTGCGTTGCCTTTCTGTGATTCAGTTGTGGTTTCCGTTGCCTCTGTAGCTACCGCCTGGGTGGCTTCTGCGCACAATCTGGCCAAGGTTGAAAGCTCTTTCCGGATCGCGTTTTCTTGATGAACGAGCATTTTGTAAGGTCGAAACAGCTGGATGAACCCTCCTCTAACCCCCTCCCACAATCTACTATCTGCCAACCTGATGAAAATACGGCGGACAGGTAAAGAATGAGCACGGAGCTGGGGTGGAAGGTACGCAATGCCATTGGGGCGCGCAGGTCGGCCGATGGTAACTGGAGAAGCATCCTGGTCACCTCCTCCTAACCGAGGTTGCGATAAGCCTCGACTGTAAAACGGAGGCTCTTCAGTCAACACGCAAACAGCGTATGTATCTGTAGGCAATTCAGGCGTTGGCGGTCGCGGGTAGCCTGGAGGAGGAGGAGGAGGAGGAGGCCGTCCCATCCACCGTCGCCATTTCATACATCGTAACTCGGGAATACACTTAACCCTTTCTACCTCAGGTTCGCTAACAAGTGACGCTTCTGACGGGACTTCTTTTAGGAGGCCTGATATCCACTCCATCATCTTGAGGTGATTCTGCAAAGCTGTCATGTTGGCTACGTCCGGACGGACCTTCAGTGCTTCTCGCGACATGAACGTTTTATGTCGCCAGCTATAAGCGAGTTTGCGCAATCTTCTTGCGATTGTGACATCTGAAACATCGGATTGGACGCTCTTGTTGTCATCATCATCGTCACCCCCGTCAAATTGATCATCAGGGATGCTCGAGGCGTCATGAGAAACATGCTGGCTGTTCTCTACATCTGATGTATCCTGAGGTTCAATGGGACCACGGGGCTTCTGCTGGCTTGTCAGAAAACAAATCCAAGGTTTCTAAAATGGTCAATGGACTCTCACAGGTGAGGCACTCGGGGTCGTGTTCTTGCTCTCGGATTCCTGGACCTCTCCATTCTCCGAGATAAAGCTTGACTCATCGGTAGAGGAAATCGCCGGCTCATGGGCCATACCGCCCGAGAAACCCAGTAGAGCCGAGCTTTGCTCTGCTGTGGAACCCATCATGATTGTTTCAAAGCCCAGGAGGATATAAATAAACGATCATGGTCTGATCGCTCACGACAGATGGATGACCAGTTGAACGACACTGCCTTGGAAGAGGCACACAGACAAGTGTCGAAAATCAGAACCTTCAATTAGCCGGCAAGTCGAAACTAATATCGCGGGAATACTCTGTCCTGAAGCCTGATATTTCGAGCGCTTTCGTCACCTTTTATGAGGGGAATACAGGTTCAGCTGCCAAGCATTTTACAAGACTGACAAATCAGGTATCCCGCAGTAGCGCTTACTCGGGATGTCGAGCTCATTCGAGCCCAAGTCCAAGTCCAATCAAACGAGAGGGGCGCCGCAGGTCAACATAGTATCGACCAAATGATGCTGCCTGGGAACTGCTTGACCCGACGAGCTAATGCAGTCATCCCTACCGCTCCGGTTTCTCACACCATCAATTGCAACCCACCATCCCCACAGCCTTATCGAAGTCAGACATACAAGCCGCATGGTATCCAGACTCATCTCTCTGTATCATATGTTTACTGACAACTACATCTCAACGAGCAAGATGACAGAATACGTCGATACTTTCATGGAGACGAGGGCTCCAAAAATCGACCACGGCTGGCAGATTTCGGCAAGCAACAAGTTCTCCGAGAATCGAAAGCAGCGACAGGCTTCACAGAGGTGAGTAATACGATGCTCCTTTCTGTCTACATGAGAAGATTCAATGTTGATTCTGTGATGCAGAGCGTGGGAACGCACGAGGTCTTTCAAGAGTATCGTCAGAAGCTTTGTGAAAAACACCAAGCGCGAGGATCTGACAGGATTCGACGTCGACCGCCAGTTCCGCTGGGAGGATGTAAAGTCCATGGCCTCGGACTCAATCGAAAAAGACAAAGACAGGACGAAATGGCGGCGCAATCCTTTCAGAGCAGCGGGACGGTCGCTTCAGCAAGGGGCATCAAACTTGGAGATGCTGATGACTTTTCTCCCTAACGGAGACTACACTGGTATTCTCTGCGGTGCATTGACGTTTGTCTTCTGCGTGAGTTCCTTCGAATTCCTGAAGCAATCTCCAAAGTTTCTGACACAAGACGCAGGCAGCCAAACGTCTGGACGAGGTCAGAAATAAGATCATAACCTGCCTCGACAGCCTCCCCGACATTGTTGGGCAGACAGAAGCGTACGTCGATATCTATGATGACGACCCGAAAGTGTGGAGTGCCGCTGAGGATCTCTATCTCGGCATTCTCGACGGGGTTGAGGGCATGCTGTTGTGGATCGATAAGTCAGCGTTTGGTGAGAATACGAACCCTCATAGTGATCATAATCAAAACTCAACTAACGCGCGACTCGGCCACAAGAGCGTGCTTTCAAGGCTTTGATGCTTCCTATGACATTTGGAACGGCGGTTGAGGAGGTCTCAATCAAGAGAAACATCGAGGATAAGGTGGCACAGTTTCGGGAAGTCGTTCAAGTGAATCTCCACAAGAGAATCGGACAGCAGTACAAGACGATTCAGACATTACAAACCCAGCTGAACGGCCTCATCTCCTACGCCAAGTGGTCACATGGTAAGTTAAAATGATGCGATGTGAAAAGAGAACCTACTCACACAATTGAAAATCAGAGAACCCTCAGGCCGTCGTTTTGTTCAAAACATCATTCATCAACCTCAGCCAACTCCGGGGTATCCTCAACGTTGACCCACGCATGGCTCAGAAAGACATGGAAACCGGAATTATAGACGCCCAGAATGTCTGCCCGCCAAATCTGATTAACCACGCCTTATCGGTGTTGCGAGAAGAAAAGTTCGCCATGTGGCTGCAGTCCAACATATCTCACATTCTTCTTATCAACGGTCGGATGCAACTCAGCCCGGAGCAGGAGTCATCGTCTCCTCTGACTATCCTCTCCTGCATCTTGTCGCAAAGCGTCACTCAGAGGTCGGATCGCAGCTTACCGCTGGTATACCTCTGCGGCCAACACAACTCATCACAAGATGCCCACGGTGGACCGAGAGCGTTGCTCCGCTGCATCAGCTCACAACTAGCGCACGCTGTAACCCAAGAAGACGTCGATCTTTCTGGAATCGATCTGAATTTCGTGGAAGGTATCAAGACCCAAAGACCTGATGCTCTGTGCGGTCTCTTTCGCTTGCTTCTCTCTGCAGTGGTTGGGAAGGTGGTCTTCCTGATAGTGGATGGAGTCTCCTGGTTTGAGGAAGGGCCTTTTTCTCAAGACTTTGGACAACTCGTCGTTTTCCTAAGAAATCTGACGAATGAGTTAAATCGACGTCAGCCTGGTTTCCTGTTGAAGGTTTTGCTCACCAACCCTTCGACGAGTCTACATTGCCATCAATGGCTTCCTGAAAGTTGCGTGTTAGAGATGGAGGATGTCGACGGCCACACAGAAATACCTCAAGATGTAGACCAAGTTCTGTTTTAGATGTTTGGTATCGAATGTTCTTAATTCACACGCATTTCTTTCTGCTTTTTCCGTGTCTGTTGGTAGTATACACAATGCTGATCAACAGCTATTCATATGTTTACTAATATCACTAAGGACCGGGTGGCCAAGGTGGCCATGGCCCAGGCGGTCCAGGGCCAGGTGGTCTCTCCTTTACTCTCAATAACTCGAACCACGTATCAGGCCGGACGATCTCAAATTCGGGTCCCAGCTGCTTGACCATGCGACTGATATTAGCTGGCGTCACATCAAAGGCACTGACAGCGCCAGCGATGAAAAGGGGACCGCGGCCTTTCCAGTTATCCGAGATGTTTCGCAGCGTCGCTGCGCTGGTGTCTTCGTTCCCAATGCTGACCATATTCGTCACTGGAAACCCTTCAGTTCTGTTGACTTGGAGAGTTTCCAACGTAGAAACGAAAGATCCATACAATATTCCACGGAGCCTATTCCTACCCACGGCGTCTCGAAAGGCAATACTAAGCTCTGGGGTTAAGGGGTTATCGGTAGAATTTATACGGTCGTACACAAACAACACCTTGTCTGTCTGTGTGGCTCGAACGTACTCCCCGCTTTGAGAGAGGAACGCTGCCAGAGCTTTCCTCGGCCAGACCCCTGGGTAGGTGTAACCCGCCCCGTCGGGTCCGGCGATGAGCAAATCGTTATCGGTGGACGTTCTCTGATAGTACGACAGTATACCCGGACCGATATCCCGCAGTAGAGGGCTGATAGTCCAGCCGAGAGGAACGGAGCCTCTCTCGGGGTCGTTCCAGTGTGTGAACATAGCCCGTTGGTCATACTGAATGTTATCCCCTTCAAGATAGACGAGGCATAGGTACACTTTGGCATTCTTCCTGGGCGGAGGGCGTCCTGGACCTGGCGGCCGCCCTGGCAGCTCTCGCGGCGGACCAGGAGGACCAGGAGGACCCCATGGCGGCCCTCCTATCGCAGGCTTCTCTGATTTCTCTCGTGTTCTGAAACCACTGAACATAGTTGGGTTGAAATAAAAGTCCGTGGCGCCGACATATACGCCGCTTCGTGCCAACTGCGTGACGCCGGACATCTCATTCCCGTTGGGAAACCAGCCGAGGTAAGCTGCGTTCGGTTGAAATTGACGGAGAATTTTGTCAAGCAGTGCCGCCTCTCGAGGCCTGTTGCTATCCAGCCAAATACATGGCGCGGCTGTAGCGACGATGTAGTCGCGAAATATTGAGTTCACCTTCTGATAGGCGGGCGTTGACGTTGTTGCTGAAACCTCGAATTGGTTCCACATGGACAATGTGAGCGTCAAATTAGTGACTCGGGATGGATAGTTGAACTTGTAGATCATCGCGGCGGTGCCATCCGCGAATCTCCATCCTCCAGGGTAGTCGGCCAAGTGCGAGCCGCCATCGTCGAACAGAAAGGAGTCCTCATCTTCGGTGCCAGGCCGAAAGTCGGCTATGGTCTTGTTTCCACCCGTCGTAACCTTCACATTGAACACTGAAGGGCCATAGCCATCGGCGGGAAAGGCATCGCTAATATTTACGTAAACGGCGTTACTGCGGTTGATGAACTGAGACAGATCGATTTGATATGTGCCGTTGTTAGAAGCATCCGTCAAGGAGGAATTCGCCTTTAAGAGTGAAGTCCAGGTTCTATTCGCGAAGAAGACAGTCGAACTAGGCCTGATTGCTGTAATAAGACGGTCGGTCACTTTGGGCCAAACATTTCGGGCCGCGTAGTCGTACATCTCGTACTTGTCTTTGAACCGCCCCCTAAGGTCCTCAGTGATGGTGAGATTGAGGCGCCGCGCCAGATCTTCAGTTGCTAGTACGGCGCCCGAGATTCCAGCCATCGTCGACGCCAGGTTGATCGTATCTGGCAGTTTGAGATCATAGATGATTGCGCCGCGGACCTCGGACTTGTACTTTTCGACCAGCCGGAGAGGAGTGCTCGTCACGTCCGCGCTTTGGATACCCATGCCTTCGAATTGCCGTAGCCACGCCTCATTGGTGGCATCATCAGGCATCTTGGGGTCTTCTGACCAGTAAAGATAAAGCCGAGGTTTTTGACGATTGACCAAGCCCTGCAAAGAGACCAGGAGGACTTGCTCATTGCCGGAAAGGGCACTGAGTCTGGCGTACTCAATGTCTTTTGCAACGTCTGGAAACAATGGCAACGCCCGGTCTGATGGCCAGTCTAGGCCGGAGACACTTGGCGCGCATAAACAGAGGGATACCAGTGCGCTCAATATTGTGAGAATATGAAGCACACGGTACATGTTTGGCGCGATGCTGTGTTCCATTGCCGCGGTTGAGGTACTTGCATAAACAATGCAAATGACATGAATACATCGTGAGAATGACCGACTCCAGCCGTGGGAGGAAGAGTACAGCTTTATAACTTTAACTCAAAAGAACTATAAAAATGAGGCGAACACGAGCGGAGATGAAGGTTTGTATCAAAGTTCGTAGCTTAACTCTGTCTATGTGAGCATCATGACTAGTGCGTTCATCTCTCAACACCGCGAAACGCAACTGCAAGATGAGATGATTTAAAAGCTTGGCAACTTCAGCTCACAACTTGCACTACTGTGACATCAGACGCACTGTCACGTGCGATTATTGTCCTATCGACTTCCAGCCTTACGGCTTATGAAATCTACACACGAGAATTTAGATACTCTAAGGTCTTTCAACCATCACGACTCAATTCCAGGATGGCTCGTGGGGAGTTTGTGAGTGATTGAATGGAAAATCGTGGTTTCTGGTTGACTGCGATAGTTTTGGTCCATCATGCATGAAACTATTTGACTTTCGCTGCTGATATTCCGATACTTATACCAAAAGAACTCATAGATAGCCCTGTGTTCTGAGGCCGAGCAGAGAAGCACCTGACGTCTCTGCTTCTGAGAGTTCTCTCACGACCCTGCCCTTTCTTCCCTGCATAAGTGCAGTTCGGACTGTATCCTAAACGGGCCGAACGGCAAGCTTAGCTTACAATCCTGCATGTTGTTGGTGTTGGTGCCTTGTCAGAAGAGAATCCTACTGAACCCTTGGCCTTGGTTGGCTGGCGCTTATTCCTAGAGTTGCAACTGGCCCGGTTCCGAGGAAGATGAAATACAAGGCGCTCTTCACCCGCGGACTGCGGATTGGAAGGGTACATACAGTAGGGGACTCCCGTTCCCAGCAATCTGGTTTGCTGTGTTGTATCGAGCAAGCAGGAAAATGGAATGGTTCCCAGAAATGCTTGGGAGGTGGCTCGTATTCCAATTTCCCGGGACCTAGCCATGCGCGTCTCTTCGTCCGGTGTCCGCTACTCGTCCGCATCAATACCCAACGAGGAGGATCAGGAGTCAAGACTCGAGACAAACAAAGGGCCGGTCACATGGAACTGAAGATTCAAGAGTCGACCACGCGGGAATTCCGAGACCGACATGCCCGCGCCGATGCCGACCAACCAGAGTCGCGTCCGATGGCGCCGTCTCGGACCCTTGAACGCGTCCCCATTGGAGCGCGTCGTCCGCGCCGGAGGATTCCTCACCGGGCTCGCTGCATTTCGACCCGATATCCGGCCCTAGATGAAGGCGGGTGACACTCTGGGGTTTTGTGGGACGTTTTGGTCGTTGCGGGGGGCGGGGTTAGCGTCCTTTGGGGAATATGGAGTTGCCCAGATTGCAATGGTGGGATTCTGATCCTAGTCGGCGTCGTATGTATTGGTTGCACTCGCGGAATGACTCTGGATAAGCGAAAGGACTGGGGGCCGGGTGAGACAAGCTCTTTTAATGACAGCTTGCCCAGCCCCGGATTCCATTTTTCTCCCCTTCTCTGAGTGTCCCTCCTTTGCTGCTCCCTTCCTTCTTAGACTCCAGGCCAAGCCAACAACCTGCAAGATATCCTCAAAAGGTCCATCAACATGAGCGACCCCGTCGACCTCAAGAAGTCGACCGGCGCTGATGCCGCGGAGGTTGAGCGGTACGTCGACACCCAGCACGATGCCGACCTCGACGAGAAGGCCGGGATCGCGGCCTTCAAGAAGGATGCCATTGAGGCTGAACAGGCCGAGCACAACATGGGAGTGCTGGAGGCCGTGAAGTTGTACCCCATGGCTTCACTCTGGGCTTTCATCATGTCCACGACCATTGTAAGCTACCGGACCCTGAAACTATCCGTCTCATTGAAGGAACTGCAGCTGACAAACACGGCCAGATCATGGAGTCTTACTGCGTCTTCCTCATGGGCGCTTTTGTCGCCATGGACGAGTTCAAGAGCCAGTACGGTGTCCTCGACAAGAAAGGCGAATACCAGATTGAGGCATCGTGGCAGTCTGCTCTCCAGGTCGGCGGTCCCCTCGGCGCCATCATCGGTGTCTGTATCGCCGGTCCCATCACCAGCCGCATCGGATACCGCTGGGCCACAATTCTGGGCCTCATGCTCCTGAACGCCTTCATCTTCGTCTTCTACTTCGCCAACTCGCTCGCCCTCATGTTCGTCAGCCAGCTTCTGGAGGGTGTTCCCTGGGGTATCTTCATTGCCAACGCCCCCGCGTACTGCAGTGAGATCGTGCCCATGAGACTGAGAGCCCCCGCCACCCAGATGCTCCAGATGTTCTGGGCCATCGGCGCCATCATCGTCGGCAGTGTCTGCTACGTCTACGAGAGCAAGGCCGACTCCAGCGCCTACAGGGTTCCTATCGCGCTCCAGTGGATGTTCCCCACGCCCCTCGCCATCCTCCTCTTCATCGCCCCCGAGTCCCCTTGGTGGTTGGTCCGCAAGGGCCGTCTCGAGGACGCCGCCAAGGCTGTCCGCCGCCTCGGTCGTGCGTCGGCTACGAACGCTGAGGAGTCTATTGCCATGATGCGCCGTACTATCGAGCTCGAGAAGACCGAGAAGGAGCCCAGCTACGCCGAGCTGTTCAAGGGCACCGACACGTACCGCACCCTCATCGTCTGCGGTGTCTACGCTGCTCAGAACTTGACCGGTAACCTCATTGCCAACCAGGCCGTGTACTTCTTCAGACGTGAGTTTCAGCCTCAACTTTTCCCGCACCCGATGAAAGCTAACGTATGAAAAACAGAGGCCGGTATCGACTCGAACCTTGCCTTCGCCCTCGGTCTCATCACCTCCGCCCTGCAGACGGTCTTCGTCATGCTTTCCTGGATTCTCACCACATACCTCGGCCGCCGCACCATCTATGTTTGGGGTTCGCTCATCAACGTCATGTTCCTCATCGCCCTTGGTATCGCTGGATCCGTGGGCACGTCTACTGCCGCCTCTTTGGCGATGGCTTCCCTGGGTCTCATCGTCTCGGTCGGTTTCACACTCGGACCCGCGCCCGCTTCGTGGGTCATCATCGCCGAGACATCGGCTATCCGCCTCCGTCCCCTCACCACTGGTATCGGACGTGCCGCCTACTACGTCGTCAACATTCCCTGCATTTTCCTTTCCACCTACATGCTCAACTCCACGGTACGTGCAACCCACACTCTCCAATATCAGAGACCAATCCACTGACAATTCTCAACAGGGTGTCGACTTGGGCGGCCGATGCGGTTACGTCTGGGCTGCGACCGGTTTCGTCTGCTTCGTCATTTCCTTCTTCTACCTCCCCGAGATGAAGGGTCGCTCCGTCCGCGAGATCGACATCATGTTCAAGCGCCGCATCCCGGCTCGCAAGTGGAAGAAGACCGTCATCGACATCAACGACGACGAGTAAATGGGCGGTTGGGCTGCGGGCTTTTCGTCCTCGGGTTTGGATTTCTAGACTAATAACAACCCACCGGCTTTGACTGAGGAGTACCTTGCCAAACATGCGGGGTGTCTCCACTTGGAGTGCGAGGGTTGAAATGAGGAGGCGAGAGATGGAGATGAGGGGAAAGGTGTTCACGACCGAAGTAGAACCCATGTCAATACTGCTACTCAATACAACGCCGCAAACCTCTTTTGTTTGTAATCTGATTCAATATGCCGTAAACACAGCATCACGTGTGTTGAAGTGGATGTTCGGACACGGGTAGGGGTCCCGAGTAGTGTGCATGAACGGGTTAGTCTCCGGAGGAACATCCCCAGTTCGGAGGGGGAAGAGGGGATAGTGCGGCAGGGAAATCCCGCGCTCGGCATAAGCTGACACACACACTTCGTGTCGAAGTAAAACAACTGCGCGATCACGAGCTAAGACTCCAATGTCCTGTTGGTCTCATTAGCGACTCTGGTCTTCTCATGGCGATCGCGGGTGTTTGAGTCTTCAAATGTCTACTTGGTATGGACTGCTGTGGCTAGTACGTTGACATGAAAATACCGTATGAGGATAAGTGTTTGCAAGTTGGCTCATCTTCGCCATATTGAGCATGGATTGTTTTGGAACAGCTGGTCTGACTCTTTCTCCCGTCATCTGATTTATCATGTCTTAAATTGCATACGACCGCAGTCAATTGGTATCTTTGGCTTGAAATTGAGTGTTCTGATGTTCCCTTCCCGCAACCCTCTCGCAAAACTCTTACAAATGGTATTTGAAGTCCACTGCCCGATCACCAGTCTGGACCTTGCGCGTGTCCTCGATCTCCCCACTCGCAATCCTCGCTTTCACCTTGTTAAGGTGACGAATGTACAACCACTTGGCAACAATCAGCACCTGCGACGCACCCAGCGCGCCGACCGAGAAGCCGTTGCCTAGCAGGTACGGCGCCGTGCGGTAGATCTGTCCCGCCACGATGCCCGCCGAGTTGCCGATGGCCTGCTGCATGCCGATGGCCGTCGCGCGGCGGTAGTGCGGGGCCATGTTGACGTTGAGCCAGGTCAGGTTGAGACCCGGGCCGTTGTAGACCGCCACCGCGCACAGGAACGTGCCGAAGAACTTGATGCCGTTGCTCGTCGGGCAGATGATGAGGATGTAGCCGACGATGCCGGGGATGTTGGCCAAGAAGACGAAGGGGCCGCGGATGCAGAGCCGGTCGGAGAGGTAGGCCACCGAGAGGAACGCCAGGCCGCCGAAGATGTAGACCGGGATGCTGAGGTACTGCGCCTCGATGCTGGTGTAGCCCATGCTGACGATGATGGAGGGGAGGAAGGTGCTGAAGCCGTAGAGGAGGATGTCCTGGCAGAATTGGATAAGGCCACTGGTATGTTGTCAGCAAATAGCTTTCTCTGAGATTTTGGCACAGGGGATGCTTCGTACCTGAGGTACAGCTTCGGGTCAAGCGCCGCGATCTTGATCTCCTCCCAACTAAACTCCTCGCTTCCCATGTACGCGGCGCGCTGAGCCGCGCGCACCTTCATCATCCGCTTCTCCTCGTCAGTAAGGAAGTAAGCCTGGCCAGGGTCATTCGGCAACCCCCACCAGACGATGGGGGCGATGAGGATACTGAAGATGCCTTCAATGATGAAAACCCATCTCCAGCCCGCATAGCCGCCGACGCCGTCCATCTTCAGAAGGGAGTACGCCAGCAGTCCGCCGAAAGCGCCCGCAATAGCAGAGCAGACGAACAGGTACGACACCCTCTTCGCCTGCTCCTCGCGCTTGTACACCATCGTGAGGTACAAGTTGAGGGTGGGGAACAAACCCGCCTCGCACGCGCCCAGGATCAGCCTCACGGCGTACAGCCCGCCGATGTTGGTGATGAAGCCTGAGAAGATGGTGGCCAGCGACCAGACGATGCACAGGCTCGTGAGCAGGAGCCGTGGCGTCAGCTTCTTCATCATGATGGTCCAGGGAGGCTCGAAGATGACGTAGGTCGCGTAGAAGATGGAGATGGCGGTCGAGAACTCCTGCGTCGAGGCGCCGATGTCCTCGGGCATGCCGGCGACCTTGACGTTGCCGATGTTGCTTCGGTCGAGGAAGCAGGTGAGGTAGAGCAACCTGTGTGGGAGTCAATAAAGGCGTCGCTTGATGCGGGAGATGAATGAGGTGTCGTACATGATGATCGGGACGAAAGCTGCGTCGAGCTTGAAGAGGAGCTTCTTCTCCGCGGCGGGATCGATGGACTCCATTGCTGTGGTGCCGATGTTCGACTCGGTACGGTCGACGTCGCTTCCGAAGCCCTTCTCTGCGGAGTCGGTGACGCCGCCGGAGGCGTCGACGGCGGTTGAGATCGTTGTCATCGTTGGGTCCGGCTATCTTCAGTTCAATGAGTGGCGTGTGTGAACGGACTGAATTCCAATGATGGCCGTCGAGGTTGTCGGTCTCACTTATGAGTGGCGGATTGAGATCAGGCTCCGCTTTCTTCGACTAAGAGGTTGAAAGGGTCTCTCTAGCAGGAGTACCCTTGGGGTTTCCGGGGACGTCGACTTTATCTTTCTACTAAGACTTGGACAAGACGGATAACGCCTGCAGTTCGTCGGATACTATCTGTTTGCCGAGACCCATTCCCAGGCACGGGTAGACGGATCTTTGGTATCGAACGGTGACATCGATGGGGGTTTGTACAGAGCGTTGCTCCACGCAGAATGCTTGGTGCATGTAGACGGCAGTCAGTCTTACTCTTGGGAGATCGGAGGTCCTCACCGACACCCCTGATGTGCGGGGGAATCCCTCCCCACCTCGAGTGATAACACGGCATGATAGCGCGTCTCCACCGACCGGCTTCGGGGTGGCTCCCCTATCATCCTTCGCGTGGCCGTTGCATTGGCGGCGAGTAATACTGGAATTGTTCAAAAGGGTCTTGTTTTCGGGGATTTTCTAGCAGCCCTTTCTGATTACAAGGGTCTCAATGCCGCGGGAAACCGGGCGATATTCGCGATGAACGTCTTGGCTATTATCCAATGGATGGCTGGTCCCAGCCACCAAAACACGATGTCAGGATGATAACCCCGGGCATGGTGTCCGAAATCTCGGAGCCCAGGGCCCTTTTCCCTCGCCTCAGGCTTTCAGCTCCTTCAGTTGAGCCCTGCAGATGCTGCAGATCCCTGGAAAAAGTGGTCAGATTTTCATCACCGCTAACGATAAGCCGTACCCGCCACATATGTTCGTGACAGTTTCGGACGACAAAACATATCGATAATTGCCCATCACACATCCATTCTATCATCCGCTTGAGTCATGCCCGTTGCCTGCGTCCATTGCGAGAAATCGAAGCTCGCATCCATGGCCGGATCGGCAAACCCTTCCTCCCAAAGACCAAAGTCCATCATCGTGCTCATGTTCTCGTCGTAAAACGGCTCGCCCAGGGAGCTGTTATCGACAACAGGAAACGTGACCCGCTCTCCGATCATGCTCTGGCCCAAGGGATACCGCATCGCGAGAAGATTGCTTTGCCCATCTCCCATACTCACTGGTAAGATGGCGACATTTGGCGGCACGAGTCCAGCTGGCATCAGCGATTCAGTCGGTGAAAAGTTGGTCGGGAAGGGCGCTAGCGGCTCAAGCTGAGCATTCGTTTCGGACATGACGGCCGAGCGTAGGTTGGCGAGAAGTTCATATCGGGCACCCATGTAACTATTCCCACGTTCACCCATGCCTCGCAGGAGATCGAGCCCGGCGTTCATGGCCAGGATGTTGGAGGAGTTGGTGGGGAATGCGACGCAGACCATGACCAGAACTATCGCTGCCGAGAATACGTGCTCCCCGTCCATGTAGCCATAAGTTGCTGCAAGCCGTTCATTAGCTTCCGTAGTTGGCTGTTATCGGTCATAAGGAATATCTTACCGACGAGGTCTCTCTGCGCCGCAACAGTCATCATGTTGATGGTATCTTGAGCAGCGCCAATGCACATATCAATCACCCTGACGGTTGTCTGCGACAGGCCTTCTTTCCAGTCTCGCTCCTTCTCACTTGTATCATTACTGCTTCTGATTCTCTGCAATCGTTTCTGCACAACGTGGAACAGCAGTGGTCTTGCAGTCATGTTGATGCACTGGTAGTAATGAGCAAAAGTGCTAACGCTCTCGCGGCTGATGCTGAGCCGGGCAGGATCGAAACGCAGCTCATCCGGCAAGTCTTGATTCCACTTGGATAGACCCAAAATGATGCCCTGCACGGAAGCCATCAGACGTTGGCCAGACTTGGGCGCCGTTTTGCTTGTTTTGCGATAGATGGTATTGTGGATTTCCCCGAGTATTCGAGAAAGCTCGGTGTAATGGGTCAGTACCACCGCAGGGCAGTATTCTGGCTCTCTGGATAGTCTTGAGGGCAGGTCCACGCCGATGTCTTCGTCCTGGATGGTGATGGGATTTCCCGATTTGACCGACAGGATACGATCTAAGCTGTAGACTGACCACCACACTCGACGTCTATGCTCGCGCGTCTCGTCATCCATCAATTCCGGATTGGTCTCCGAGCATTGTAACGGATTTGGGGTTGGGCTGTAGCCAACTTCGTGGTGTAGCCCAAGAGAGATAGCCATACGCAGAGCCATTCCGGTGTAGAGGAAGGCTGCATCGCGACGGTTCATGTTCTGCATAAAATAACCGATGAGGGCCAGGGTCTCGACGCAGAGGATCGATCCCTCTTCGTGTGTGTCGGGAAGCAAGTTGAGAGCATGGGTGAAGTAATCAAACCCCGGAGGCCCTCTAAAGTCAACCCACTGGTTTACCGAATAGAACTGGCCGTAAGCCAGGATGATGAGGACCTTGGCGTACGAGAGGCATGCCTCTTTGTCGGATGGTTCTGGCGGACCACGATATGCGTCGACAAGCAACTGGTCAAACTTCTCCTTCGGGTCGGTGAAGGAGAATATTGTGCCGATGTAGGTGTATTGTGCGGCGAAGAGGCGTCGAGCAATATCGATCGGCGGTAGACGCACGCGTGTTCTCCCCTTTTCCCGTCGTGAAGGTAGAGCACTCGGCTCAAAATAGTTAGGGTTGGCGTCTAGACTTCCATCATCACCGTAGAAGCCAGAGAGCTGTCTTACGCTTCGGAGGAAGTTATCTGAAGATCCGGGGCCTTTGAAGCCTGCAGAGCCGTTAATGTTGCGAGATTGAGTGGAATGGACCATTCTTACTTGTAGATGGCTTGTGGACGCTGAGTTGGTTGAAGGGTTCGAGTAGAGGATGGGCATCTTCGAAATCTTCGTCGTTCACCTCCGTCGAGTTTCGATTAGGCTTTGCTGTTGATGTGGTTTGCGGTTGAGCGTTCTGAGACGTGCGGAGATCTGTTGACTCCTGGTCAGAAGTTGATGTGAATAAGGATGAGGCCTGGATCGACCTACCGTCGTAAGCTTTGGCTTTGGCTTCGAGTTCTCTCAAGTAGCTAGGCAAACGGTCAGAGAAGTTGATCACCGGATTAAATCACCAAAAGCTCACGATTCTGTGACAGTAATCTTCCTCGTTTCTTCGTATGCGCAGCTCAAGCCACTATCACGGCATCTTGAACACGTCGGCTTTTCTTTCGAGCAATACGACCGTCGTTGTCGGCAATTGAGACAACTAAGACCAAAGCATCAGAACATGGATCTCCAACTTGAAGATAACAGACGCTTACGCCACAGGTCTCGTATTCCCGTTATCGCCAGACTGAGATGAGGATGCAGAGGCAGACGCCATACCGACATGTGTATTTGGCGATGTCTAGTCCGGTCTTTCAGGTTGTCATTGCGGCAGTGGGGATGACGGTTCCCATGTCAAGTGGGATATCGGTCGCAGGCGGGTCTGCGGTGTTGTTGGAGATGGATTCCGTGACACACAGAAATCCTTTAGTTCCTGGGGTTAACGCGGGGAAGCCACGAGTTTGGGGACCGTTTGTTGTTGGCATTGGCAAGACGCCGCTCACATCAGAGACATACCCATTTTCGCATCTTGTTCCGTCGACGATCGGGAATTGTGTACTGGGGGAGTCTCCGCACAAGTCGAACTGACGCCGGACTGTGCCCGAAAGCAACATGAAATTGACATTTTCTCATTACGAAGTACAAGTCGTGAAGTAACTTTTGCCGATGCACGGACCACTGCATGTCAGATCTCGACCGGAGGGCTTATCGTTCGGACCATTGATGATCCGATCTCACTAAAGACCAATCAAAGACCTCTGATATGACGATTAAGTCGGGGACCCACTCCGATGGCTACCGTCGGGCGAATTCCCGCTTGACATCGACTTCGCATATCTCGCAATTCCACTCCAGCAGTCGCCATCAAGCCTTATCAAGTATCGGGCTTTTCCTGAATTTTCATTCGCAGATATACTGATCGGGGACCCACTCCGCCAGATCTCGAAGCCGCTTGGCCATTCTCTCCGCGCCGATGACCTCCGATTCAAAGGCCGATATGGTGTCGCATGTCTGGTGCTGCCGCCACGAGTCGGCTCAGCATCTGGTCGTTTTGCTTCAACGCGTAAAGTCCCGATCAGAAGTCAATTGGAGGGGTCAAAATGGCGGAGGTCCAAGGCCGTCTGCGGCTTGATCGCAGCTTCGCTCCGAAGCCCCATTTTGCCGATCCAAACGGCAAATTATTACGCTATCACGACATGCTCACAAACTCAAGCTGAGGAAGACTATGAGTATAAACCTTCAACGGTCAACTTCTCTTCACAATCTTGTTGTCTCACATTTACCAGTGTTACTGTGGCCTGAACCTCTCTGATACCCCTGCCACATTTTCCTTTCTCATCACCATTTTTCGGCTTCGCAAAAAGCCGACCTCACATATTCACCATGACCGTCAAGTCATATCGCATTCGAATCTCCATCGACAGAGGTGGCACCTTCACCGACGTCCACGCCGCCATTCCTGGAAGAGAAGACATCATTCTCAAGCTCCTTTCCGTCGATCCAGCCAACTACCAAGATGCTCCCACAGAAGGCATCCGCAGAATCCTGGAGATGGTCACTGGGGAGACACTACCTAGAGGACAGCTTCTCGATCTCTTCCACGTTGAGTCCATTCGCATGGGCACGACAGTAGCCACAAATGCGCTGCTGGAGAGGAAAGGAGAGCGCGTGGCTCTCATCACCACCAAGGGATTTCGCGACTTGCTGGCAATCGGAAACCAGTCCAGGCCAAACATCTTCGACCTCTCCGTGTCGCGGCCAGATGTCCTTTTCGATGAAGTCGTCGAAGTCGACGAGCGCATCACCCTGGAAGACTACACAGAAGACCCGGCTTCCGTCAAGACGACCCCTAGTGCCGAAGACAAGGAGTTAGTCACTGCCATCACCGGAGAGACCATCAGAGTCCTGAAGAGGCCAGACCTGGCAGAGATCAAGACCCAGCTGGAGAAGGTCCGCGAGCAGGGTTTCCGTTCCATCGCTATCGTCTTCGTTCATTCCTACGCCTACCCCGACCACGAGCTCTTGGTCGGAAAGGTGGCCCTCGAGATGGGCTTCTCGGTAACGCTGTCATCAGAAGTCCAGCCCATGATCAACGTTGTTCCCCGTGGCATGTCCGCCGTGGCTGATGCCTACCTCACCCCCGTCATCCGCCAGTACATCGACTCCATTTCGGCCAACTTCAAGGGTGGTTTCGCTGCCGCAGCTACCCGCATCGAGTTCATGCAGTCGGACGGTGGTCTTGTGGACTACCGTAAGTTCAGCGGTCTGAAGGCCATTCTTTCGGGCCCTGCCGGTGGTGTCGTTGGCTACGCGCAGACGTCCTGGGACGACGAGGAGCGCCGACCTGTAATCGGGTTCGACATGGGCGGTACCTCGACCGATGTTTCTCGCTATGCCGGTGTATACGACCACGTCTTCGAGACGACGACTGCGGGCATTGCCATCCAGTCACCACAGCTCGATATTCACACCGTCGCTGCCGGTGGTGGTTCCATTCTGACCTGGAGAAACGGCCTCTTCAACGTTGGTCCGGAGTCTGCTTCCGCCCACCCTGGTCCGGCGTGCTATCGTAAGGGTGGCCCGCTTACCGTGACAGACGCCAACTTGTTCCTGGGAAGACTCCTTCCGGAGTACTTTCCCAAGGTGTTTGGTCCCAAGGAGAACGAGCCCTTGAACCGCGAGGTCACTGCCTCCAAGTTTCTCGAGTTGACGAGCGAGATCAACAAGGACCGCGAGGCTTCTGGCCTCTCTCTCTTGTCACCTGAGGAGGTCGCCCTGGGCTTCTTGAAGGTCGCCGACGAGGGAATGGCGAGCCCTATTCGTGCACTCACCGAGGCTCGCGGTTATGAGGCCGGCGTGCACCACCTAGCCTGCTTCGGCGGTGCTGGCGGCCAGCACGCCTGTTCGGTTGCGACTGTTTTGGGTATTTCCCGCATCATCATCCACAAGTACTCCTCCATTCTGTCGGCGTACGGAATGTCGCTAGCCGATGTCGTCCACGAGATCCAACGTCCCTCCGCCATCACTTACTCTGATGAGACTGCCAGCAGCATCAAGGAGCAGCTCGAGGACCTCTCCTCGCAGGCCACGCTCGAACTGGTGAAGCAGGGCTTCGCCGAAGACCGCATCACCCACGACGCGTATCTTAACATGAGATACGCCGGGTCCAGCAGCTCCCTCATGATCCTGAAGGGCGCCGACTGGGACTTCAAGACTGAGTTCGAAGAGGCCCATCGCCGCGGCTTCGGTTTCCATTTCCCCGAGAAGGCCATCATTGTCGACGACATCCGCATCCGAGCAACCGGTACATCCCACGCAAAGGTCGAAAAGAGCCCCTTCGCTCAGATGAAGACCGTTGAGGGCTCGACCGCCGGCGCTCCGAACCCCAGCAGCTCCAACCGGGTCTACTTTGACGGCCACGGCCACCTTGACACCGCCGTCTACGAGCTCCAGACCATTCCCGTCGGCGCCCGCATCACCGGCCCGGCGTTGATCATTGACAACACGCAAACGATCCTCGTAACCCCATCTTCCACGGCTACGGTTCTTGACAGCTACGTTGTCATCGACCGCGCACCCAAAGAGGCTGTTGCTAAGACCAACGGCGAGCAGGAGGAGTTTAGCCCCGTCCAACTGACCGTTTTCGGCCACCGCTTCATGTCGATCGCGGAGCAGATGGGACGCACCCTGCAAAAGACCGCCGTTTCCACCAACATCAAGGAGCGTCTCGACTTCTCATGTGCTATTTTTAGCCCTGATGGCGGCCTCGTCGCCAACGCTCCCCACGTCCCTGTGCATCTCGGTTCCATGCAGTTCGCCGTCCGCTATCAACACAATCTCTGGAACGGCAAGCTGAAGGATGGCGATGTGCTCGTCTCAAACCACCCGTCCTGCGGAGGCACCCATCTTCCCGACATCACCGTCATCACTCCCGTGTTTGATGGCGAGGAGATTGCCTTCTATGTTGCCTCTCGAGGACATCACGCTGATATTGGTGGTATCCTCCCCGGATCCATGCCACCCACGTCATCCGCCCTTTGGCAAGAGGGCGCCGCGATTGAATCGACCAAGCTGGTTAGTGAGGGCCGTTTCGATGAAGACGAGGTCCGCCGCTTGCTGCTTGAGGAGCCCGCCCAGTACGATGGCTGCTCCGGTACCCGAAGATTGCAAGACAACCTTTCGGATCTCAAGGCTCAAATCGCCGCGAACGCCAAGGGTATCTCTCTGATCAAGGCCCTGATCGCAGAGAACGGCCTTCCAACCGTCCACCGCTACATGTACGCGATTCAACACACTGCTGAACACGCCGTGCGCGAGTTGATGCAATCCACTCTCACCAAATTCGGCTCCGAGCCCCTCGTAGCCGTTGACTACATGGATGATGGTACCCCCATCACTCTCAAGATCACAATTTCCCCTGATGGCTCCGCAACTTTCGACTTCACCGGCACCGGGCCGCAAGTCCTCGGCAACACCAATGCCCCCATCGCCATCACCCACTCCGCCATCATCTACTGTCTGCGCGGCCTCATTTCCTCGCAGATCCCCCTCAACCAGGGCTGCCTGGCGCCCATCGACATCGTCATTCCCGAAGGCAGCATCCTCAACCCGGGTGCCGGCCTCGCCGTCGTCGGCGGCAACGTCCTGACGTCGCAGCGCATCACCGACGTCGTCCTCAAGGCCTTCCGCGCCTCCGCCGCCAGCCAGGGCTGCTGCAACAACCTCACCTTCGGCACGGGCGGCAAGGACCCCGTGACGGGCGAGCATAAGGACGGCTTCGGCTACTACGAGACCATCGCCGGAGGCGCCGGCGCCGGCCCCACCTGGGTCGGCCAGAGTGGCGTGCACACCCACATGACCAACACCCGCATCACCGACCCGGAGGTCTTCGAGAAGCGGTACCCGTGCGTGCTCAGGCGGTTCCAGCTGCGCGAGGGCTCGGGCGGCAAGGGCCGCAACAGGGGCGGCGACGGCACGATCCGCGAAATCGAGTTCCGCGTGCCGGTGCAGTGCTCGATCCTGAGCGAGCGCAGGAGCAGGAGGCCGTACGGTATGGAGGGCGGCGGCGAGGGCGAGGCCGGCGTCAACTTGGTGATTGTGAGGGACGATATGAAGAATGGCGAGGAGAGGACTGTCAACCTCGGGGCCAAGGCGACGACGAAGCTTCGTGCGGGTGAGAGGGTGATAATCCAGTCACCTGGTGGAGGTGCCTGGGGCGCGCCTGTCGAGGCGAACTGAGGACATGAAGATATCTGCATATGCATATGAAGGAGTTATTTGGGATCAATTGACTTGGTTATTTGCGTCATCGCTTGCTTGGTCGCTGTAGACGTGCTTGTCTTACGAGTCAGATTGACATTCTTGTGTAACGTCGAGAGATGTTGTCTGCTCTCTGTGCATCTCCGGCCTGCGGGATTCGTCAGCTCCTGGGAACTTCACGATCCGAGATGCCATCTGAGACACAAGAACAAAAACCGACGTCTTGTGTCCTCGTGGGAATAAGACAGTACTCACGGGAATGACTCTCCTCTTGGATGTTCTTTCGGTTTCATGTCAGCTCCCGAGGATGATCAGTTCCGCTGTCGTCTGGGGTTTCCGCATCCGGCACCGCCAGGCCCGGCTACGCCTTTACAGAGGCGAGAACCTATTGGCGCGAAGACGTACGACTCCGGAATAAGGCACATGTAAGACACGTATTTGAAATTCTTTGGGGCATCTCTTGGCATTGCAGTGACTGTCTCCTGCTCGTGCGGTATCGAGATTCTGTGTCAGCCGAAGGTCACATTAACGATTGTAAGTTTGGTAATTGAGGTTGTGATAGTTGCAGTGTTTCCTGCAGATAGAATTATATGTAGAAAGACCATAGTTATACACATAAAAAGTACACATAGATGATGAATCTATTGAAGAGAAACCCCAAAACCCGTGTCATCAAGTCGTTAATGTCCCGGCCCAACCTCGTCATCCGACTTTCGTGACTTTCGTGACCTCCGTCGTCGTCTTCCCCATCATGTACGCCCCGAATATCCGCGTCTCCGGCTGCGGCGGCGGCTGCTGTTCCGGCTGCTGTTCCGGGTCGAACAGCTTGTCCGTGTCCTGCGTCGGCGAGGGCTGCGAGTACGAGAACGACGTGCCCGCACACTGCGCCAGCTCCAGGTCGTCGTCGTCGCGCGCGAACTCCTCCGTCGTGACCTCCACCTTGACCTCGTGCGTGACGAAGATCTTGCCCATGCCGACCATGATGACGGGCCAGAAGACGGGCAGCGAGGCGCAGATGGCCGCGACGTCGATCTCGAGGATGGCGAGCGCCATCGGCGCCGAGGCGTACCACGTCGGGTCGAGGGTCGGGTAGGTGCCTGCGCGCGAGCGGATGAGGGCGACGAGGCGCCAGGCCGAGAGCATGAGCACGACGCTGCCCAGGAGGAAGAGGCCGAGGACGCCCTTGCGGGAGCGCTTGTTGGCCTCCTTGTTGAAGTAGAGCGGGAGCGGGATGGCGAAGATGATGAAGTCGAGGAGCATGTTGCTCGTGGCGTGGCTCTCGTACGTCCGTATCAGCTCCTCGGCGATCTGCGACCCGAAGCCCCAGCGGCCGATGGCGTGTTCTTCCCAATCCCAGTACGCGCGGACCGGTAGGCACGGGATCCAGGCGAGGAACATGAAGGCGATGCCCCACATCGAGGTGATGACTATCATGACGATGGTGAGGGTGCGTGACTTGGAGCCACGATCGAAGGTTCGGAGGTACTGGAGGAGGATTGCGAGTTTGATGAAAGTCGTTGACATTGGTAAGGTCCCGTTACATATGTAGAATATCTATGCGATGATCAGCAAGGTCGCAAAGCAAGACTCGTTGTCTGAGGGTTTCTCGGCATACCTTTAGAAATTTTACAAGGTCTAGACCTAAGGCGCCGAACAGTAATAAATGTTCTCCCAGTCCATTAAATGTAGCTGATCTTGGATGTTAGAGATATTTTAGAGAAAAGCAGTCGAAAGACTTACCAATACAGGTCCCAATACTGCCTATTGATATAGATATCTTGGCTACGATGTTAGGTTGCTGCGAAGTCCAGCTGAGCAACGATCAAGACTCACCACCACTAATACTATGAAGACATCGTCCCATCCTGCCGCTTTCACGACACACAGGCGACACCATAGCCTCAAGAATGCACATATCAATGTAAAAACCTATTGTCATCAATAAGTGAGCATATGTGCCAATCCACAGGACTCGATGTACCAAACGACTTACCAAGAATGAAATGACGATGCCAAGCATCACATTCCTGTTGTTGAGTGCGGGTCTTGGGTCATTGAGGTTGTTGTATTTTCCAATCAGCTCGGGGAAGGTCGTCATGATGCCAAGGTCCCAGCCAAGGGAGATGCAGGCGAGAGAAATGGCTAATACCACTCTACATGCATATCAGTTCTTTTTCCGTCGGTCTGAAAATCAAAACCCAGGCCGTTGGTGAGGTTCAGGAAGGAATCGAACTTTGACGGTATAAAACAAGAGAAACGGCAGGAAGTAAGAGAAGGAACTACGAAGAGGCCGGGTGTGCGAGGGCCCTGGGCCTTATGCAATCATTCATCATGGCAACATCCGGCTACGCATATCAGGAGAATCCGGGATGAGCAAGGCGGCTTTTTTTTCTCCTTCTCCCAATAGACAGAAGAGCGCGGCCGCCGGAGGCGTGCTTGTTGGGTTCGTACAAGCGTCGAAACGTTTTCTCGGCTGGCAAGACTGATTCACACCAAGACAATAGACCTCCCCCCGGGCGTTTGTACCCCCCTTGACGTCCGCCGGCCCCATCAATTGCCTGTTTGGACGAATATTCTCCGGGCTGTAGCAGCGTTTGAAAGGAGGGCTGCATGTGCAAACAACTTTGAAATGTTGTTATTTCCGATTCATGAACCTGCTTTGCTGCTATCAATAGCTACGTCAATAGCAAATGCTGCTCAGAAATCCCATTCCGAGACAAGCCATTTGAGATTCGCTGTCTTGTTATCATCTACCGTCCATCCGCGCAAACTGCTTCTTGCGATGGGCGTCACATTGATTCGCGGTCGGAGGTATGCAGGGCGCCCTGCAACTCCCGCGTCGAACCCGGAGCACCGGGGGGGGGGGGCGCCCCGCCCCCCCCCC